ACAAAAAGATCCACAGCAATCTAAACAATAAACATATTAATTATTCAAACATTCAATTGGATTAGGTTGACGGTAGAGAATATTTGAATTGTTAAATATTGACTTATCACAATAATACCTGCTGTCCAGAACATTCTAGAGCAAGCTTCTTGTAGAAATCTGTTGTAGGGCCGAGCAGTGCAGAATCAAACCCATCTTTACTCTAGATAGATAAATAGATAAATAGATAAATATATAGAAGTGTAAAAAGAGAGAATAGATTAATAGATATAAGTGTACATAGATACTAGATAGAAGGATAGGTAAAAGTATATATATATAATAGAGTGTAACAAGGATTTACTACCGAAGATTGCTGGAAAAGCATGAAACATAATGTATAGTTAATTTCTTTGTCAAATAAAAAAGTGAAGTTTGAAAATGAAAATAGATAGACAGAAGGATAGAAGTGTGATAGATAGATACGAGACTAACCGACTTTGATGTTGGGTTGGGGGATTATAATTTTAACTATAACAGCTTTTAAGGCTGGGATGTTTTTAATTTTTTAGGGGGATATAAGTCAACGATTATCAATATATTTCCCCATATCAGCAAAAAAACATCTAGAACAATCCTATTACACACAGTGGGGAAACATAATTATCTTAAAAGAGGGGGAAATATTTTCAAGAAAATATGTACCCGTCGTCCCTGGATCCCTACCTGTCCCATCTCCCTGTTCTTGAGTGCCCCTGGTCCACAGCTGGGCAGTGTACACTGTACAACCGTTATTCGGCCTCCGGTAGGAGATATCTAGCAAATCAATCAATCAATCAGACAAGAAACAAACGACGAAAAATAATCAAGATTTTAAACCAATTATCAATTAACCACACAACCAATCAAACCCTTGAGGCTGGTTTAATTGTGCACAAAAACGAATATTATTAACAAGGCCCATTATTCCGCTGAAATCTTAATTGTTTACAACAAAACCTAGTTACAAAGCTATCCTAAATCAGTTGCCGTAAGCGTGAACAAACAATACATACTGGAATCAAGATGAAGGAGTGTTTACCATTTTATAAGCAGCTTGTAGAGCAGCCCCTAGGCAACTGTCTGTCTCCTGGCTTCCGTTGAACAGCTCAGGTAGGTCGGTCAGCATCTCAGTTATCTAGAATCAATCAATCAATCAACCGACAAATCGATCAATCATCTTATCAACCGACCATATTAGTATTAAGCAATGATTAATTGATCGATTCAATACAATTAGCAACTGGATCACACTAAATCTACTTCAAGTGAATTTAAACGAAATTTCAAGTTGTTCCAACTCCACGAATACAAGAGTAACAGGTCCGATTAACAACGGTACCCTTTAAACCAATATTTGAATACCAATGAGAAAGGTTTCGTCATTTTCTGTCAAGTATTTAAACTTCACAAGTTCACTGCCTCTGTAGCATATATCCAAAGGTCTCTTATTACAAAGAAACTAAAATAGAAAATAATCTCGAAAAATAGGAATATTCATTCATGTTGTACCTGCTGCTTACAGGCTTGAAGGTTTACTAGTAGATCTGAAGGAGAAGGAAGGAAAATATCATCAACGTCGCCTAAATAAATTCTAAATAAACATTTTAAAAAAAAAACATTTTTTTTCATAATTGCCTTGATTTCTTATTTCATACATCCCCCCATTCCCAAATTTTCTTATATCCCCCAAATTTAAAATGTTCTGCGTACCAACTATAAGCTGAGAAGCTTGAGAAGCCCCATCTGGGATCATATAGAAATGTAGAGTTCTATCATACGTTATAAATCCGACCTGAACAAACAGTATTTAAAATGGCGGAAATTAAAAAAGTCGAACAAATGACAGTTGTAAATAAATTTAAATTGTTTAAAATATCATGATAAAAAAGCCGAAATGATAAAATGAAAAAACGCGGAGGAAAATCAAAATGGCCATGGATTTTCCACCGAATCCAAAATGGCGGAGAATCGAAGATGGCCGACTTTCCCGCCAAATCTGATGGTTAACCTGAGTTCTTGAATCTCCTGGCAGTTTATCTAATTCATCAAGGAGAATATCACAGAAGTTCCGCAAGTAACCAGATTCTAAATGAAATATAATAAATATTTTGTCAATCACTAAACCAAGGCGATTAAGAACAGGCCTCGGTTAGAGAACTTTCAAAAAAAAAACATTAAATTATTTGAGGAAAAAATGGGGTATCCAATATCAATTTAGGAATAACTGTACTTAAAAACAGTCCTTTTTTGGTGCTGGGACGTTAAATTTTGAGAAAAAAAACTAAAATGTTTATTCATTATTGTTTTAAAAAATATTCTACCTAAAGCTTGTCTTGAAACGTCCAGTAAGAAAAGATAAACTGCTGGCTGGGGAGGTCGTAGCATATATTCCTGAGGTTAAAATATTAATTAACAGTTTCTAAATCGTTTGTTGGAACGAACTTGAAGTAAACGATAGTTATTTAATGAAATAAATGGGTATTTCTAACGAACTTTAAAAAAGTCATTTAATGAAATGAACGAGTATTGCTGACGAACTGGAAAAAACAATAGTTTTTTAATAAAATGAACGAGTATTTCTAACTGGGGTGCTATAAAAATGAACGAATATTTTAACAAACTTGAAAAATAACAAGTTATTTAATGAAACGGACGATAATTTCTAAACGAACTAGAAAAAAACAATAGTTATTTAATAAAATAAACGAGTATTTCTAACAACTGGAAAAGCATAAGCTTCTTCCTGAACGAACAAACTTCTGAAAAACTATCGTTTTTTTTTATAAAACCAACGATTTTATTAAACGAACGTTACTTAGAAAACTAACGAAATATATAGAAACTGAACAAAAATTCTAAAAAAGGATTGAATTCAATTTGAAAAATAAAACGAACTGGGTGGTTAACGAGTAGTACAAACGAATACCTGAGGTGCTATAAACTCTATTGTACTGGATTTACACTCTGGTCTCCGGGACGGGTCTCCGTAACTCTTAGAAACTGGATCATACAGGAACTCTTCCGGTAGTTCGTTCACTCTGAACAGTTGATAATTATGGTAAATCATACAACTTCATTTATATTTTATTTTCCATTTTATTGTAATAAAGATTATTTTTCCCCCCGTGCCTAGGATATCCATTCTGAAAAAATGGATCCGGATCCAGGTCATGAAGATTTTTAAAAGTTTTTATTTGGAAAATTAGAAAAATTTAAATTTCTTTGCAAAGAATACAAATATTTTCAAAATGGAGTGGTTTTTTATTAATTTTACTTTTTCATTTTACCTATAACATAAGTTGCATCTCCACCGTCTCTGATCCACAAAATGGACAAAAGGATTTATATACGTTCTACAGGATCGACATCTAGATAGATATGTAAATTGTAAATATTTCAGTTTTTAACTTCACATTTTTTATTAAAAAAGAATTACGTAAATAGATAGATATGTAAATAAATAGATAGTTAATCAAATGGATAAGTAAATTGGTAGGAAGGAAAAATATATAGAAAGATAATTATTTCAGTTTTTAACTTCACATTTTTTATTAAAAAAGAATTATACTAAACATAACGTTTCACGACATCATGACGATCCTCAGTAGTTACAATTCTTTGAAGATAGATAATTATATAGATAGTTAAATAAATCGTTATTGTTTTAGCTATTATTAAGATATTATTTAGCTATTGTTGTTGTTTTAAATATTGCTATTGTTTTAGCTATTATTGTTTTAGCTATTGTTCAAGTTTTAGATATCGTTTTAGCTTTTTTAGCTATTGTTATTGTTTAAGCTATTGTTATTGCTGTTGTTTTAGCTCTTGTTATTGTTATTGTTTAAGCTTTTGTTATAGATTTAGCTATAGTTATTGTTATTGTCATTTACCTGACAATAGTACTGCACTGTATAACGGGTAGATGAGACAGATCCTTGTACGGATGTATTAAAACTCCCAGGGGCAACCTAGACAATAATAATCCACGATTTTTACTTCATTCAAGAATGAATATACAAAATTGCACAAAATAATTTATTTGGAGTTTCAGTATTCTATTTTATTTAATATTTCTCACTTATAAAACTAATTTGAGAATGCTTGATCAGACAAAGCTTTCAAGGGTTCTGTTAAAAATAGGGTATTGCCATCTTTGCATGAATGGTCATTTGAAGTTACGCGTACAGTCCCTTTAATATAACTGTGATTTTATTTCCTACCTGGCTTTTTTAAGAAGAGAATCCGTTTCAGGAATCTTTGATAACGTACATCTAGAAAAATAAAATTTTTCAAGTTTTTTGGAAACCGAACACGATTTTTAGGAAATAAAGACTTTAACATTGTCTACTTAAATCTATAAATATACTTTGCTTGTCTTGGTGTTTGTCTGTTCCTTTGTGTGGGACCTCAAATTACCCCAGGTCAGGTTAATAGATGCTCAAAACTACAATACGTTGTCGCCAAAAATATTTGATTTTCGTAAAATTTTGAAATTCCACGAACACAAAATTGTAAATCCGCAATTTTTTTATTATTGTTCCATCGAAGAGAAATTGCTGGAAGATTAAACATCAAATAAATGTTAAATAATCATAGCCTAGGAAAAATTAAAAAGAAATTTTAAAAACATTACCTAAAAATATCCCTTGAACAGTTGATTGTATTCCATTGTTCAGCCTTTTATAATTTATATTCAAACTTAAATTTTGACTACAATGATTTAATATTAAATAAATGAAGGTATGAATGAGAGGATAACTGAATCAATGCAAGAAAAGATGAATAATAAATGAAAGAATGAATGTAAGGATAAATAAATGAATAAATAAAAAATTAACGAAAGAATAAATGAAGAAATGAATGAAAGGATGAATGAAAGGATGAATAAAAGGATGAATGAATGGATGAATGAAAGAATAAACGAATGATAGGATGAATTAAAGGAAGGATGAATAATGGTATGTATGATGAATGAAAAAATGACTGAATCAATGAAAAGATATAAAAGAAATGATATTTTTTCAATTTCATTAGAAACAGGTTCAATTACCGGAAATTACTTGGAAAGAGTAGATAAATTATATGTAAATATTATAAAACATCTGCTAAAGTTAACCAAATGAATGGGAAAATATGCCCATGTATGCCGGATATGCCCATGTATACCAGATATGCCCATGTATATCGGATATGCCCATGTTTGCCGGATATGCCCATGTATACAGGATATGCCCATGTATACCGGATATGCCCATGTATGCCGGATATGCCCATGTATGCCGGATATGCCCATGTATGCCGGATATGAACATGTGTACCGGATATGCCCAGGTATAAGCATGATAAGTCTATTGAAATTCCGTTTAAAGTTCCTGAAAATAAAGTGGTAATTTTACATTGATATTTATTGAGTTGAACTATGAAAGAAAAAGAAATGAAAAACATAGCATTATTAAAATGGAAATGAGTATTTTTATGCAGGGGTACTGTATATACTTCAGAATGGTTTTTGAAGTTGCTTTTTATCCTATATATATACCCCTGTCTTGATGATTGAGAATTTCTAATTTACAGGTTTGAATATTATTCCTGAAGTTTAGGTTTGGGAGGTTTTATCTCTTCAGCTGGGAGAATATGTCTGTTCTGTAATAAATCTACACTGTCCTGACCCCACATGCGTTGGAACCCTGAATATATAAATGTATAAATCAATCAATAAATCAATATATCAATCAATCAATCAAATCCATCAATGCAAACATTGTAATAAATCCCATACACAATGGAAATCTGAAAATATCAATCAATCAATCCATCATATACGGTGGAAACCTGTATATATTAATGAATATAAGGAATCAATCAATCAATCTGAAATCAATTCCATATTGTCCAGGATCAATGGAGAGAAGTATCGATTAATTAATTAATAAATCAATGAATCTTATCCGTCAATCGACTAATCCATCAATCATAAAAACATACCTTGTTGAGTAACTGATATTCCTCCCATTTTATTACTCAGTAACTGCATATCTCCACCGAATCTAGTTAAAATATTTTTTTTTTCATCCCATAAAAGTGAAAACGGCTGAACCGATCAGATCCAACATTTTTTAGTAATTTTTATCACCCCACACATCATCCAGATTGGACAAACACCAGGCTCGAATATATTTAGAAGACGACATTCTATAAGTCCATTGAAGCCAAGAGGATACATATTTGTACAATTAAGATACATTAGTACCCCTTGCAATACAAATTTGTGTCATTTTATAACGTAAATGTTTACAAAATTCTGGTTTGTTTACTATTACCATAAGTATAGTTGTACTATGTACATATAGCATACAATTACTTTCTTGTTATTCTTTGTGATTATATATTTATATTAGGCTTTTAAGGCGTTTCGCTCCCATCTTCTATTTTCTAATTGTGAACATGTTCTCCTAGTGTACATTGTAAAACAAAACAAAAGAAGAGTTCCACCCATTTGAGGAGGTCCACCCATTTGTGGAGGTCCACCCATTTGTGGAGGTCCACCCATTTGTGGAGGTCCACCCATTTGTGGAGGTCCACCCATTTGTGGAGGTCCACCCATTTGTGGAGTTCCACCCATTTTTGGAGGTCCATCCATTTGTTGGGGTGCACCAATATGTGGGGGTCCACCCATTTGTGAGGGTCCACCAAAATTTTGTTGAGGCACTCCTAGCGGAGAGGGACCACCCATTGGTAAGGGTCCACCCATAGGAGATGGACCACCCATGGTTCTACTCCTAGGTAAAGAGGAATTAAATGGAGGCTGTGAGACAGAGGTTGAGAACGGAGGTCGGACATCTGAATTCTGCAGGTTTGGAGTCGACCTGGAGCTGGGTAGAGATGGCCCGATGGGCGAAACTGCCGGAGATGGTCCTGTGAAATATGATGAGGCAGGACCAGAAGAAGATGGTGGGCCGCTAAAAGCGGGAGATGGTCCTCCGAGATTACTGGGGGTATTGGATCGGGTAGAAGTTGCACTGGAGGAGGGTCCGAGTGGGGCCAATGTGGGGGGTCCAGAGGTGGATGAAGGTGGTCCAGGGGCCCGAGGACCGGATGTACTTTGACTAATAGCAGAGGATTTCCCTGAGGATGAATGAGATTGTCCAAATTCTAAAAAAGAGCTTTTTTTACAAGAAATTTTGAATATTCTAAATGAAGTAAAAAAATAATACCGAGAAATACAGAGAAATACAGAGCAGTTTTATTTACTGTGTATTTTAAACGAGAATATTATAAATATTCTTGATACATTACTGAGATCCTTTTCTTCCAAATCTAAAGTTTTGGAACTAACTCATGTCAGATTTTAAATTTATAACTCAAACTCATTTATGAGTAGAGCAAAGTTATTTACAGCGTTTAGGATTCATTTAATTTTAGGATTCATTTAATTTTGATCCGGATCCGCACTGAAAAATAAATGGATCCAGATCAATTCTTTAAGAATTATTTTTTTAACAAAAAATAATTTTTAGTTTTTTTTTTTGCTTATTTCTATCCTTAAACCTGATTAACCATTCAGAAATGAGGAATTTTTTATAATCTCTCTTCTTTTGATATTTTGATATTATTATGATATTTTACCCCTTGGGATCCGGATCCGTGGATCCCCATATTTTTGCGGATCCAGATCCAGGAAGCCAAAATCTTGCGGATCCAACGTATCCGGATCCTTAGTACTTATTTTTTTTCAATATTATTTTTATGAGATGATTTTGTGAGAATGAAAGGAGTTTACCTGAAGCTACCGGGGTACTGGAAAATTGAACACTAATAGGAAAATATATTTCAATAAAATGTCTCGACTTTTTTATGAAAAAGAAAAGTGCATTTTCATCATCATTTTGATGCAGATCCTGAAAAATAAAGGATCCGGATCATGAATATTTTTCGCGGTTTTTAGTACGAATAAATATGGTTCACCATTCAATGATTAGAATGTTATTTCTGCATTTGTTTACAGTGAAGATGTGCGTTTTGATTGGAAACTAAATTGTTTGAAATGTTATAGTTGAAATTTTATATACTTGAATATAGTTGAAATTTTATATAGTTGAATTAAGTTGAAATTTTATATAGTTGAATATAGTTGAAATTTTATATAGTTGAATATAGTTGAAATTTTATATAGTTGAATAATGAATATAGTTGAAATTTTATATAGTTGAATATAGTTGAAATTTTATATAGTTGAATATAGTTGAAAACCAGTTCTCTTTGGGCGGAGATTGTAAACAAGAATAGATGCGTCAGTGTTAGTCTAGTATCCGAGGAGGTTAAACGCATTTAATATTGATAATTTTGATAATTCACATAATAGTTTCCTATGACCAGAATATTTCATAGATTATTTTTATGAAAATGTATTCCATGTCAGGCTCTGGCATCCGTCCTGTGTTTACTTTTCCGCCCAAAGACAGTACACTGCAGTACAAAAAAATGCGTACACCTCTGAAATAACTTTCCTTGCATTAGTACCTTGGATCAGATAACGTCTCGCTTACGTACGTAGGAATTATCTAACTATCAGATAAGAATTCGGCCAACGTCCTAAGATGTGACAGTTTAGATATATGCACAAATTTTATAGTCGGGTACTGGGGCACATATTAATCCTACACTCGATCTTAAAGAAAATACTCAATAATTTGAAAACAAATAAGTTTAGAGTTTGTCCTAGTATACAAGAGGGTCCAAAAATAGTTCTCTAGGAAATTATTAATATTTCTGCACCACACTTGCTTGCTTGAAAATGTGTATGAAGATAAGAAAGAATACAAAAAATTAAAACTAGCAGAGACTAACTGAATCAATCAAGAATTTAATTACCTGGTGTGCCACTTGACGGTCCATTTTTAACTGGTCCATTACCACCGTTGATCACAGGACGAAAACTAGGTGGGCCCAAGGGCCGTGGAGTCCCGGTTGGACCAGGTGGACCCAACTTAGTCAAAGAACCGTTGATTCTTGGCCCTGGCGGTCCAATAGGTCCCCCAGGGGGGGCATGGGGTTTGTTTATTGACCCAGGCGGTCCAAGTGGTCTAGGTCCAAGATTTGGAGTAAGCAAACTAGGCGGCTGAATCCCGTTCATGATGTCTAAATCACAAAAACACTTCTGAAACGAAAATTATGAAATAAAATGACTGAACAAAGTTTACGACAGCTTCGGTGTACATGGTAACCAAACAAAAATGAAGATTGATCATCAAAAAGAGACCTGGTAATAGACTAAAACATATTTTTCTATGAGGGGAAAAACATCAGACTTAATAAATATGTTTATATGCAATTTTTTAGAAATTTAAATGAATTAAAAACACAAAAGTCAAGGTCCACGTCAGCCCACTGTGTACTGTGAAGGATAAACAGCTGATACACCCCGTGACGTCAGAATGCTCGAATTCCAAATTTGAAAATACCCGCGAACATAAAAGTCGTCTTTATAGAAGACCAACATTTGGGAAGGAAATCATTTTCATTGTAGATAGGCTAGGNTGTTTAGGTAAGTTTTTTTTTTCTTTAAATTAAAAAAGGAGTACTTTTTGAAATAAATCGTTATGAACGAAGTGATTTTATTTAATGAAATGTGAAATGATAGCTGGTTGCTTGTATTTAAATAAACTTTTCCTTTAATGCACTTTAATTAAATACTTTTACATAAAGTTTAATGATTTTTACCAAAAAAGTAAAACTATGGAGTCCGGGAAGAAATCATCATCATTGGAGTACTATTGGAGACCTTTTTTCAGACACCCATGGACGTCTCGTTTTCATAAGATACCTCCATATTTTCATTGGAGACCTTTTTCATTGGAGACCCCCATGGACGTCTCGTTGGAGACCCCCATATTTTCATAAGAGACCTCCATATTTTCATTGGAGACCCCCATATTTTCATAGATGACCCCATATTTTCAATGGAACCCCCCATATTATGTTTCCCAATGAAAATCTTAGGGTCTCCAATGAGAATCTGGGGGTCTCCAACTAAAATATGGGGGTCTCCAACTAAAATATGGGGGTCTCCAACGAGACGTCCAGAGTGGTCTTCTACGGAAAGAGGTCTCCAATAGTACTTCAATAATGACGATATCTTCCCAGACTTAAAATATGCGGTTTTATGTTTTTTGATGTTTTGACATGTTTTGATGTATTTGAATGTAGTCCTCAAAACTTTCCAGCTATTTTGAAATAAAATAATCATTATTTAAAAAAACGATTGCATTAAAAAACAATTGTTTTCGTTTTTTGAAAACGACCCTTCATTATAACGACCATTAACGACAACCCTTCCTTAACGATCGTTAACAACCTTTTATAGAGAAAATGCATTTTTTGGTTCTTAGCAATGAATCATATATAAACAATAAGCAATAAACATGAATGTTAATAATAATAAAACTTAATTACATAATATGCCGAAAAAAGGGACCCACAAAAATAGAAGGGCATTAGATCGAATGAATGGTGACTTCTGAACGATTAAATGTTACGTTTATACATAAATGCTCAAATAATCTTTAAACATATTTAACTAACTTTAAATGCTCTCTTACGCCCCTGATATCTATATTCTATATTCCTATCAATTACAGGTAGGTTTCCACAAAACAGTAGATTCTCTTGCGCATGCAGTTTCCCGTTTTTGCACGAAACGACTTTTTTGCATGAAATTTTGCATCATTTTCGTATCAATACGAACCCTGCAGGTTTGCACAAAATAGCGCATTCATTGGAAATAAATATCTTTTTTGCACAAAATTGCGGATAAATACTTTAGAAAAGTCATAATTTTTGCATGATTTTGCGCATTAATACGGAAATAAGTTGTTTCATGATTTATTGCACAAATATAAAAGATTTAAATGTTTGAACAATATGTACACAATTAGTTTTATTAAAAACAACTTCCATAGCTGCAATATTTTATTCATATTTATCATTTTTCTATAGTTCAGACAAGGTCAAAATGTTGGTTACGAAAATCTTTCTTGGAATACCTATATTAACAAAGTTAAGAGTAAAATCAGCCTTGCCTCAATGCAAATATTAAGATTAAAGAACATTTTTCCAACTGAAAACTTGGTAAACCTTTATAATGGGTTGTTTAGACCTCATATTGACTTTGGTTTATTAGCCTGGGGAGGTGTTCAACCATCAAAACTTAAAGGGTTAATTAATCGCCAGAAAAAAATGTGTACGAAATATCAACAAAAGCTAATACAACTCACACACTGGTCAAATATTTAAGAAATTAAATGTCCTGAAGTTTAACGATTTGTTTGACTTGAACTGCAAGTTGTTTATGCATTCTATTGTTCACAAAAAACTTCCCTCCTGCTTTGAAAGCATGCTCAAAAAGTCCAATTCTTCATTTTTCCCAGTAAATGGAATTCCTTAACCCAAGATCTGCAAGCTTTAACAAAAAGAAATTCTCTGAAAAATCATCTGAGTGCCGACTGTTTAATTTCATATAAAATATTTCTTGTAAAAAATCGTTCTCTGGGAAATTACCAAACAGACAGTATAAATTCCGTCCAATTGTCTCTGAAGTCTCATCCTTTGTGGATAACCCTGTATACATATATAATGTCATCATTCTACTCCCATGGTTTAAATGGTAATTGGTCCGCCATCTTGTATTTGGAGAAGGAAGAGAAGAATTAGCAAAACTATCAAAACTACTTTCTTCAAAACAATCAGCTTTTGAAAACACGTTTACGAGGAGCAGTACAGTTGAAGGAAAACTAGCAAGAACCAGATCAGGTTTGTACTGCATCCACGTGCACGCACACGCGGACAGGTTGTTAACGAACAATATTTAGAGCAAAATTTTCTTAATTTCAAGAAAACATTTTTAAATGATAAACATTATTTTAAAGAAAATGATTGTAATTTGACATTCTTGAAGGAAGATCGATATTTCAAACAACTGTTTGTTAAGATCGATATTTCAAACAATTAGTGTTTAATGTAAGTGATTTTTAAACTTTACAGAAATATCGCCAGAAATTAAAATATAATTTCATTATTGCTCATCCTTAACTCTTAATTCATGATCAATTTGTAAAAGGTCAAAAAATAAATTCATAATTTTGAATTAATACATATGATTAAATGTTTAGGGCGTGCCAATGGAGAAACTGACTCTGGCTCTGAACTGCAAATTGTAATTGGTAAGTTAATTTGTTTAGAATTTAGAAAATTATTCCTCAGAATTTCAGTACAATTGCAAATGCACAAATTGAAGAAATCAAAATGTGCAATTATTGTCGTTGATAGAAAAGTGTTAAATATAAGGCTGTCGAAAATTTGCTTTAAGTTTTGTTCAGGACATGTTTATAATGATTAACATGTAAAAATTAATTTTTGTTTTTTTTTTCAAAAAGAATTTTTTGAATTAATTGATTAATTTCAGTGATGACAGTTGTTTGTGTAAGTTTACTTGCATTGATTGGATCTATATTCTTCATCTCGAAATCAAGGTAGAGCGCCTATACGTAAATACTTTGCTTGTCTGTCAGTTTGTTTGTTTATATCCAGTTAACGACTAACAGCTGAACCCAAATGTTTACTTATATATGGGCCCAGTGTAGGTTTATGGACTTTTTTGAACTATTATACCCGGTAAAAACGCCGACAAGAAAAGTCCGTTAAAATTGAGAATTATTAAAAATGACCTGCACTTTCAGAGCAATAGTTAAGGATTGTAAGCGTAATTTCAAGTGACCCTCCATGCAAAAATGGCAATGCCCGATTTACAACGTGGTACCCCTGAAAACTTTGTCTGATCAAATATTGATTATATATCAATGTTTTGTTTCTTTAAACTGCTTATTTTCATTTGCATTTCTTCGCAAAATTGATTTGTTGCTTTCTTATAAGAAGCAACGGAGAAACTGTCAGAAATAAACACTTTTTGAGTCAGAAAAACGGCAATTTCTTCCACAATTTTGATTGGATAAGGTTTAAAAGGACCTTTGTAAATTGGACCTTGCCATATTTAGATGGAGGATCACTTAAAGCATGCGGAGGCAGTAATATATCTTTCTTCTTGCGGCTGTAGATACCGTTTTCTCTTCTTTATTATAAAATGTATAGAATACACATAAAGCAAAGGAAAAAATACAGCTTTTAAAATACTCATTATCTTGGGGGAGGGGGGGGGGAGAATCATTGTATTAAAGGTGAGGCTAAAGGCTTAACTAGATATTGGGGAGGGGGGGGGGAGCATGATGGGAGGACTATTCGACGCGAATAAACAATCAGTTTATTTATAAATATTACATAATATTTTGGTCTCACTCATGCTTGCCATTAATTTGTCTCTTTAGACTGCTTGCTGTAGTTGCAATATAAATGCATTTAGTGCATGGATATTTTACTCCTTTTTGTTTACTTTCTTTATGGATTTTCAAGAATTTAAATAAATCTTATAATAATTAACAAAAAGCTATGTATACAGGGATTTCAGTAGTAATAAAAATGTCCATTCGTCTTCCTAATGTCATGTTTCGTGGGGCACCCTGTAGCTAAAATAAAAATTTAATATTTATATTATTTTGTTTAGGAAAAGAAGAAATAAGAAGTCTGAAGATAGAATAAGAATCCGTGAATCAAATGCATAATTATTCTTTTTTAAATTAAATAAATTCACGTTTAAAGAGATTGCTTACTTATTTGGATGACAGTAATACAATAAAAGGGACAGCAAGCCCGGTCCTTTATGCAAAGATGGGAATATATATAGAATATATACAGTGAAACCCTTGATAACGAATACATCGAAAGAATTCATCAAATGTCGTATTCTTCACATTCTGATAATTGAATATTAAAGATATTTAGTTTTTTAATTAAATGATTATATGGAACTCTTTAAAACTGTTTTCATATATTCATGGCTATTTATTTATTTTGGCAAATACTGAAATTTACGTAACATAGTATAAAACTCATTGAAAAATTGTCAAGACGACATTTGATAAATTCTGCCGATGTATTCGTTATTAAAGGTTTCAGCACTGTATAGTAGATATATATTATACAATAATATCCATATTTTGTATTTAAAAAATTGTTGGAAACGCCAAACCCTGGAAACGTCTCACTTTTTGAGGCGTTTCCATAGCACCACCTATAGGCCAAGTTAATTGTTTTGTATCGTTAGAAAAAAATTAATAAAACTTTAGAGATTTAAAAACTGTATTTTGTTAGTTTGCTTTAATTAAACTTTGCAATATCTTTAACATAAAAAAAAACGTTTTTTTGCATATATATCCTGCCAGGGTCTACATTTGACATACTTAAAGAAATAAAATGTTGCGAATGTAAAAATTAGCAAACATTTGCTTCTCTTATGTTTTGCTAAAATTGACGCTGAAATAAAATATAGATAATCGAAAAACGAACCTATCCGTGAGCCATAATATTCTAGAGGTATATAATTAAAGATCTGAAATTTTCCACGCTCTAGGAAAAAATGAACTGTGTTAAGAAAAGTATAAATAAATAGGCATAAAAACATTTTGTAAATTTTTATATTTTTTTACACACCTGGGTTATAATTGTTTTTCATAAACTAAAAGTTATAAATGTGTAATTACTGACGATACTTGAATTTTTAAAACTTTCGTTGATCAAGAATAGATGAGATATCCTTAGCTTTAGCTCAAAATACAGAGTACGGTTTCTGTAAAAGTGAATTCCGATTTTTACTCAGGAGAGAATAAAGGAAGGTTTCAGAATGGTATCACTTTATAAGATAGGAGAACAAGAATATCTGCCTTATAGTTACTCCTCTAGAGGTTTCAAGGGTACTGTTGTGAATCGGACACTCAGATATTAAGATTTATAAATAAAGCGCATCTAAACGTACTTTAAGGTGACCCTCCATACAAAAATAACTATACCCTTAAAACCTTGATCTTATCAAAAATGATAGGCTCGTTTTTCTGGCTCGAAAAGTGTTTTTTTCTTTGAGTTTTCCAGTTGCTTTCTATGCACAAGAAATGCGCATTTCACTGTCGCAGAGAAATCGCAATTTAAAATTAAAGAAACAAGAACACGAGAACATTTATATCACCTAAATTATTCTTGATCAGACCAAGCTTTAAAGGGTACCGTTGTAAATCGGACATTGTCATCTTTGCATGGAGCGTCACTTTAAATTACGCTTACAGTCCCTTTAAGTAATAAAAATTGTGCAGTAGGAAAACTATTTTTGTTTTATAGAAAAAACACATTGAAAATATTTTATGAGGGGGGAAACCCTAAATTGATAATTGGGTTAACATTTACAGAAAGCGAAAACACAGCGACCGTTCTGAAAACTCCGGTTTATTTAAAGTACCGGCCTGCCTTTTAAGCAGAACAAATTGTGCAGTACGCATACAGACGGCAAAATGGGGCGGTGTCACATTACACCTACTGCTGGGCTTCGTTTTCAAGTCCGTTGTGAGACATTTAGAGTTGTTTCCGCCTAAAGTGCTCCTCGAAATCTGAGTTATTTCTCCTATTGCAAAATTGTATTTTCGCCAAGTTAGCTTTAAAAGATTATGGGAATTCGTTTTCGCTGATCAAGGATATGAACCAAAATGTTTTTTCAAAACGAAAAACAAAGATCTATTTTACTAATCGTTTTAAAAAATCGTTTAAAAAAAGAAATCATGTAAATGTCTAGCATGCAATTTTGATACAGGATTTCCATCTCGAATTCTTGTGAAGCCAGGGGCGGATACGGGGGGGGCGGCGGCGGCAGGACCTTCGCACCCCCCTGAGATTTCAGAATATCTTCTTAATATCCCTTAAAAATATTTTGTCCCTGAATCTGGATGTTTTCTTCCGAAATAAATCTAGCACCCTCCTCACTTAAATCCTTTATCCGCCCCTGTATGGAGCCACTCAAGTCTAAAAGTTTTGCACGTCTAAAAACGGCTCTAAATATGATGCCCATCAGTAAATCTCATTCTCGCAAGATTATTTTGATCGAATCGTAATAACACATTCTTCGGAACAGAAATTATGTTAAAAACTTTAAAGAGAAAAAATTTATTTTAACATATTTACAATAGCAGTGCAACAAATAAGTATTAAAAAACTTAATATAAAAGTGTTTCTGTAGTTCAATCTTAGTGGATATTGAAAACCCAGAATATACATTTAATGGTTTACTTTAAGATCGAAATACAATTATATGTATTGTATATTGTATATTTGTATATTATCCAAAAAAAACATTTCAAAATTTGGGTTACTTGTCAAAAATTTAAATGATTTGAGTTGGATTCAAATTTCTTTTTCCATAAATTCACATGAACTCTAAAAGTATATGGCGAAAATCAGATGCCATTTTTTGTACTTTGTCTTTATTTTTCGGATATTTCTACTTTCTCACAGGTTTACCATCTTTCATACGTGCATACTGCATACATAACAAATACTAAATCTGAGATTATGAGTCGAACCCGTACAGTGTACGTCCTTGACGTTTGAGCGCAAAGACGACGTCAGTGGCCATGACAGTTTTGCGCTTAGCGTGCTCAGTATATGTGACGGCATCGCGCATAACATTCTCCAGGAAAACGCGCAATACAGCTCGTATCTGAAATATAAAGTTCATCAACGATAATGTTTCTTTACTCTTTATTATTGAATTGTACAATGTAAATTGTAAAACATTAATTTTATTTTTTTTAAGACATTTATATTTTATCTTTATTTCTTNTCATGATCTATATCAAATTATTGGTTTTAGCTGGGTTTCATTTCAATTTCACAATCATTTCTGGGATTAACTAAATCTATCAAATAAAAGGCTTCCTTTATCACCTTTCATCTTTCACCTGACTTAATTTATACCTTAAAGGTTGTCCACTATAAATTGAGACTTTTTGAACAGGTTATAAAATAAAAAATCCACCAATATGAAAAATCCGCGATATCAGCCACATGTGCCCTTGGAACTAAGTTGCATTGTTTTGAAGAATATTCATCACTATCTTTTAGGGCGATTAGCGGCCATCTTCTATTTCAGTTGTTAACATTTTTCTTTGAATACATTGTAAAACAAAAATTCTCGGATTTTATAACAAATTTCGTGGATTTTCAAAATAATGAAAAATCAAATTTTGTTGGAAGCTTTATGAAAATTCAACCCTACATAAACCTTCCCTGGGGTCACATAAGGTCCCATAAAAATTCAGGCCCGGTCGGTTCAGCCGTTTTGACGTTTATTGGACACAAACAAGCAAACAGACAGGCAAAGTATATACTTATCATTTTTCAAGATTAAGGACATGAAAGAGGAGTGGATGAAAATGCTTTTTGGTAGTTTCTACATTAAAAACTAATGTGCCACTTATAATTCATATTTAAAGGCCGTATACTGGAAAAAATATTTGCATACATGCACAGAGACTGCTTTTGGAGCCAGTGTTTTTCATGAAACTTGTCCTTAGTCAAAATTCAATCACCCAGCGTAAAGTTAAAACCGATAAGTGAGATCGTTTTTTCAAAAGCCCCCCAAATGGCCCCCCCGGAGTTAGGAATTCTTGATTGTGGATTTTACCTCTTCATAGACTAGACCAGAGATACGTTTAACTCCTCCTCTCCGGGCCAATCTTCGGATAGCAGGCTTAGTTATACCCTGGATATTATCTCGCAAAACCTAAAAATATTTTCAAAATGATTTTTGATGATTCGGGGGAATAAATGAGAAGTTAAAATCAAATATTTATCTATTTTTCACAATTCAGACATATATAACTTGTGGGGGGAAATTTATTTCACAAGGGGGAAAAATTGTTGAGAAAATATATACCCCTAGTGTTGTTATATGAATGGATCTAACCTTGCGATGTCTTTTAGCGCCTCCCTTCCCCAAACCTTTTCCACCTTTCCCTCTTCCTTCATAACCCATATTCAGCTTATTCAATCCTCCGGCTATCTCAGAAATCTGAAATAAAATAACATCGGCACTTGAGGTAGTTATATCTATATATAAATTTAGCTTGTCTGGGTGTCTGTTTGGGTGTTTGTTTGTTTGTTTGTATTTAATAAAAGTCAAAACAGCTGAACCGATCGCGCCCAAATTTTGTGAGGGACCTCACGTGACCCCAAGGAAGGTTTAAGAATGATCAAAATTTTAAAAATTTGTGTTTTAAAGTTTTTTATTTTTGTAAAGTTTTTGCGTGAAAAAATATTATGAAAGCCGAAAACTTTTTTATACTGTACAAAGAGAAGATGCTCACAGATAAAGCAAAAATTAAAAGTTGAAATAAAAGATGGGCCCGAAGCGTCCTAAAAGCCTAGTAGCTATATACATATATATATATAGCTGTAATCTCTGTTAGTCTGTTTGTTTGTTTGTCCGATCATTACTCAGGAACACCTGGACCGATTTGCCTCAAATTTTGATTGGGGAACTCGGGAGTTTAAAGTTTAAAAGTTTTAAAGTATAAAAGTTTGATGCAAACCTAAAAATATGTATATTTATTATTTTCGTAAATTTCATGCCAACTAATTTTTCTAAGTCAATATATTCACGAAACCTCAACTGCACTAAAATGCTTTTTAAAGTTAGAATTTAAAAGTTTCAAGAGAACTGTTATGTAAGAAATGTAATGCAAACATTTTGGAAAATATAATGTTTCATAATTTCTATAATTTTGAAGTAAACTGATGTTTTCATTAGAATTAATGTCAGTAAATTATCGATTTTTTAATAAATAGAAGTTCTACTTTGACAGTCTTGTAACAGGTATAATGGTACAACAGATAATGAATACATAATTGTGGAAGTTACAGACAAAATGCATGTATTAATGTTGATTAATGTTGATTTAGATGGATACAGATGAAGAAATGATGATGGTGTAAATTTGTGTAGAAGAATATTGGATTGGATTGAAAATAATTGATATCTATGAATATGGATTTAAGAAATTTGTGGAACAGTAGTATAGATATGAAGGAACAATGTGCATACAAAATTGTAGTCATCTTCTTAACATTTTGGTTTAAGAACTTGAAAATGCCTTAAAAAATACGCATTTTACGTAAAGGTAAAACCTATGAATTCCAAAATTTAAGAAATGTTGGGATTTATTCAAACCTAAATCTACGTATAGGAAAAACCTGAAAATTCCTGATTCATTGGATTTTCAGGTTTTTATACATACGCATTTTTACGTTTATCATATCTATATTTCTAAGGTTATAAAATACGTATTTTTACCGAGAAAATGGTTACGAAAATATGTATGTCATATTTATGGAAAATATGTATTTTAACTTATTCCAAACCTTAAAATATGTATATATACGAATGCCATACGTATTCATAGATTTTCCAGTTAGTAGGGTGTAGACAGATTGCATTCCTTTATTCTCTTAAGTCCCATCATTTGTGGGTTAAAATATCGGAATTTGGGTCCGTCCTAGTATACAATTTTTGGACCCCCCCCCCTCATATCAATTTAATAAATGACCACTTATTTTTTCAGCAACAAAATTATTATATGATTTTTTATTATTTACGGATAGGTTAGATTAAGACAACTTCTGGGCCGTACTGCGGCTAAGACAGGCTAGGGGGCCGAGCGCTGAGGCTAGGACAGGCTAGGGGGCCGAGCGCTGTGACTAGGACAGGCTAGGGGGCTGATCGCAGCGGATAGGACAGGCAAAGGGGCCGGGCGCTGCGGCGCGGGCACAAACAATGATAATTAACCATGTACAAAATTGATAGGAGCGGGGAGAAGGATCCAAAACTTCTTCTCTAGGAAAATACCGCCTAAATTTCGTGAGTATATGGTTCAATCAAGGACTTCATCATGCTACAAAAGAAATTAAAGAAAAGCTATTTAAAGTTCTTCTCTAGAATTTTCTTATTTTAGGCAAATACTAAATTTTATGGCTGAATGATTTTTATAAACATTTTTGCAAATAAATAGTTTTAGTTCTGCACTTAACAACTATATAATTTCAGCTAAAATTAAAGCACATTTTAATTAGTAATATTGACTAAACAATTTCAATTCGATTCAGAGGGGTAAACGTAGATAGATACAAAATGCATTATACAAAAATAAATAACTTCAGGCATTCAGCTGCAATTTGTTTTGATTGTGATATTACACCAATAAGAGATAAATAAATTTTGTTTAAACCAATTAAAGAAAGCTTCAATAATCTAACCAATCAGATGTAAAGAAATTTCAAAGACGACTTTCTGAACTAGGGTTAACCGAAATCTAGGTCAAGAAACAAATATTGTTTACAAAAAAAATTCCGAATAAAAAACATCTAAAAATTTGAAGCATAACAATTTTTTTAAAAGTAAAACATCAAAAACATTTTGTTACTTTATTTTATCTATTTCCGACCTTGACCATAAATGATTTTAGCGGATTTTGGCAAAAACTGTTCTAAACATTTGAGAAAAATAATCGTTTTTTTATTGCAAAAGTTTAACTCTTTAAACGTTCATGCATTCATGCATTCTTGGCCTGCGCCATTTTTGACCGGAAGACATTTCTGGTGCATACATTTATACTTACAATGTTGAAAACAGGTTTTAAAGCACACCCTATTCGATTGATTGTAGGTTTGCGCATGCGCACATGATCATATTCTAGTAGCCTACATGCGCAAAGGTGGAAAGCCGGGTTCTGCGCATATAGCATTAAAGCTGCGCATGCGTCAGTTCAAGGCACACGTCTTGAAAGACAGTTCGTAACATAAAATTTACATTTATTTGTAATTTTTCACATTTTAAGCCTTTGTGCAAACTCCGAGAAACTTCAATTGTGCACAAAAAAGGGAGCAAAAGTGTGCGACGCCGTAAACTGCGCACAATATCTTTAGATAAAAAATTAGTTTGAAATACTTCAAAATTCCGGTTCCGGTTTTTAACAACGAGGGCTTAAACCCTGAAGATAAAATGAATAATAAACGCAAAGGTAGAGGAGGTTCTACTGCTGCAGGGTGAGTAATTAAAGGGTCCGTCATAGTATTCGATTTTTGGACCCCCCCCCCCCTTCTATCAATTTTGTACATGATTTCTAATCGTTTCTATGCAGTTTGCGAAAATTATTTTATTAATTTGTATTATCTTAGGGTTAGGTGAGCTAGGACCGACTATGGGGGCCGAGCGCTACGGCCAGGACAGACTGTGGGGCTTAGCGCCCCGGCTAGGATAGGCTATGGAGCCGGGCGCTGCGGTCACATAACCAAATATATCAATGTGTTACATATGAGTTCCATGTACAAAATTGAGGATGGGGGGAGGGGGTCCAAAAATCGTTTAACAGGAAATTACCTGATTTAATAATAAGTGTATAAGAAGAATTTACCAAAAAGTTCTCTGGGAATTTAGCAAATGATGAAATATTAGGAACTATATTTCGTTTTTCATAAATGAGCAATTATGTCAAATTTACTAAAAGTGTGTTTTACTTTGCATTTCTAGATGATTTTATTGGAATAAAATTAATATTGGCAAAATTTGACATCAAAATTAAATATGTAAATTAAACATTCGTTACTTCAGGAAATCTGAGCGTGTATCTGCACCCCCTGTGGCCTCGTCGAAGCGCTCAAAAACGCCGGACAAGGACACGAAGGAACAGAGTCCGGACGATGAATTCAATGGCATTTATAACAACGCGAGGTAAAAATATGTTAAATACCATACCAAAATATGGGTAATTTCCTAGTAAACGATTTTTTTTTCCCCCCCCCCCCCCCCTCCGATCAATTTTGTATGTGGATCTAATATTTAACACATGGATAAAATTGGTCAAGTGATCGCAGCGCCCGGCCCCCTTGCCTCTCCAAGCCTCAGCGCTCGTCCCTCAAATTGTCTGAACCTTACCCTAACATAACTTAAATATGCTGAAACTAGTGGTCATGTACAAAATTTAAAGGAGGGAGGGGGTCCAAAAATCGTATACTAGAAGGGACTAGAAATATGCCCGTCCCCTAAAAGACTAATATAATTTATTTCGTAATTTCCTAAGGGAAGAGTTTTGGACCCCCCTCTCCCACGGGCCCTCTCCCGTTTGCATGCTTTGCATGTTAGAATTTAAATTTTTTATCCCGAACGCAATGAGTGGTCAAAAAACTTAAATCTAGATCCAAAGACCTAAATTTAAAAAGTTGACATATTTTATTTACTACTGTAATCAAATCAAGTTAAAATGAAACCCGTTTTTTAAATGAAAATTCGCGAAATATAATTTATGATACAATATCTTTATGAAATGTTTCTTATTTTCCTGGGATCAAGTTTTGTAAAAATAGATTTGTAATACCTCTTAATGTACTTACTTACTTTAAACTTTTCTGGTCTGGTAAAAAAGTAATAGTGCTATGGGTTAAAAAGGTATAGTTTTTTACACTGATATGAAGAAATTGAGCATAAATGAAAAAGTGCAAAATGGTTTCCTACTGATATAATTGGTAAAGTTTATCCTGAAAGTAAACGACAACTTTATCATTTATAAATGTCCCCCCCCCCCTCCATGGTTCTTACATAACTTTGTACTAGTACACGTTTCCATGCCCCTTCCGCAACCTTACTGCACATTCCTATAATCTCTTCCCAACCATACTGCACATTCCTATAATCCCTTCCCAACCATACTGCACATTCCTATAATCCCTTCCCAACCTTACTGCACATTCCTACAATCCCTTCCCAACCTTACTGCACATTCCTATAATCCCTTCCCAACCCTACGTCACATTCCTATAATCCCTTCCCAACCATACTGCACATTACTATAATCCCTTCCCAACCTTACTGCACATTCCTATAATCCCTTCCCAACCCTACTGCACATTACTATAATCCCTTCCCAACCTTACTGCACATTACTATAATCCCTTCCCAGCCTTACTGCACATTCCTATAATCCCTTCCCAACCCTACTGCACATTCCTATAATCCCTTCCCAACCTTACTGCACATTCCTATAATCCCTTCCCAACCTTACTGCACATTCCTATAATCCCTTCCCTACCCTACTGCACATTACTATAATCCCTTCCCAACCTTACTGCACATTACTATAATCTCTTCCCAACCATACTGCACATTCCTATAATCCCTTCCCAACCATACTGCACATTCCTATAATCCCTTCCCAACCTTACTGCACATTCCTATAATCCCTTCCCAACCTAACTGCACATTCCTATAATCCCTTCCCAACCTTAATGCACATTCCTATACCCTCTTCCTAACCATACTGCACATTCCTATAATCCCATCCCAACCCTACAGCACATTCCTATAATCCCTTCCCAACCTTACTGCATATTCCTACAATCCCTTTCCAACCTCAATGCACATTCCTATAATCCCTTCCCAACCTTACTGCACATTCCTATAATCCCTTCCCAACCATACTGCACATTCCTATAATCTCTTCCCAACCATACTGCACATTCCTACAATCCCTTTCCAACCTTAATGCACATTCCTATAATCCCTTCCCAACCTTACTGCAAATTCCTACAATCTCTTCCCAACCTTACTGCACATTCCTATAATCCCTTCCCAACCATACTCCACATTCCTATAATCCCTTCCCAACCTTACTGCACATTCCTATAATCCCTTCCCAACCATACTGCACATTTCTATACCCTCTTCCTAACCATCACATTCCTATAATCCCTTCCCAACCTTACTGCACATTCCTACAATCCCTTGCCAACCTTACTGCACATTCCTATAATCCCTTTCCAACCTTACTGCACATTCCTACAATCCCTTTCCAACCTTACTGCACATTCCTATAATCCCTTTCCAACCTTAATGCACATTCCTATAATCCCTTCCCAACCTTACTGCACATTCCCATACCCTCTTCCCAACCTTACTGCACATTCCCTTCCCTCCCCCCTCCTACTCACTGTGTAAACCCCGCGAAACTGACCGTTCTGGCTTGGATCGCCTGGTTATCTAGGGACCGTTAATTTATCAAGAGATCGGTCCTGGATTGCCCAGAAGTCGATGATAATCATTTGATTTGTATGGTGTATTTCTGAGGAAAGAATATTTCATTTTGAGTTAATCGTAATTATGCTTAACAGCGATTATAATTACTACTTAGTTTGCCAAACGCGATTTCTAAAATAAACTTTTGCTCATTTCTTGTTCGTGTATTGTAATATTTTTTAATCTGCCTGTTTTTTGCTCAATTTAAGTCTGAAAGAGATTGAGAATGGTTTCAGTTGATCACTACATGGGTTTAATAATAAGTAATACATGATAATATTGATTTAGAGGCAGCTTTAGTTATTATAAATTTGCAATTTGTCAAAATTGACAGTATTCTCAAATCCTTGGTTAAACCTCTCATATTACTAGGTTTACTCATGCTTTAACCTCTTTAATTGGAGTTCACCTAAGAGTTGAGACTAATAACAAGGTATACACGTTTTTCTTTTCTTTAGGGTTTTGAAATCTTTTTTTTATTCTTTAAATCTATTTGGCTCAAAAAGCATAATAAATAATTTATTTATAAAATGCGTTTTGATTAAAAAAAATAAGATACAAAGGGTTACTCTAATAATTATTTTCATACATTCAGTCATCACTGTCAAGGACTACTAGCATAATCTCAAGTTACCCGCAACACAAATATAGCCATGCCCAATTCACAACAGTATGCAAGCATTAAAAGCTTTATCTGTTAATGTATGAATTAGATAGCGACGATTAATGTTTATAGTTCCATAAAAAATTGATAATTTTCAAAAGTGACTTGCGCATGTCTAGTGCAGGACAACTTGTAGAAATTTCTAGTATTGAACACTTAAGTCTAGGATTAGCACATTATCTTCCACAGTATTGATCAGATAAAGGATTTATGGGTATCGTTGTGAATCAGGCATTGCTGCCTTTACAGGAAGGGTCGCTTAAAATTGCGCATATAGTCCCTTTAAATCTAAGTGTGAATTGTTAGTCTAGTTTGTTCGTAAAATTCGACATTTGAATTTATTTGCCTCGAAAAGCAGATTTTTTTGGTATTTTGCATATGTTTTGTAAAATTTTTATCATTTTTAATTAAGAAATAAAATGAATTTCATTTTTATTATTTAATTTGTTACCTTTCGTGCTAAACTTCGTTTCTGTGCTAACTTGAATATTTCGTTCTATATTATAAAAAATAGTTTCTACGTTGCTGAAAGAAAAAATAGGTATCGCGTAAACAGTTAACAATCTGAAGGTGATTTCTCATGTCTTAAATCCATTTAAGTCCTGTATTTCTAGGCTCAGCTCAGAGCTGGGGAATGCTTCGTATTTTATCGAGATCAATGTATTATATTGAGATCAATGCTTCATCTCGATCTCCTTTTTATAAATCTGATTTTTAACTGAAATAAAGAGATTAAACGTTAAACCTCAAATTGAAGGTATCCACTGCGGATATCGGGATTAGGAGTATTCATCACAAAAACTTTAAGCTGTGGATGAATGTAATGTCGGTTTTTGTTCAGGATGAATATGAAGGAATTTTGAAAACTTTTTCCCCTAACCTAGAGATTGTTTTAGAGATGGTGCATAAGGTACAGTGCTTAAATAATATTTTCCTACATAAATTAATCAAAATCAATTCTTTTTTTCGAATCAAATGTATTTTGTCAACAATTCTACTTTCAGATTGACCCTGCAAGCACGGATACTGTTGATCTTCAAACTGTCAAGGAAAAAATGGTTTTCCCTTTTGAATCTGTAGTTAGGTTGGTCATATTTATCTTTAGTTAGGTTGGTCATTTTTTGTCTTTAGTTAGGTTGTTCATTTTGTATCTGTTGTTAGGTTGGTCAGTTTTTATCTGTAGGTAGGATTTCCATTTTTTATCTTTAGTTAGCTTCGGTCATTTTTCTTCTGTCGCTAGGTTGGTAATTTCTGCAACTCTAGTCGGGTTGGTCATTTTTTTTCTGTAGCTGGGTTGGCCATTTCTTCAACTCTAGTCGGGTTGGTCATTTTTTCATCTGTAGCTGGGTTGGTCATTTTTCATCCGTAGTTATGTTGGTTAATTTTTCGTCTGTGTTAGGTTGGTCATTTTTTAATCTGTAAGTTAGGTTGATAAGTTTTTCATCTGTAGTTGGGTTGGTGAATTTTTCGTCTGTAGTTAGGTTGGTCATTTTTAATCTGTAAGTTAGGTTGGTAAATTTTTCATCTGTAGTTGGGTTGGTGAATTTTTCATCTGTAGTTGGGATGGTGAATTTTTCATCTGTAGTTAGGTTGGTGAATTTTTCATCTGTAGTGGGATGGTGAATTTTTCATCTGTAGTTAGGTGGGTAAATTTTTCATCTGTAGTTAGGTTGGTGAATTTTTCATCTGTAGTTAGGTTGGTCAAATTTTTATCTGTCGTTAGGTTGGTAAATTTTTATCTGTCGTTAGGTTGGTCAAATTTTTCATCTGTAGTTAGGTTGGTAAATTTTTATCTGTCGTTAGGTTGGTCAAATTTTTCATCTGTACTTAGGTTGGCCAAATTTTTATCTGTCGTTAGGTTGGTCAAATTTTTATCTGTCGTTAGGTTGGTAAATTTTTATTTGTCGTTAGGTTGGTAAATTTTTATCTGTAGTTAGGTTGGTCAAATTTTTATCTGTCGTTAGGTGGGTAAATTTTTATCTGTAGTTAGGTTGGTCAAATTTTTATCTGTCGTTAGGTTGGTCAAATTTTTCATCTGTCGTTAGGTTGGTAAATTTTTCATCTGTAGCTAGGTTGGTAAATTTTTCATCTGTAGTTAGGTTGGTAAATTTTTATCTGTCGTTAGGTTGGTCAAATTTTTATCTGTCGTTAGGTTGGTAAATTTTTATCTGTAGTTAGGTTGGTCAAATTTTTATCTGTCGTTAGGTCACTTCTAATTCTCAGTCAGGCTTAGAATTGTTTGATTTTAATATTTTACTAAGAAAAATCCGTTTTCAGTAAAAAATATTAAAAACTCGTAGAAAATAGCAACTTAAATTAAAATTTAATTTCCTTTCACACTAAGACACCTATCTCAAGTCCATAAAGTCCATATCTCCTTTAAGTTCAGTTTATCCATTATATGCGGCTAGTAGGAAGTCTCTAAAAGATTGATTGATTGATTGATTGATTGATTGATTGATTGATTGATTGATTGATTGATTGATTGATTGATTGATTGATTGAACAGACTATAATTATTTTTAGATATTTTGCTGGAGATGTAGATCTTGAGTTTGCCATGAAGGAATCGTTTCAAACAGATACACAAATATCTTCCGCTAAGTAAGTTATAAGAAAGTCTCTTAAATGGTTCATTTTTATGATTTTAGATTTATTTCGTACACAGAGGTACAATAGATTTATTAAAACTACAAAACATTTTTAAATATATATGTCATACAAAATAAAAAAAAATAGCTTCCATTCTAAGAACTTGGAAATCTGCTCAAAATCTGACATCATTCAAATTTATCTAAATAAATACCTAACCATATACAGGGTTGTATATTTTCTCGAAAAATCACCCCCTCCCCCACATTTGAAAATCATTTTATTCCATTATTTTCTATTTATCTATCTATCAAGAATGATCTTTTACCTAACAATCTATTTCTATATATTTATCTATCAAGAATGATCTTCTACCTAACAATCTATTTCTATATATCTATCTATCAAGAATGATCTTCTATCTAATAATCTATTTCTATATATTTATCTATCAAGAATGATCTTCTATCTGATAATCTATTTCTATATATTTATCTATCAAGAATGAGCTTTTATCTTATAATCTATTTCTATATATTTATCTATCAAGAATGAATGGTGAATCCCAGCTGCGTGACCTTGAGGTGTGGCAACCTGAAGATGATTGTGTCGGGGGCGGGATAGAAGATGATATGAATTCTAATAGTTGGACGCCAGAGGAGATGTTTGCAAAGGTAAAAGAACGGAAATGTAATCTAGGAAACCGGAAGTATAAAGTTAGTGATCCGGATTTAGATTAATTGATCCAGTTGGAGACATCAAAACCCGGAAATAAAAGCTTAAAAATCCGGAAAGAAAAGTTTAAAATCCGAGGGAAAGTTCGAAACCGGGAAGTAAACGTTTAAGACCCGGAAATGAAAGATTTAAACCCGGAAATAAAAGTTCAAATCCCGAAATTTAAAATTTAAAACTCGATAATTCAAACAAGATCTCACGAAGAGTTATTCCAAAGATTGTTAACGATTTTCTTTTATATCTAACGGCTAAAAGATTGAAAACCACAAAAATGCCGGAAGACTTAATTTAAATGGCAGTTGACTGATAACAACTCCTAAATCAAACATACCCTAACTTCTAACTCATTTAGAGGGTAACCTAATTTGCGTAATTTTTTTTCAAATTATCACTTATTGTGTTTTTTTTTAGAATGAGGAGAGGTTTGGTGTGAAAACTAGTTTTGATCCATCTTTAACCGGATATACAGTTCCTCTCAACAGGGATAGAGTTGATAGGTATTTTTAATCTCAGCTGGGGACTCAGGGGTGTATACTGCATATTTTACGGGGAAATCATTCCCCCCACTTTATTTTTTTAATTCATTTGATTCGCTGAATATTAGGAAAATAAAATAAGTACGAAAAGGATGAAAAAAAGCCATTTCATGATCAAGTTATTTTGTTTCTTACATCTTCAGAAATTTTTAAAATAACAAGAGGCGAGAAGGGAACTCTTGTATTGTGGCTTTATTCAATATCCCTTGAAGATTGTATGCTGTGGAAAACAAACAGCCAATCAGAAGCCAGGGAGTTTTGTGATAAACCATTGAGAGAACAGAAAAGTTTCGGATATCCAGAATCCAGGAGCAAGAGATCAAGTGGATTCAGTGTAAAATTCATGAGTTCTTATTTGTGTTAGATCTACTACTCATACTCATAATCCCGATCCAGGAGCAAGAGATCAAGCGGATTCAGTGTAAAATTCATGAGTTCTTATTTTTGTTAGATCCACTCCTCATACTTATAATCCCGATCCAGGAGCAAGAGATCAAGCGGATTCAGTGAAAAATTCATGAGTTCTTATTTGTGTTAGATCCACTCCTCATACTTATAATCCCGATCCAGGAGCAAGAGATCAAGCGGATTCAGTGTAAAATTCATGAGTTCTTATTTGTGTTAGATCCACTCCTCATATTTATAATCCCTATCCAGGAGCAAGAGATCAAGCGGATTCAGTGTAAAATTCATGAGTTCTGCTTTGTGTTAGATCTACTCCTCATACTCATAATCCCGATCCAGGAGCAAGAGATCAAGCGGATTCAGTGTAAAATTCATGAGTTCTGCTTTGTGTTAGATCCACTCCTCATACTCATAATCCCGATCGCTTAATCTTAATATCCACAGACACAGCTTTTCTCTAAAACATTTCTTGTTCATCTATGATCGTTAATTAAACAAATCTATTTATTATATTTTTAGTGAGACCGAGATGAGAGCTGCTCGTATAGCAGCATCAATAGAAGGAGACAGCAAGAGTCTGTATTATACTGAACTAGAAAACGGAGATGAAGAAGAAGCTTTTAGGTCAGTTACTAACCCACTTATTCAGTAACCTAATCACTAAGTCAGTCACTTATTTACTTTATCATATCACTTAATCACTTAAATATTCAATTACTCACTTGGTCCGTTACTCCCTCATAATGTCTGTTGATCATTTACTTATATCTAATAAACTAATTTTGTCACTTTACATGATCTTCGCTGTTATTTTTTAAAGACACCACTTGATCTTATTTAATTGTTTAATTGTTAGTGATATTAGTTCAATTAAGTTAGTCTATGCTCAATTCAAGTACTCATTCCCTTATTTATACTGACACACTTTAATGCCTTTTATTCAGCCGTTAAATCACTCTGTAATTCCAATACAAATTAAGTATCTTATCTACCCTTTAATAGATACATACTCACTCATCGACTTAATTTCTCATATATTTAATAATTTGCCACCTCTAATTTATCCTGGAAAAAAACGACAACATTTCCTATCTAGTGCTGTATCGAGAACTGGAGATAAACGGAACGGGCGGGAGCGCGAGAGTCCCGGTGACGAAAAATCTTCCGCCTATGTTCCCCCGGGAAAGCGCGACTCCCGCGGCGGATTCTCCCGAGGGCGTGGCCAAAGAACTCCGCCTCCAAATAGATATGACAACTATGAGGATAGAGATCAAAGACAAAGGTAAGATATGTCTGATGGGCAAAAATGTTGATTGTTTGATTTGTTGATTGGTTGATTGATTGATTGAATATATAATTTTGTTAAGGCATGGTGATCGTGGGGATCGAAACGATCGATACAGCGGCAGCAGGGGAGGTGGGCACAGAGAGGACAGGGGCAATTCAGGGGGGCACAGGGAAGACAGAGGGGGCTCTGGAGGACATAGAGAAGAAAGAGGAGGTGGCTACCAAGATCGAGGTTACCATCGTGAGGAGCGAGGCTACGGAGGACGTCAGGAGAGGGAGGAGAGAGGATACGGGAGGCAAGATTCCCACGGGAAGAAGGAGGACCATCGAGGCTTCCACGATCAGGGTCGAGGAGGTCAGGGACATGATCAAGGACGAGGTGGAGGATATCAGGATCATAGAGGACAGCAGAATAGACCTGGCAGCTCGCATGAAAACAGACGCGATGATCGAAAATCCTCTGAGAAGATTTCTCCCCTTCCGCCGCAAGAAACTGAGAAGACGGAGAGGAGGAGGTCCGGAGAGATGAACCGGAGTCCGGAGGCGGAACAAGGTGCTCTACCGCAGAGGGATTCTCAGCGAAGGAAACAAGAGAAATCTAAGGTATGGTTAAACATTGAAAACCTTCAAAACAAAAATCATTTTATATTTTTAGAGAAAATAAGACTACGCTGTCACGGACTAATTTAAGACTCGAGTTTTGGAATTTATGTGGAGACTGATTTTCCACCGAGTTGGGTTTATTAAACCTGTTAAATATTATAGTTGGTCGATTTTCATGGTTGGAATTGGCGGATTTCTAGATTTGATTTGAATAAGACTTAACATTGGTACAAATTCACCACAATAACTAACCAAGGTCGGTTTGTTTTGCCTTAAAAAAAACTTTATTTTTTCTTTTAATTTCAGGAGCAGAGTACGAGTGATCTGAAAGATTTCCATCAGAAGTTTAATTTGAAACTGGGCGACAGTGCTCCGCCCACCCAGCAACAAGCTACCACACCCACTGTTAGTATTAACCCTGATCCCCCTGGGCAGCCCCAGGCCAGCCCCCGGGATAATAAGACTCCGACTCCTAGACCTTCGCCTAAACCTGTTTCCCCTACACAGGTAAACAAAGATGCTTGAAGTACAGAAGGGGTTTATATTTTTGAAATTCTTCCGTCGAGGAAAAACTGAAACATATAATTATTAATTTTCCCTGGTGAAGGGGATAAAACTATAAAATACAAAACTTTTGTAAGTGTGGGGACCGGAGATGATTTTTCAAGAAAAAAATACACCTACACTTTTTATAACTTTTTACCCAAAAATTTAATTATTTTCTCTTTAACAAAAAGACAGATATTCACAGTTAGCAAGAAAGTTTTTCAAAATTAATTATTTGCAGAGTTCCATTGCTAGCGTGCCTTCTTCTACCCCTGACTTGAACAAGTCCAGTCTGAACCCCAACGCCAAGGAGTTCACCCTGAACCCTACGGCCAAGGAGTTTACCCCCAGGATGGCGCCCCGGCCATCCGCCACTCCCCCACGCCCTCAGACTCCAGGAACCCCGGGGCAGATGGTACCGACTATGTACACAAATATTATCCCAATCCAGGTATTGGTACACACACACTTTCATCAAATTTGAAGAGAAATAAAATACGAGGGTTTTCCTCGAGATATTATTATTTTGATTTATCAACAACAAATAAAGACAAAGCACTGTTTCTGATTAAACCCAACTCTATCCCACTCAAATCTTCAAACCAATGAATCTCCTCCTTTGTCCTCTAATAAAAATCAAATGAATAAACTGTGCCCGGAACTGGTTTTGGAAGAGAAAATTTTAAAAATCGGTCATTTTTCCCTAAATCTCGGAAAACATATTTCCGGACCTGTTTAAAAAAAACAAAACAAAAAAACAATAAAAACTTTAAAATCTCAAAGAAAAAAATAATTATTATATTGGTTGGAAGCCAGCACATAGGTGGGGAAATCCTGGAAATATTTAGATAATACTTTATTAGTTTTTAAGAGTAAATAATGTTTTTGCATTCATTTTCCGGTCATACAACGCTTTATGGGTATCTTTGAGAATTGTGCATGCGTGGACAAAAGAAATTAATTATTTGATTTCCTGCTAGACCCAAGTTGGAAGCCAGCATATGGGTGGAATGCCTGGAAATATATACACTCCAGCAAACCAAAGACCTATGCGTCCAAGCAGTAAGGAAGGAAGTGGAGGGGTTCATATAAGGCAGGAACTACCTTCTCCTATGCAGGTAAAGAAAAATTTTACTCCTTTAAGGCTATAAATACGGCCTTCTTTTTAAACTTCTAAAAGTTGCTCAAATCTTTCAGCTTTTTCTTAGCGATAAAACAAAACAATTTTTTTTTTGTGGAATTTCCAAAAAATTTCGAAAATCCAAAATGTTTGGATTCAACTTATTGTAATTCCGAGCAACAAAAAAACTTTCCTGGGATCATTTGAGGTCCCACATAAAATTGGAGTCTGATCGGTTTAGCCGTTTTGCCGTTTATTGGATACAAACAAGCAAGTAAACAAATAAACAGACCCAAACATGGTATTTATATATAAAAAGATTCGGTTAACATTCAGTTTTGCTAGAAGACATCGACTCATGAACGTTTCTAACAAATTTTCTTGTTTTCAAGCTTGTTCCAAAAAAAATTGTCATCATTACAATCATCAATATCATCATTAACATCAATATCATCAATATATCATTGCTTAAAATAATCGTTATCAATTCAGTGCTTAGGATCCCCTGGATCCGGATCCTAAGCACTGAATATCACTGGATCCGGATCCAAGGGGTAAAATATAAACCAAAAACTTCAAAAAAAACTTTTTTACTCCTAAAACTAAAATCTGAACTTTTGAAAAAAAAGGAGATTATAAAAATTTCATGGTTCATAAAGTTTTGGGATAAAAATATGCCAAAAAAAATAAAACTAAAAATTTGAAAACAATTTTTTGTTAAAAAATTCAGTAAATCTTAAAGAAATGACCTAGATCCGGATCCGGATTTGGATCCGGATCCATTCTTTTCCAGTGGATCCAGGATCCGGATCCGCATCAAAATTAAATGGATCCTAAGCACTGGTTATCATTATTATTTTTGTTAATGATGATGATAAAAGGTATGAAAATAATGAAATTCGTCATAATTTTAATAATTATCATAAGTATCAGTATCATCATTATTCAATCCTATTAAAGAAGCCAATGTCAAATAAGTCCTTGATCTGGATGGGGTACGCTGCCCCATTAGGATACCTTGTAAATCAAGGCTTTTTAGCTTGGTTTCAATCTAAGATCGGACAATTACCAATCAAATTCTTAAGCAGTGGTTTAATTCCTTTTTTTTGGGGGGGGGGGGGGGGGGGGGGTTGTTAATAAATCTTTGATATCATTATTTTTAAATTAACATTGTGATTGATTACAGGGGTCCATCCATATTCCATATATTTTGATTTCTGCTCCTAAATGGGCTCAGGGTTAAAGTGTGAAATTTAAAAAGTTGATGTGTACGTTACTACGCTACAGAAATGTGTACTGTATTTGGGGTGTTAAAAGATGTAAATATCAGCTATCAATATAAGAGATAAATTATTATGTACTAGAAAATAAAAGCTCCCTTGCAGGATGCATTTTGCAGTATGAATTTTTTCTACAACTTGACATCATACTTCTGATTATTTACAATAACAACATGGTATCAATCAATCAACATTTGAAATCGTACTAGATGAAATTATATGAAACCCTGATTGATTATTGTTAAGGTTCAGCAGGTGACAGGTCAACCTATCCTGGCACAGCATCTGAACCCTCCAGGATACTTTAACCAGGGACAGATACAGTACGTCCAGGGGGGTCCAGGACAGCAACCTATCATGAGGATGGTTAATGTTATGCCAGGTAGACCCCCACCCTCTTAAAGGCACTGTAACCACAATTTCACGTGACTTCACATGCAAAGATGGCAATGTCCGATTTACAACGGTACTTTTAAAGCGTTGTCAGATCAATCATGAATTAGATATTAATATTCATGTTTAAAATTTTGAAAACTGATAATTTTCCATTGTGGTTCCTCTACAGAATTGAAGTGACTTATTTCTACTGCAGGGTTTAATAAAGGACTTATTAGACCTAAACACTGTTTCACCTAGGAAAACGACAATATATTTCATATTATAACGGTTCCAAGGGTACCGTTGTGAATCGTGCATTGCCATTATTGCATAGAGGGTCACTTTAAATCACGTTTACCGTTCCTTTGTATAACCTCCTTACTTGGTAATGTAATGGCGGAGAGTATGGGAGTTCAATAAAACTAATAAAAATCTTAATTAAAATGTTAAAAAAAAAAATAATGTTGTAACAGTTGCGTTCAAATCAACCCCCATTTATTTTCTTAATTCGGCGACGATGGAAAAGCTTGGGGTTGGGGTAATAATAATTCATCTTATTAAATAATTGAGAACATTCTTTATCAGATAAATTTAAATTTTGTAAACTCCTCCAACTTTTGTTGTTACTAGACAATTCATTTCCCTGCTTTAAAAAAAAAACACTTCTTATAATTCTTGTAAAAAAAATCCAGTATTCTTTGACTCTACTGTTGTCTTTAGGTGATGAGTACCCCCTCTCCTATGCATGGTAGTAACGGACCCCCAGGACCTGGTGGTTTACCACCACCACACAATACTATGACCCCCACACCACCAGCTCAGGGCCACACTCCAGCTCCCTCTCCTGGACCACAAATTTTAGGTAAATTCAGAGCGGCGCATTTTAACATTTCCCGGATTTTCATGAAAGTGTCTTCGTTAATTTTATAAAAACTCATTGAAATACTAGTGTCACAAACTTTTAATTGGGTCTTAGCACTCCATAGCAATGAAAACAAACCAGTAAATCTTGCTTCATGAATAAAAGACAAAGATCTTCATCAGTTCATGTCGAACTGATTCTTACTAGATTACCTGATTTATCTCCTCTTTTTGGAAGATTTAGGATCTAATATCCAGGAAATAATCTCTTCTGTAAATGATTTCACGATTTTGTTCAGTAGATTAAACAACTAACTACTATACCTTCTCCACATCTAAAAAAACTCAGGGCACATTCAACATGCTTTGTATAAATGTAGTATCAACTTGAAAAAACAAGCAAAACCATTAGAAATTGGTAAACAAACAAACTAAACTAAGGAAACAATCACACCACATGCATTACTTTCAAATCAAGAACCAATTTTTACTTATAAAATGGTTTTTAACATTTTAACATTAGAAAAATAAAAAACAGTGATAGTCAGAACAAGAGCATAAAACTTATTTGCAATCTTTTATAATGTGAACTGTTCCAACTTGAAATAGTCGGATTTCACTATAATTATTTTTTACTATAATTCTTGGGTTTGTGCCCATGCAACCTTACAAATATGATAAAATAATAATCTTATGAGGATGCTGTCTTCGTTAAAGAATACATAAAGATTATTTCATCTCATTTAAGAATTTCCATTATTACATTTTTTCCTCATAAGATTATCATATTATGTTTTAGGCTACCCGCCACAGGGACCCCATCAACCCAACATGCCGCAGTATCATATGATGATGATTCCTAGTGGCGCCGGGCTCCCTCAATTTCACCAGGGTCCCGGTAACCCTGGGATGGGTGGAAACCAGCTTGTGGGCCAACCTAATATGCCGCAACATTTTCAGTATATTCAGCAAGGTAACAACTATTTTCTCACGTGTTTTCTAATTTTATTAATTCCCCCCCCCTCCCCCCCCCTAAGGATGATCTGAGGGGGGGGTATTTCTTTTTTGATACTGTTACCCAAAACTTCAATCATTTTCCCTAATTTAATCGAAGAGAAGTCCAATTTTAAAAACTGTACACCCCTTTATTGTTATTATTATAATATTGATTTATTTCAGACAATTAAATACATAAATTCAAACTTATGTTCTTCTTTATTAACGGTTCAGTGTAAATGATTTTATTGCAGTAGTAACCAATTATAACAATACAATGAAAACAACTCTATATTTAAGTTTTGATTGTTAACAAGCTTTTTTCGAATTACAAGTTTATTAGTATTCAAAGAGAAGCTTTTTTTTTAATAGCTAGACTTCTATGTTTAATCGACTACCACATGTTAAAAAAATTCACTGAAAAGACAATAGTTTTAAGTTAAGATATACTTTTAAGATTCTTTTTAATTTTTTATTCGCTTAATTTGAGGAAATATAAATTTCCAGGGGGAAATGAATTTTGTTTTAAAAGGGCGGAAAAACTTTTCATATTTTGTTAAAAGTTTTTATTTTTTAACTTTATCAGGCGGGCAACCAATCCATATGATGCCCCAGCACCATCAGCAGCATGGTCAGCACCCTCAGCATCAACAGCATCCACAACATCATCAACATCAACAACAGCAACAGTAAGGAGAAGGTAATTTACTTCTTTTCCAATGCGAGTTCAACTAAGGAAGGGTTTTTCTTTACTTATCACTGTAATGTATAAGGGCAGCTCAGGAACTTGTTAAATGTTTTTTAAGAGTTTTATTCGTTGTATTCTTTTTTTCTCTCCAAAATCATAAGAAATCCCCCCCCCCTTTGAATTCTGAAAATATACGTCATTTTCAATACTAACATCTACTTCTCCATCACCATCACCAAATGTTAAATATACATCACAATAGACTATTCAGTTCGTTATCTTCATTTTTTTATTTGATAAATAATTATTTTGTAAAATAACATTTTTTTAATTGTTATGTTTTTTTGCAGGAGGGGTTGAGTGGATGGCATGAGTATGAGTATACATACTGTTCAAGAATCCTAGATCAACGCAACTTATTGGGTTTTAACGTTTTCAAACACTAAATACGGCAAACAATTATGTTCTAAATTTGAAACCAAGCGAAACTATGAAGAAATTATGGATTATTAATTTAAAACTAATAAAAAATAAAACTTTTTTATACTCGTTCGATCTTTTAGTGCTGAGCAGAGATTGAAAAGAACAATTTTAAATAGATGAGCACTGTGCTCCAAATCGACTAAATAGATGAGCACTGTGCTCCAAATCGACCTTGTGTGACTTGAAAAATTCCTTTGCCATGACTTCTATAATGGTTTAGGGGGTCAAAATCCGATTTTATATAAATCCGAACACATATGGGGGACCCAAATTTTTTAATTGCCCAATTCATGTTAAGAATGTGTTGAATCAAAAAAGTTTCCTTCGATTAACCCCTCAAAACATGTTGAAAATATTTAGGGTCATCTTAATAGTTCTAAAGTCTTAAATATGAAGAGTTCTCGACGAATATAAATATCTTTTCTGTAATCATAATTTTTTTTGAATTAGCGGAAAATAGATCGTTTTGAAGCCAAAATATGAAAGTAAAAACCAAATATAACGAAATAAGGAGTAAAATTAGTAATTGACATTGGAAATAGAATGAAAGATAAACTTAGCAAATATACATACAGGGTGTCTAAAAACGGGAAATAAGGGTCTACAGACTCGTTTGTAATCGGATTTTCAAGATTGGGACCATTTTTGAAGTCTACGTACAAGTTCCGATTCAATAAGCCCAATTTTAGGCTTGTAGATCTAAAAATGAGTGAGTAATTTGGTAAAAATTAAGATAATCCCCGTTTGCACATAAGGGTCTATGCAGACTTGTCTGTGATCAGATTTTCAAGATTGAGACCATTTCTGATATCTACATTTGGCTTGTAGATCTAAAAAAATCAATTCTGCTGTAATAAACTGTAACCTAACATTGAATAAAAAATTGTGCAAATGGAGATTATGTTTTACTTTTTACTTCGCTCCAGTTGGAAACTTTAGGAGCCTTAAGATTTTTATTTTTATATCTACAAGTCTAAAATTAGACTTATTGAATCAGTAATTGTACAAAGATTTTAAAAATGGTTTCAATCTTGAAAATCCGATTACAAACGATTTTGTAGACCCTAATTCCCTGGTTTGTTTAGACACCCTGTAGATACAGTGTGTCCCACGAAACATGACATTTAATAAATTGTTATTTTTAGTTAAACAAATCTTTTGTTTCATTATCTTTTACTTTGAAAGCAATTTTAATATAGCATGACTGGCATATAATATTTTTATTGATCCTTGGTATCACACAACTTAACAAATTATGGAAAAAGACATTCTAAACTATTCACCAACTGTCATGTTTCGTGGGACACCCTGTAGATGGGATAGAAATGAGAAGGAAGAATCAAGGTGGAATCTGAGATTATAACAGATGAGTTGGTTTTTCAGAAAAGATTAACATTAAGAAAAATATCAAGGGAATCCAAAATAACAAAAAGTGAAAGTTTGGATTACGATTTAAAAAGAAGTAAAACAAAATTAAAAATACACATCTGACCATTAGAAAATATATATTTAAATAATCTCTATACTAACAAGTTCTCTCTCTAAATCTAAATTATCATTATTTTTTACTCATCGTTTCCTTCACATTTTTTATAACTATTTATCCTTTTAAAATCCTCTTCATGTTTATGTCTTAAAAATTTTCCTTTTATTCTCATTGGGCCTAACTCCTTTCGAGCCGAAGATATTGCAGCTGTCAATCACGTGACACAAATTGTCGTCAGAGTTGGGTCCAAAATTGTGCTTTAAGTCGGGTTTAAGGAATTACGGCTCGAGCCAAAGTTTTTAAATCGCGGGCTCAGCCTTTAAGCGTCTTGGACATTTCTGATTACCAATCGTCTTTCATATCTCATACATTGCTGATATCCTGTACATTGCTGATATCCTGTACATTGTTGATATCCTGTACATTGCTGATATCCTGTACATTGCTGATATCCTGTACATTGTTGATATCCTGTACATTGCTGATATCCTGTACATTGTTGATATCCTGTACATTGCTGATATCCTGTACATTGCTGATATCCTGTAACTCAATATTTTATCAAAAATAACTATGAAACAATATTCTTAATGTTTATTTCAAATGTTAATGTTAATATAAATGTATTATATGATTTATATCTACTGAAGTTGCAGTTTAAACACACCGGGTTACATTTCAAGCTCATTTTTACTAAAATTAATAATTTCAAAATTTTTTAGAATATAATTTTAGAGATATCTATTTAACGATTTATTAAGAAATGTGATGAAAATAATAGAAAAAATGACTTTTAGTACAAAAACTTGTTAGTAATGTTTTTCGACAGATAATAGTAATCTATTTCTTTTCTTTAAAGTTCCTTTTAGTAAGTAATCGTCTTTAAAGAGACTGTTGGCAAAATTCAATTTCATCCTTAAAGAGACTGTTGGCAAAACTCAACTTTATCATTAAGGAGACTGTTGGCAAAATTCAATTTTATCCTGAAAGAGACTGTTGGCAAAATTTAACTTTATCCTTAAAGAGACTGTTGGCAAAATTCAACTTCATCCTTAAAGAGACTGTTGGCAAAATTCAACATCATCCTTAAAGAGACTGTTGGCAAAATTCAACATCATCCTTAAAGAGACTGGTGGCAAAATTTGACTTGATATTACATTTGTATACTTTTAGTAGAGTTCACTGCCAACTTTTATCTAATTTACGATTATGAAAAGTACATTAGGTTATGAAAGTACATGATGAAAAGTACATTATAGGTTTTTGAATCTTTGGTAAAAAATTTCATAAATCGTAGGGGATAGAAACTGCTAAAATTGGTCCCATATTTACTAACAATACTTTTTCATCATTTACTAGAATTGTAAAATAATTTATAAAAGATTATATAAATAATACAATTAAACTGTGGTAATGAATTTCAAGTAAAAAAGGGTCATTTTGTTCTACATGATAGTGATGCTAGTCAACTATAATCTTCCGATATTTTTCATTACAAAATGTTTAAAATATTTGCTTCTAAATAAACTAGATTTAATTAGTAAATAATCTAATTTCTCAATAATACAATATCACACAGAGTTGTTGCAAGTTGGTAAAAAACTAAATAGAATTTTTACAAATAAAGAAATAAAGGATCAGATTTCCAAAACACTTGAATCCCTTTAAAGGAACAATTGACGTAATTACAATTAAAAAATCATTTTATAGTTTGGACAATCTGATTCACGATACCCTCATAAACTTTATCTGAGTAACAATGACGATTTTATTGTATTTTGTAGGGTACCGTTGTGAATCAGGCTGTTCTATCAAAGGAAGGCGACTAAAGTTTTGGTGTATATATGCTTCAGTCCTTTATAAAATGATTTCCAGTTTATTATCAAAAAAACCATTAAAAATCATTTATAATAAACCTGTCATTGTAAAATCCATACGAAAATCATTCATTACTCGACAGCGGGGGGGGGGGTGTTAATTTTCTTTGAAAAAAGATATCCCAGAGAAAACTGTTTTTGAACATCATAATCTAAGAATTTATTTGGACAAGTGAAATGGGTAAAAATGATTTGGCTAGCTAAAAATAAATATATGTAAATAAACGTTACCATAAGAAATCCACGAAATTACAGTAGAAAATTTACTAAATCGTGTCGTCGTTTTAATTTCACAACATAATATTTAAAATAATAAAAAACTCTTTGAAATTCTAGGACTCAAAAAAATATGTAATAATACTGGACTAAAGAATCACAAATCAATTGGATTGAATTATTTGAACGAACAAAATCTTTTTTTTAATTTCAAAAGGCACTTTTTTAGCAAGATTAACTGATAAGTTTTAAATTTAAAAATAGTAAATCTAAAAACTGGAAAATTTTCTATATGATAAATAATATATATAATATCTATAGTTATATTACTCTAATCTGTGAAAAATACTAAATGAATATCAACTATAATAATAAAACATTGCGAGTTTAAAAAGAGTTCTTATTTTCTATATATACACAATTCCGGTCAATGGAAAACTAGAAAATATGGCGATAGGAGAAATAAACCGGATAAACCAGAATAAAGCTGGCAAAGAACTGATTTTTTAGTTTTTTTTTCGTAATATTGAAAATATTCTAGAAAAATAAAAGGTATTTTTTCTAATTATTTCCAAATACGAAGAAACGAATTGTAAATAAATCTATAAAAGTTGTAGTCCCGAAAACGAGACCGAGTCAAGATGTTGAACCGAAACTTTATTATCTGTTGAATCCGACCATATCCCGGAAAAATTTCCAAAAAGGCCGTCCTCGGTCCGTTTGTAGTTGGTCGAGAATTGTTGGCCCAAAAAGTTCCCCATTTTTGGGCCCTTGCTCGGGGGTGTGTGTTCATTACTAGAGCCTACAGAGTTCAATCCACCCCCCTGAGGTCTGAAATAACACAAAAAGTATAAAATGTTGCCATTTTTATTTTCGTACATGAAAACTGTTGAATTCGTATTGGTTTGTGTTTAAAAAACTATTAACTTCCAATAATTCAAAACTGATAAAGTTTGTTTTACTAAACTATGAAATATTTTTGCCCTAAGAGAAAAAAGGAAATGTTTAGAATACACAATTTTAAAATTGTGGAATCTTCTTTGTCGAAAAACAAAACAAACTTATTGCACATCAATTGTTGAATGGTTTTATTATTTCGCTAGGGATTTGTAATTGTTCTTGCTGGCCAATTTCTGAGCTTTTTACAATTATATCAGTTACGAATCCGCCAAAAATTTCTGTTTGATATTTGTATAAAATATGTTGACATATCAGTTAATTTGGTCAAAGTTGAGAAAATGATTTGAAATTTGTCTACGCCGCTCTCCCTTTAATCAAACTGTACCTAGGAGGGATTGGAAGAGCTGCTCCATGTTGAATATCAGAATCTTCTGAGCAGCTTGTAGAGCAGCCAGGGACACTCCAGGAGTAATCAACAGCTTCAGAGCACCAGGAAGCTCCTTCAGAACAGTCGTTGCTCTGAGAGCACCAGGGGTGCTCCGGAATTGAGGCGAGAGGCATTCGTTTAGAGCAATCAACCTATTTATTAATTTACATTTAATCATTTTTATTTTCAATTTGAAAAATTATATTTTAAGTCATCACCCAACAATTATAGAATTATCAAAAACATTTCGAACATTTTTTTAACATTCTAATGTTCATAATGTTCATAATGTTCATAATATCAAAAAAATATTTATTTAATTTTACCTCTAAACAGCGAGAGATTAAATCCTGGCATTGATTAGAAACTCGAGATCTGAACTTCAGCTCCGCGCGAACAATCTGAATTATTTCCGAATTCTAAAGAGGACGACTTTTTAAAATACGAACATTAAGAAATTACAAATTGAATTAAATTGTTTGATATTTCGAAATTTTCATAATTTAAGGCTTAAATAAGATCAAATATATATAGGGCGTGTTTAAATAGAAAAAAAAACAGAATTAACAATTAAAAACAATATTTAGAAAGATATTTACTTGCTGGTCTGTCTCAAAAGGAATATCGCCGCAAACCATATCATAGAGAAGAATCCCAAGAGACCACACAGTGGCTGCATCCGCCTAGAAATATTAAAATCATTATCAACCAATTAATCAATTACTTCATCAACCAATTATTATCAACCAATTAATCAATTACTTCATCAACTAATTATAATCAACCAATTAATCAATTACTTCATCAACCAATTATAATCAACCAATTAATCAATTACTTCATCAACCAATTATAATCAACCAATTAATCATCAACTAATTATAATCAACTGATTAATCAATTACTTCATCAACCAATTAATCAATTACTTCATCAACTAATTATTATCAACCAATTAATCAATTACTTCATCAACCAATTATAATCAATCAATCAAATCATGATCAATCAATCAAAAAAACAATCAATCAATCAAACAATAAATCAAACCATCAAACCATCAAACCATAAAGCAATCAAACCATCAAACCATCAAGCAATCAAACAATCAAACAATCAAGCAATCAAACCATCAAGCAATCAAACAATCAAACAACCAAACCATCAAGCAATCAAACATCAAACCATCAAGCAATCAAACAATCAAACCATCAAGCAATAAAACAATCAAACATCAAACCATTAAGCAATTAAACCATCAAACCATCAAGCAATAAAACAATCAAACCATCAAACATCAAACCATCAAGCAATCAAACAATCAAACCATCAAGCAATAAAACAATCAAACATCAAACCATTAAGCAATTAAACCATCAAACCATCAAGCAATAAAACAATCAAACCATCAAACATCAAACCATCAAGCAATCAAACAATCAAACCATCAAGCAATAAAACAATCAAACATCAAACCATCAAGCAATCAAACCATCAAACCATCAAACCATCAAGCAATCAAACCATCAAGCAATCAAACCATCAAACCATCAAACAATCAAGCAATCAAACAATCAAGCAATCAAACATCAAACCATCAAGCAATTAAACAATCAAACTATCAAGCAATCAAACATCAAACAAGAAAGCAATCAAACAATAAATCAAACCATCAATCAATCCACCAACCAAACTATCAAGGAAACAAGCAAGCAATCAATCAATTAATCAATCAACCAAGCAATTTTTACCTGATATTGTGAGTTTAAGATCCATTCGGGAGGAGAATACACCCTGGTACCTAGATAGATAGATAGATAGATAGATAGAACAAGAGAGATATATTTAGTAATATTATTGTATACAAATGTTTTGTACCACTTCAGTGCAAGATATATAGGTATATAATTATAGATAGATAGATAAATATTAGAAAGAAAAAAGATATAAACGTTTATTAGGTTGTTTAGATTGGTATAATATTATTTAGCAGTGTGCACTGTAAAACTTTAAGGATTGCATAAAATTACTTTGTGTCGTTAAACTTGCAAAATAAACTAATAAAAAGACAAGACAGATAGATGTAAAATACATAGATAGACAGATAGATTGGTATAAAAGAAAAATGAATATATGGATATAGAGATACAAACACAGATAAGATAGATAGATGGATAGATAGATAGATAGAGCGATAGATAGGTGGATAGATAGATAGATAAATATATATATATATATATATAAATAGATAGATAGATAGATGGCTATATAGATGAATAGATAGATAGATAGATAGATGAACAGAGAGATAGATATAGAGATAGCAAAATAGATACATTGACAGTTAGGAAGATAGGTAGAGTAATTACAGGGTTACCCATACAGAATGAGACTTCATAGACGACTGTCGGAATTTATAACGTCTGTTTCCTTATATTCATGATTCCCAGCAACTGTTAGCGTGTGTGTGTCTTTCTTTGCCAAATCATTGAATACGTCATTAAAAGGAAATATCCAGAGCAGGGATTGTCATATTTTAATAGTTAATAGTTTCAAGTCGTCTTTACAGTCTCTTTTGTCGATTACTCTGTAGATAGATAGATAGATAGATAGATAAATAGATAGATAGATAGATAGATAGATAGATAGATAGTAGATAGATAGATAGATAGTAGATGTATATATTAAACTAGATTGGTTGGCTATAAGATGGTTTGATAAATAAAAAACAACATGGTTATATAACTAAAGTGACTTGACCATATTTTAAACAACAGTTTGTTACTCTTTTAATGTCAACATTTGTACTGCATGATGCACTATAAGGTAGAATTTTAATAAAAGAACTTAACGCTTACCCAGTACAATCTAACTTTCTAACCCCTTTATCTTTGCAACATAAGTTTAGAAAATTAAATGTTTTCACCGTCAGGTTGTAAAGATATAGGGATAAGAAATGCAAATTTTACAAGAAAAGAAAAGTACGTACAGTACAAAAAGTAAGTACAGTACAAAATGAACGTTCAGTAAAAAAAAGTACTTGCAGTAAAAAAAAGTACGAACAATTCAAAAAGTAAGTACAGCACAAAAAGTACGTACTGTACAAAAAGTACGAACAGTACAAAAAGACCGTACAATACAAAATGTGCGTACAGTAAAAATATTTTTGAAATTAAAACAATGAAGCAATGTAAAGTATTCCAAGTGCTGTGGTAAAATAAAGAAACTTGGTATTTTTTTATACCACACCTTTGCTAAAATGCTGTTTTCTTATAAAAAATAACCTTGTCTCTGAAAGCAGTAAACAATAAACATGTTTCTAAAAAGTGCATTTCACGAAACGAAAAAATGTCGACTGAGAAGTGACCTTCATGTTGGAAAAACAAAACTACTTTTTCTGAAATAATCGTCCTTGAGCAAAAATCTAACAAATGTTCCAATTTTTTCTGAAACTTGATAAATTCTAAAATTTATTTCTATAATTCTATTAAGGGTTTCTGTGATACTAAGTTATGCTAATCACTTAAAAGAACGCCCAAAATCCCTTTAAAAACAAATTCCGTGCTTGGTAACATAAAATTCATGGCAAAACTAAGTCAGGCAACAAATGCGCAAGTGAATCCTGAAAAAAAGTACGAAATGTGAAATGGCCCGACCCCGATTATGTAAACGTTTATCAAAATACAGTTCACATAAACGTACTTTATGATCTGGGTATTATTTGATAATTGGCTTGAAATTAAGCTACCTACCAGCTCGGGCATATAAAGAATATGTTGTGGGGCCCGGTGGGGGGGGGGGGGGTTGTATGAAGATTCCCTTATTACTATAAGGAGGGGGTTTAACCCCATGTCTAAACCAGTGCTTTAAAAAGTAATGCTTAATATCAAAAATGTTCATCATATGAAAACACAACATTTTAAAAGGGACGCCATTTTAAAAATGGCGATATATGCACAATGCACTTTGCACAAGACAAAATGGCAGAATACCGTCGAATTCTGTGTATGGTGAATGCTGATGAAGAGTAGCCGAACCAAAATCTATCAGCTTCAATTCCATTTTCCTGAAATACAATTTTTTTAAGAATTGAGCGATTGATTGATGGAATTGTACAAATTACGTTGAAACGCGTATACTGTAAAATGTACAATGTACATTCACAATAAAATGTGCTGTGTTTCCTATACTATGTGCACTGTCATTGGCTAAGGCACTAAAATGGATTTTAAAGCCTTATTAATGAATGATACAGACTTAAAGTTTAGAATTCCCTTTATCATTGCTTGGATATATTTTCAGCCTTCGGCCTGTTCTATCTAATTGAGGATTAGGAAGTGCTTGAAAACTAGATAAAAAAGTAATTGTACAGATGCATGGATGCATAGATGCATGAATAGTGCACTCATGATTGCATGAATCACTGACTTTTCAGAGTTCCAAAAATAAAACAGATAAATTCATTTTTTTATTACTAAGAAGCACAAAATCCAGGACTCACAGCCGCAAATACAAATTACAATGCAAAAGTATTCAGGGTTTTCAACAGCTGATGATTTTGAAGAGGTGGGGGGGGGGAGGGGGAAAGCGCCACCCTTCCTTCATTCATACTCTAATTATGTAATAATAATATCTAATTTCACTGTTTTTGATTGAAAACACGAAAATCTTTTAGAATCTTTCATCATACTCTTTGATTGAACGACATATCAAGGGACTGTAAGCCTAATTTCAAGTAACCCTTCATGCCTGATTTACAACAATATCCTTGAAACTTTAAAATGTGGAAGACACCGCCACTTCTCTGACTTGAAAAGTGTTATAATGTCTAAAATTCACAATTGCTTCTTAAAAGCAAGAATTGACTTTGTGCAAGCCACTGTGTTTTCACATAAATCGCAAAGGAAAAAACACAGTTTAAAGAATCAAAAACATAGATAGATAATTTATAATTGATTGCAAACATAACTTTTAAGGGTACTGTTGTTAATAGGACATTGTCATCTTTACATGGAGGGGTACTTCAAACAATCCCATTAATTTGCTATTTTATTACCTAAGATCAACGAGTAGGTTTTCATCCTTGATGTCTCGGTGTACAATTCCTTCACGTTTACAAGCCAGCACAGTTTCTACTACCTTAACAGATACTTCATTTAAATTCGGTCAGGGAGCTTTTACTTTCGAACCCCGTTACATATAGAATTTGCCTTTACGATTTATACATTTAAGTAATTAAAGCCTTTTAAGCCATTTGTGGTGGAGCGAGAGAACAAAAGTTGAATGATGTTATTCCTATACAGCCAGAGCCATTGGAACTCTTGTATTGTATAAATCGCGTTCAAGGTTTGATCTCGATCTTTTGTTAATCGATTTTTCCTTTTTCGATATCCTGTGGTAATTGTACCCTGTAGGAATAACTGAAATGACGAGATCAAGCAAATGATCTTCAAATTAAAGTGCCCTAAGTGGATATCGTGGATATCGGGTTAGTTCCCGTGAACAGAGCAATAAGGGTGCAGTGCAGTTTTCCCAAAATATTGGTCAGAACTTCCATTGGCCGATGGGGGGGGAGGAAAGTACATCGTCTGTGTAGTGTGCAGTGTGCACTGTAAAACTTTAAGGATTGCATAAAATTACTTTGTGTCGTTAAACTTGCAAAATAAACTAATAAAAAGACAAAGGGTTTAAACTGATCTAAACTATTCAAATTATTTTTCTTTGTTGCTTCTTTTCTTCCTCTTTGTTGCACAAAAGAGTCCTTGGCGAATTAACAAGAAACAAAGAGAAAGAGAGATGGTGGGGGCCGGGGGGGATGAACTAAAAAGAAAAAAGAAAGGGGAGGGGAGGAAAAGCCAATCAACATGGAAAGGGAAAAAAGAAGGAGGAAAGAAAGGAAAAAAAGGAAAGAAAGGAAAGAAAAGAGGAAAAAAGGAAAGAAAGGAAAGAAAGGAACGAAAGGAAAAGAAAGAAAGGAAATTAAGAAAAGAAGTCAAAGAAAGGAAAAGAAAGGAAAGAAAGGAAAGAAAAAAAAGGAAAGAAAGGAAAGAAAAGAGGAATGAAAGGAGGAAAGAAGGAAATGGGAATCAGCAATAAGAATAAAAAAAGAGGGGGTAGAATAAAAAAAGAATATTTTAAACGAAAGATGGACAAAAACAAGATTAAAAGTATTTCTCAAAATATTTTTTTTCTACAATAAATTTCTTTTTTATCACCTGGTTAAAGAAATTTCTAGCAACTTGTTCCTCTAGTAAAACTTTCTCTGTTATATAGTCAAATAGGTCCTAAAAATATATATTTAGATAAAGTTATTTAAAGACATGCACGTGCTTCATAATTAGAAATATCTTAAACTCTGTATATATAATATATAAATACATATATTGAATGGAGTTATATAACCGAAAAAGACCCTAAATATAGATGACTTTTTTTGGTTACATATCACAAAATATCTTAGATTTTATAAATACATTCAGGTATAGATACAACATAAAAGGTTACAAAAATAGATAGATATAGCTATTTTAAGAAATGCTCAGTTGCTTCATAATCAGAAATATCTTAAACTATACAATATTGTATCTATATTCTATATACATATACTACATATTATAATATAACTTACACAATAATGTATATAATAAAACTTCAAGTCATGTTTTGAACACTTATTATCTAATATATATAAATATATATTTATTTATATCTATATATATCTATATGGGTAACCCTGTACCAAAGACTGAAATAAAAACGACTCTCAAACTAAATATTTATAAGAAAATTTTTTACAAATATTTGATTACATAAATAGAGTGAAAAAATATTTCCTTAAAAAACAAAGAAAAAATCTAACACCCAACAAAGCAAATTCCAAAACACGGGTGCATAAATGCATAAATGTAAAAAATGCAAGATAGGCGTATTCTCTACACTCGATACATAATCTCTAATGAGAAATAAATATTTTTGCAAAATGCAACAAACTCTGCAAACAAAAAGTGCAACAAATCCTACAAAAAACTCTGTTCAAAAATCGCCTAAATCAATCAATCAATTAAATGCTAAAAACATTTCATAATTAAAAACATTTGCAATATTTTTATCAATATATTTTATTTTTTTAAGAAAAAAGTAAGCTAAAAACGATTGTTTTTTAATACATTTTCACTTTTGGTCAGGTATAAGAAAAGCAAAATACTAATTATAAATTTTTAAAAAATTCTCAGATTTGTGTGAGACTCCCCTCAAAAACAAACCAATTGATTTCAAATCTTTTTACGGAACTAGTGATGTCTTTTGGTTTGTTTACGGAACTAGTGATGCTTCAAAATTTACCATTATAGTGAAAGAAAAAAGTGTTTGAAATTGTTTTTTTTATCAACATTTGTACTATGCAAAGTTTTCATCCTGACAAAAAATATTGGCAAAAAAATGATAGTTTAATTTGAATTTTGAATTAAAAATTTTGCAAAGTTATGTTCCAAGTTTTAAAAAACAAACTAGAACGATAAACATTACTAGCGTCGGAACTAACCTTGCATGGTTGGGGACGGTCCATGACAATGATAGTTACGGTCTCCCTTCTGTAATACTCCAACATCTCCACCACCCCCTCCACCCCTCTCACACGCTCCATTACGTACACCTCCATCGGTACACGGACTCCATTCAACTAAAACAATAATTATTATTATTACATAAATCTTTATTGGTTCTAAGCGTTATAACGAAAAATTAATAGTAAAAAAATGACAGGGTTTTGCATCTATATATCAGAAAGCGTATATATATGTGTGTTAAATGAAAAAAATAAACATTTTAAATTTTTAATTTTTTTCAATCGGCAAAAAGCGAGAGAAAAAAAAACAATCAGCAAAAGGACATGTTAACAAAATTAAACGATCAGCGTAAGCTCACATTGAGGAAAACTGTAAGCGAGCTAATTTAAATTTTTGAGATCTGAGGTTAAAATGGGAAAGATGCACATTATATATATTTAAATGAGACTTTTTCACGTATCAGTAAAAAAAGTGAAAAATAGGAAGAATTATAAATAATACAATACATAAGCTTAATATATAGAATTAAACTTTTCGTGTTTAATTAAATAATAATAATAATAACTAAAGTCAACTGCAATAATAAAATTCACTGTTTTAAAAATATATTCGAATATTCAAAAATCTGATGTTTAGTTTTTCTATTTAGTCTTTTGGAGATTTTAATCTTGTTTTTTTTTTATTTCTGCATTCAACTGCAATAATGAAACTCTTGCTTTAAATTCAAAGGAAAATATTATACAGTGATAACCAGAAAACACTGGCCTAGGAAGACGATATTACAGTAATACTTTAGTGTGTTTGATGTTGATGATGAAGCAAAAAGTTTTACTAGAAACTTATTAAATCACTAATTTAGTGAAATGTGTTCCTCTCTATTTCAGAGTTTTCTAGTTATCACTGTAATTTAGTTTGAAAATTTGCAAAATCGTTCATAATTGCTGATACGACTTGGCGACCAGATACCTCCTCCAGCTTTCATTTTACATTTGAGTGAGACCAGCAACTTTTTTTATTGCACAGAAGGCATTTTGTACTCTTATAAAAAACTTCAAGATTTTAAGCTAAAATGAAACTAACTCGATGCTTACATGTACATCGTCCAAGAAACTATCCAATGCCCCCCACCCCCCAACACACTTTATTCGTGTTGTTGATATAGATGATTGCGTAACGGTTTTTATTTGAAACTCTAGACACTGCTGCACAAAGTACTCATGTCTAGACTAAAGACAAAACATTACGCACAAAAGCGTAAACATGTCGTCTTCCATTCTTCCCGCGCCTTTACTCGCTTCTGCGTAAGTTCGTTACGACATTCTACATTTTAAGAATTTGGTAAATGCGTAATAAATTAAATCCGTTGGTGTGAAAACAAAGCAGGAGAAGGGATTAGGATAAAATATATCAAAATTGCAAATCAAGTTTAAAGATCAGAATATTAGCAGAAGAAACGTGGAGTTGGAATATTTTTTAATAGCACAACAAGCAAGGGATTAGGAAGAATTAGGAAAAATTTAGGAAAGATCAGGAAGGATCAGGAAGGATTAGGAGGGATCAGGAGGGACCAGGAAGGATCAGGAAGGATCAGGAAGGATCAGGAAGGATCAGGAAGGATCAGGAAGAATCAGGAAGGATCAGGAAGGATCAGGAAGGATCAGGAAGGAACAGAAAGGATCAGAAAGGATCAGGAAGAATCAGGAAGGATCAGGAAGGATCTGGAAGAATCAAGGGATCAGGAGGAATCAGGGAGGAATCAAGGAGGATCAGGAAGGATCAAGAAGGATCAGGAAGGATCAGGAAGGATGAGAAAGGATTAAGAAGGATTAGAAATGATTAGGAATGATCAGGAATGATCAGGAATGATCAGGAAGGATCAGGAAAGATCAGGAAGGATCAAGAAGATTAAGAAGATAGGGAAGTTTACAAATTCTATATTGGCCCACAAATGGATGGATAGATAGATAGATCCCTAGAATGGATAGATGGATAGATGGATAGATGGATAGATGGATAGATGGATAGGTGGATAGATGAATAGATGGATAGATGGATAGGTGGATAGGTGGAAGGATGGATAGATGGATAGATGGATGGATGGATAGATAGATAGATAGATGGATGGATGGATGGATAGATAGATAGATAGATAGATAGATAGATAGATAGATAGATAGATAGATAGATAGATAGATAGATATAGATGGACAGATAGATAGATGGACAGATAGATAGATGGACAGATAGATAGATGGACAGATAGAATCATGATGTAAAGTATATACAGAGACGTATAGACGTATCGACAGATGGACAAATAGACAGATAAACAATATGGACAGATGGATATATGCCATATGGACAGAAGGATATATGGACAGATGGACAGATGAACAGATAGACAGATTTACATATCAGATGGATAGACATATCAGACGGATAGACATATTCAGATGGATAGACAGATGGACAGATAGAGAGATGGAAAAAAATGACAGATTGAATAATAAACAGTTTGGTGATCAATATAAACATAAAATAAATAAAAGATAAATAAAACAAATGACACTGACAGATGACAGAAGACAGATGACAGAATAAGGATGGAAAAAGTTTTTTAAAAAAAACTAATAAATATTACTGACGACCCCCTCTGCTTCCACAAATTTAGAAGAATAACGTTTTTGAATTATTACTCGTAAAAATGAGCTATTTTTCTTCCTTAGTTATTAGATGACAAAAACATCTGTTATTTTAACATTTTTTATCTTTTTGTCAAAAAATTTTTATTGTCAAATTCTTTTCAAAATGCACAATTTCTTATAGACCCGCCAAAAAAATAAAGAGGCTTCTAGTGGGATGCGTGAAATGACCCAAGATAAAAAAATGGGATTTTTTTTCGATGATCATCAAAGAACAAACCATTTAAATAATTATATATCTATACATATTATAAACTAGCTGAATTGCCTGGCGTTGCCCAGGTAACTCATAGTTCTTCCCGCTGTTTACCCGCACTTGGTCTTTAATCCTGATTTACGTGGTTACTGGTTACCTTACCCGAATTCTATAATTTGTTTGCCTTCCGTCAAAATTAAGTTCAGCCGTTTTGTCAGCTGAAGTGAACATAAAAATGAACAAAAAGCTTCATCATACATCTAGATAATGACTATTATAATTATAATTATAATTATTTATAAATGTTACAGCTGCTGAGCCGATCAACCCAAACTAAATGTAAGACTTTACCCCCAAGAAAAAGTTTTTGGCGAGTCGAAATTCAAAAATGTCGTCTTCTTAACTTTTTTCGAAAATCCACCAAAACAAGTAGAAAAAACCCCAACATTTTTGTTTTATGTATATCTTCTGGCATGAAAAGCATTATTATACTAAATTCCTAAATTTAAATTTTTGTACTGCAAAGAGATTTCAAACTGCATGTGTATAATTAATATTATGAAAACAACATCTGTGCTAATTTTGAACGAAATTTTTTTAGAAATTTACATTATTTAACGTTAAAAATTAAGAATCCCTATATAGCTGCGGTGTGGGGAGGGGTTGAAATTATAAGCTTGGTTTTTTTTCAAGTATTTTTTTCAACAAAAAAATAACCCTTGTATGTATATTTCAATCAATTATATTATTTAAGTGTATAAATCCTTTCACAACTAGTCAATCAAACATTAGGATTTTTGACACGAGATCAAACTTGATACATATAAATCAATTTGGATTAAAATAGATTTGGAATATCTATGACCTTCTTTTTTGCATGGATGGTCTTAACTGTTAAAACCTCAAAAAATCACGTAATTAAAAAAGTTTTTTTTTATGAAAAGAGAAAATAGTTTAAGAATCAAAATTATATTTATAATCGATAAAAGAAATTGTTATATTCCAAATATATATTTTAAATAAAAGAATTTGTTATATTCCAAATATATATTTTAGATAAAAGATATTGTTATATTCCAAATATATATTTTAAATAAAAGAAATTGTTATATTCCAAATATATTTTAGATAAAAGATATTGTTATATTCCAAATATATATTTTAGATAAAAGATATTGTTATATTCCAAATATATATTTTAGATAAAAGATATTGTTATATTCCAAATATATATTTTAAATAAAAGAAATTGTTATATTCCAAATATATTTTAGATAAAAGATATTGTTATATTCCAAATATATATTTTAGATAAAAGATATTTTTATATTCCAAATATATATTTTAAGTAAAAAAATTGCGAATAGAAAAAATTCCGCAAATTTCTGATAAAAAATATGATTCGGAACATTCTTGAAATTCCAGGTGAGCCTGCAGTTACACCCACCCTAGATCCTTTATCATAATACAGTTGATAAGCCTGGGAACAAAATCGTAAATCCTTAACCCTATTCTTATGGAGTGGGGAGATTAATCCCCCCCCCCCCCACCAACAACATTTTTGTGATTTTTACTAAACAATATTAAAAAAAAATTTACAAATAAAACAAGAGCAAAGAGCGTTAAAAATGTCTCATTTATCATACGTGGAATTTTGTCATACGTGAAATTTTTTAATAAGATTTACCGGGAAGTGTCAGGGGAATGGCTCAATTCACTCCCTCTTAGGTGAAGTGATTCAAGTATCCAAAAACTTGGCTTTTTAAATTATTTACATCTTTTTATGAAAAGCCAGAAAAATTCCAATTTTACCATCATCCTATAGTAAATGACTTAAATAAAGAATGGCATAAAGAAGTGGGGGGAGAGGGGTCATTAGGGTATTAATTTATAGAATTTTAGAAAATAGCTGAAATATAAAATGTGAAAGGGTTTATACGGTACAAAGGGAGATAACCTTTAAAGGTTACGTCTATAATAGGCAATAATAATAAAATTACAATGGAGAATTCAGGCAGTTTTCCTTCTTTCCTTCTTCCAAAAATACTGCAATATTACTTTTTGACCTCGCAACTCGCCAAGAGTGGGAAGTGCAATCTTATTTAGTGGCAAATATGTATTTTAAACCTTTTTATCAATAGCTCTTTAGTAATAGAAATTCCAGATTTTAAACTAAATTAATCTTTATTCTGCGATGCAGGTTTTTTCCACAGAAATATAATCAAAGTTTATCTAATTCTAGAAAAAACTAGCAAGTGTTTAAATCGTTTAAAATTTTATACCTCCGTCCAATGCTTGATTTTTGAGTTTGTTACGACTTTAACAGCGACTTTGACACCGTCCTTTAGTCTAAAAAAATATACATTTTTTATTGCGTCATATCCTGTAAGCGTACTTTTAAGTGAACCTCCATGCGAAGATGGCAATGCCTGATTTACAACGATACCCTTGAAACCTTAATCAAATTAAAAATGTGGAAAAACCCGTTGTTTTTCTGACTTAAAAATTTCGCCATTGCTTCAATTAAATGCGCAAGACATTTTTGGAAAGAAAAAAAGTTTTACCCATGAGTGTTCACAAAAAAGGTCAGCCCATTCGGTCCAGCCGTTTAGTCGGCCAGAGGGAACATAAATATTATAAAGAATAAATTATTATCTAATTGAGAAATTAAGTTTTTACAAAAAGGCTTTTAATAGGTTTAGATTCTATATGTGAGAGTAAAAAGTAGTCTGACAAAAACAAGTTTTTTTCCAGTTTCAATAAAAATGGAATATTTCCGTTCCCTTCTTTATTAAATTTTATTTGGATAAAAACAACCGTGACAGAAGGAAGGCTCATTTGAACGCAATAAAGACGGGGAATTTAACGGACATCTTTAGAGCAAATACGGAAAATTCATTTAGTTTATTTCTCAAAAAGATTCGAAGTTCATCGAACATTTTTTTCTCGTTTAATTTTCACTTCAAAAATGATCTTAAAAGATTTTTTTCCGAAAATTAAAGACCTAGAAAAATATTATAAAAATAAAAATACCTAATTGCAGCGTAAACTACTCCGAACCCTCCTTTACCGAGCATTTTCCCGACCTAAAAAACATTTAATAAATAAAGATGAATCTAGAAGTTTTAAATTTTTACTTTATTTTTTTGTCATTAATGTCAAACTGACAACTAGAGATAACAAGTGGCAGGCCAAGGATACAAAAACAATTAAAAATAATGTTTTTGGAAATAAATAAAAAAATAAAAATATTTATAATATAATTAATATAATTAATCTTTTATCAATATTAGTATTATCATTGTCGTTTGGAATCTTTTAACGTCGTTACCATCGAAAATTCATTGAGTTTTTATATGTATCCTTAAAATAGGGTTCTTAGAACTTTGCAAAATTTCTAGCATCAAACTTGAAATATTTAAAAATATTTATTGTTTATATAAATGATTCAAAATTTACAGCTTATCCCCAAAATTTCCAAACAAAGCATATATGATGCATATAAAAGGCGCATTGTTTGAATTTACTTATTTCCATTAATTAATTAAAACAATTAATTTAATTAATTATTTTTGAGTCCTATTTGCCTAACAGAGGGTTATAGTGAACATTCATTGTAATTTAAACGGAAAGTAAATATATTATATATGAATGAATCATTAAAATAATGAAATTAACAAATCATAAACTTTTAACAGTATTGTCTAAAAAAATAATTAATGTCAAAAGATGATTTTTAGCAATAAAAAAATTAAATTTTATTTAAAAGGATATAAGAATGATAAAAAAAAACTTTTCTTTCAAATTTTTTAATTTTTTAAATTTTCAAAATTACCTTATATTTTCTTTCCAATTCTGGGTCTATCCCTGGTTTTCTCTCTCTCTGTAAAAAAAAAACTATTTTTGTTTAAATATTGAATTATTTGTCGCTTCATCATTGCAAAAGCAAAAAACATGGGAAATTGAAATTTGGTTTCAGATTAATATGCGGAAAAAGCTGGAAAACCCTAATTACACTATTATACAAATGAATTTATAGATATTAAAAGACAGTGCAGAGGAAAGCATCTAAAGATCACGTGATCACAAATCTCATAATCTTATTTCTAATTCTTGAATCATTTTATCCAGATGGTGTAAACCTTTCATAGTTAAAATGTGTATTTTTTCTAAATTAAATAAACGAAATTATCAAATTAAAGATTAGAAAATTAGAGTTTGAGGCGAGTTATCAGTTCATTTAAAAATAATTCTGAAAAAAAATCTTTTTAAAATTTAAAAATTGATTTAAGATAATTTTAGAACTAATCAGCTTGCCTGATTCAATCTGGATGCTGGCTGGGGGGCGGATACATCCGCCAATTCAGGGCGGAACGCGGCAGATGTATCCTGAAGGGAGGCGGACATATCAGGGCGGAATGTGGCAGATGTGTCCTGAAGGGAGGCGGACATATCAGGGCGGAATGTGGCAGTTGAAACGGACATATTGGATGGGCAAGGCAGATATCTCCTCAAACTTCCCTAAATAAGATCTATAAAATAAAACTCATTAAAAAATTTGTCAAACTAGGTTTTTAGAGCACTTTGAAAAATCGACATCTTTTCCAGCAATTTTTTTAAGCTTTTAACAATCCATGAACTTTCTCTGGGGTCATTTGGGCTGCAATAAAAACATTACAGTGTTAGAAACTGTTAGAAACCCCTGCTTTGTTTGTGATCGAACCTTCGAGAACTATTCGAAATAACGACGATTTATTTTTCCAAATTATGAAAAGAATGTTAACGATATCTCAATAATTTTTATTTCCCCAACATTCTAATCGTTATTTGTAACAAAGTTTTCAAAATTTTTTTAATAATTGAACCCAGAACATTCTCATATCAATAAGGACAAAAATTAACATTAATAAATCTAATTATCGTGTTCATATTTTGAACCGTCTCGAAATAAAAAATACAACAACAAATATGTTTAGTTTTTTTTTAAAGAGAATAAAAGGATAAATGAAAAAGTAATATAATTTTGAAAATTTGATGAAAATACTAGAAAACAGTTTTGAAATTTTTTAATAGAAGTTAAGACACTAAAAAAGATGAAAGGGGATCTAGAAAAGCGTATATATAGGTCAGTGGGTCGCTTGTACTATTATATTGCATATATTATATATATAGGCCAGGTTGATAATAAAGAGAGTTTACATGTGCATTCGACCTCCCCCCCCTACCCTTCCATTATGCATTTCTGGTTTCTTCCAGTTCATGCTTTTTGCGTTCTAACACTTAATTCTGCGCAATGAGAAAATTTCGTTTGACGGAAGAATTTTTATTAAAATCTATGCGCATTTTCTTGGAATTAATTGATAAAGTTTATAAACTTAAAATAAATTTTAACTTAAAGAACAGCACAGAAAGATAAATTAAGAGGAAAATTGTACAGCTATAAAAAATATTAGTAAGCTATTACTAGGATAAAAGAACTAGCAAGAAACTAGATGGATAAAATGATTCACAAGAAGTGGTTGGATAAAATTAATAGCAAGATAGTGGTTGGACAAATTGAATAGCAAGATACTAGTTGGATAAAATGAATAGCAAGATACTCGGAAGAAACGATGGCCAGGAATTTTAACTATGTTAACTAAAGGATTAGCACGATAAATTATATTCTAGTAAATATAAATGAATAGCAAGATAAGTTATTTACTAGATGAATAGAAAGATGAGCTATATACTATAGCAAGATAAACTTTGTCCTAGATGAATAGCAAGATAAACTAATAGTAGATGAATAGCAAGATTTAATGGTTAGACAATGTAAATAGCCTGACATTTGTATATGATTACGTCAGCTCTAATCCCCCCCCCCCTAAACCCCCGGACATTTAACCAGTTCCCTGTTCTCAAGGTAGATCAAGCAGTAGGTATTCAGGAATTTATATTGAGGAAAAACTAAAGTTTAAACATCAGATATAACGTGCCGTGTCTCTCTTCAATAAATGTACACTTCGTATCCTCCCATACATTACATTTCTTCCTCCCATACATTACATTTCGTCCTCCCATACATTACATTTCGTCCTCCCATACATTACATTTCGTCCTCCAGAACATATTTTTTTCCCTTTGTACATCCCTATTCGTCGTACCAAAGATCTAATTTCGCGAGGCTCGGAGGTCATCTCGCGGGGATCATGGCGGCTCTGCAACCCCTCCTTCTCAAAACCTTTCAATTCGTCCTCCACGCTTTTTTAAATCGTCCTCAATCTTCTTTTTGGCTCGTCCTTAAGTTTATTTACACATCCCCTGATCTAACTTGTCTTCATATCAATAAATCCGCTGTTGAATTTAATATTCCTATATACCTTTTTTTAATAACTAGCTTGAGAACTCAGCGTTGCCCAGAATACTCATAGTTGGTGGCGAGGTTACCAGCGCTTGGTCGTAATTCATGATTTCAGCTATTTGTCCCAATAAAAGTGTACCAAACCAACTCAACATAGAATCTTAAACAAAGCTAGGAAGATTTCCATGGTTCTTGCAAGTTCCCCAATCAAAATTTGAGGCAAATCGTTGGTTCAAAAGTTATGATCGGACATATGCACAAACAAACACCAAAACAGAGATAAAAAATTTATATACATGTATAGATNCCCCCCGTCAAATCCCCCGATTGTGCCTGTTTACATTTTACAATATTGTTTATAAGTAGCAGTATTATAAAGCAGGTGTAATTTTATTGTGCTGATAATGAATCATAATAATCTCTTAATGATTTTCAATAAATAAAAATAATGCTTTTTTGTAAATTTTAGACAACAAAACATTTTTTTAGTACAGAGACTGTAGACGTAATTTCAAGGACATTTTTCTTTCGAGAAAATCCGCAATTAAGTAAAATTGATTTTAAGATAAACCAAAGATGGAAAACTCCAAAACATTGTGCAACGCAGCAACGACCATTGTTTAAAGGTTTATGCCAATCTTTAAATGGAGGCTTGGCTAGCTTGAACAAACGGATAAAATCCCTTTCAATCAGGGGCGTAATGGAGGTTTAGCCTAGGGGGTGCACTTTTTTTGTGCACCCCCTTAAAAACCGGTATTAAGAAAAAAATAAAGTTTAAAATCTATATTAATCTACCTGAAGGCTGACTATCAGTCAAAGAAAAGTAAAAAATCTGAATATATATTTAAGTTTGATAAATTCATGGATCATTCATTGTAAAAACAAAATAGAATTATTTTACAATATTCATTTCTTTAGAATTTCAAGTTAACCTTTTCATGGCGTTTATTTACATAAAGTTTAAATTTAAAAGTCAGAGAGAATTTTAAAAAACAAGACTGAGGATTGGTGACATTATGATGTAATGGGAGGGGGGTGGTGACATTATGATGTAAGAATATATAATTGTCGTTATTTGTGTTAGGCATTATTGAACCTTTATAATGCTGTAAATTGCGTTTTATGCTTTATGAAGAAAGAAGGAATAAAAAACATATAAAATTAATCAGACGTCTACAAAGATAAAAAACACCACAGCGTACCAATAAATTTTCCATAAAACCCGAGATTTACAAAAAAAATTTGGCAGGTTGAAACAAGTGACAGCTGCAGTTTTTCATTATATATTTTGATTAGTTGCGTTTTAAAGATTTTTTAGAGATAATAAAAAGATATGAAAAATAAACACTGTGCACGATATTACAAATGAAAACCTTATTTCTGAATTCCAAGAAAACGTCCTTCAAGACAAAAACAGATGTATCAGACCCAACAGATGTCGTAGTCCGTTAGTACTATATATATATAACAAGGCTGTAGAGGTTACCGTGTACAAATGTTCAGGGTATACCTTACATGTACATTATTGTACAGAGTGTATACAGTAAGTGTACGTAGGAGGTGTAGGCTTTTTGAACATTTTATTGTGACGTATTAAGATTACTCAATAACTGGATTACTCATAACTCCATTGAACTTGTTTAATAGGACTGTAAGCGTAATTTTAAAATGGTACCCTCCATGCGAAGATGGTAATGCCTGATTCACATCAATGCCCTTAAAACCCAATTATCGTCTTAATAAAGTTTAAAGTATTTAATTCTGATCAATATTCTATTGCAGTATATAGAAATGCGCAATACATTCATTTATTTACAATTTTTGTTATTGTTTTAGGAAACTAAAAAAATCAAAACTAATTCCCGTCCGGCCGTAAACCGTACGAAACCCTGTTTATTAAAATAATATTCTAATCTTACTAAAAATACTATTATTTATAAATAAAAACTCGGAAAACAAAACTCCTTATCTGTACAAACTGAGTTGAAACCATTTTAATTGTAGTGACATGACGGGTTATATTCAAAGCTTTAATTTCAGAATTATTTTTAAAAAAACAGGTTTAAACAGATTATTACGAGATTAATTCCATATTTAGTACATCTTCAAAGTACGAAAACGAAAATAAATTTAAAATTAAACATATTAAATATTAAATATTAAATCAACAAAATGAAGATGAAAACTTTTAAAAGTTAAACCGAACTGAATGATAACTTAACCAACCTGAATGATAACTTAACCAACCTGAATGATAACTTAACCAACCTGAATGATAACTTAACCAACCTGAATGATAACTTAGCCAACCTGAATGATAACTTAACCAACCAACAACCAACAATGAGAACTTAACCAAAATCAAGTTGAAAACTCAACCAAATACAGCATTACAACTCAACAATGAAGTACATTTAAATCAATGAAAAATTTCATGGCCAATAATTACTTAACATGCAAACAATGCATAAGCAATTATGATTTAAGTAAGCAGAATTATATAACAGATTTACTTATGTAAATAGTTTACAAATATATTTCAGATAAAATTTGAATAACCTATGAATTATTTAAACAAATGTGTACGATAAGAAAATCATACGAATGTGACATTACGCAATTTCATCGTTTACCTGGGTATTTACGCATTTATTGCGTAGTGGGATATGTTTCGACTTGTGTTATGTGTACGCATACTTTTCCACTTTCACGTTAATTTTATCTTGAAACTCACAATTTTTTATTTAAACTCTTAGTATTTTTATAGGAACCAGTACATTTGAAATAAATGTAATGTTAGGACTTTCCGTATGTGTTGCTTGGCTAGCGTATTTTGACAGACTGATGTTATGAAGCGTCAGAGTGAACTCTCTCTCTCTCCTTCTCTCTATCTATCTATCTCATTCTCTGTCCTCTAGCTGTACAAATATTATATTTGTCTCTTTGATTTAACCGGTTTATTGTAAACTGTACAAAATGGGAGAGAAAAAATCTTTCTGAATAATGCACGAATTTCATTACATTCTAACTTTGTTAATGTTTACATACTTCACATCGTACGAATCGTGCACGTACAACAATTATATTTCTATTTTCTAATTATAGATGTTAAATATTGCTTCAGCTATAACATAAATTTTATTTTGTAGATTTAATTGTGTCTTGGATTAAATGTGGGGGGGGGTGTTTAATTGTACACTTATTGTGATTTGACGTCACACGTAGCCAAGTAACGTCATTTCGAGGTCATAAATAGATGTCTTACTACGCATGCGTAAGCATCAAACAGAGAAATGCGCGAGTCATTCATGCAATTTACCGTCATTCTGTACATTTTTCTAAACTCTTATACAGTTATAGTAACATTCTTCAAATAATTTTAGTTCTATAGCTTCTCTTGACATATCTAAATTATTATATATAGGGCCAAAATTAAAAGTTGAAATAGAAGATGGTCTCAAAGCGCCCTATATAAAGCCTATAGTTTCTTAAAAGCCAAGAAATGTCAAGGTTTTATTTGTGAGGTAAGGAATGTTCTTATAGAAAAGTACTTAGAGAAAGCCTGTTTACGGTTATGGTAAACTTTGTACCTAAATTGGTTTGTCTAAACTCAAACCTTCTGCTACGTTTTACCGATATTCCTTTGTATGCTGATTCAAAGCAAACTGTTTTTCCTCGATCATTCAATAATTCATTAATTTAAATTGATTCAATTCATTGATTCATCGATTCATTGATTCATTGATTCATTGATTTATTGATTTCATTTATTCATTTATTCATTGATTCATTGATTAATTGATTCATTGATTCCTTGATTTATTGATTCATTGATTCATTGATTCATTGATTCACTGATTCATTGATTCATTGCTTCATTGCTTCATTGATTCATTGATTCATTGATTCATTGATTCATTGATTCATTGATTCATTGATTCATTGATTCATTGATTCATTGATTCATTGAATCATTGAATCATTGATTCATTGATTCATTGATTCATTGATTCAGTGATTCATTGATTCATTGATTCATTGATTCATTGATTCAGTGATTCATTGATTCATTGATTCATTGAATATTCAACTCGGATCGTAAAAAAATCAATTTATTTCCAAACAAATCATCCTGATATTACAACCAATAATGACTGATAATTTTTCGATGCATTTGTATATAGTTGAAATTTCATAATATTTTTTTATTTTTTATGATTGAGAGTTTATACTTTTGAAAACATTTATTCCATTTCATTTTTCAAGATTTTTTGATAATGAAGACGGCATTTTCATATTTTCCAGGAATGTTCGAAAATCCAGGGCCAGTGAAATATTATTTTTAAAAAACAAAATCAAAAATATTATAAAATAGTAACTATTTACGAATGCGTCGAAAAATAATCGATGACTCTTGTTTGTAATATCTGAATGGTTTGTTTGGAATTAAATTGATTATTTTACGATCCCAGTTAAATGTTGCAACTTTCTTAATTTGTATGGACGCTACGTTCTTCAGTATAAGTCGTTTTTAACAATTTTCTCTTTATAGACACAACAGATATGAAGTAAAATTAAAAGCGTTCAAAAGCGCTTATTTTTCGCCGTAAGCCTATACCCCCTTTCATTTTTCGCGAACACTCCCTTGAAAATAAAAACTTTTTTCTCTTCCTTTTATGACAAACTACAGTGATAACCAGACAACTCTGGAATAGAAAATCAACTTTTAAACTCAACAATTGTGCAGTGTAAACAGACCCATTTCCCTCATAAGTAATTTGATAACTTACTAATAAAGCTATTTGCTTTGTAACAACATCAAATACACTTCAGTATCGCTGAAATGTCGTCTTCCTATTCTAAAGTTTTCTGGCTATCACTGTACTTTTACCAAATTTTTATTTATAAATGTTTGAATATGCTTTTCTAAAAATTTCATATATTTTCATCCACTGACGAGCTGGTTGGTACTAATGGGGTAAATACGTAGATAAGTTTGTTTATAAAAAGCACACCTGTAATTCTGAATAGTTTTTATGTTTAGCGCTCATGAAATAATTGTGTTTATTTTTTTATTTAAATTTAGGGTGTCCCACGAAACATGACAGTTGGTAAATAGTTTTGAATGTTGTCCATATAATGTATTAGAGAATAAAGGCTTTTTGCAGTTTATTTAGTTTAATAAAACCTTTTACAAAAATATATTTTATTTTGAAATCCATTTTACTATATTATGACTGCCATGAAATATTTTTTATTATTCTCCTTGGTATCAAACAACTTAACAAACATATAGAAGATGACATTTTAAACTATTCACCAACTGTTATGCATGTTTCGTGGGACACCCTGTATTTAAATCTTGAATATAGAACTAAAATCAGGCAATCATTATATTCATATTTATTAGTTATATAAAATTACATATGTTCATTTAACATTTTTTATAACTATTTTATCAAATTCAACGGATGTACCTTTTAATCCAAGAATAGAATATAAAATATTTTAATCCAAGAATGATGTACAGGGTGAGAATAAAAACCCTGAATTATTGATGTTTTGGACAAAAGATTTTCAGAATGAAAAAAATAAAATGTGAAAAAAGAAAGTTATAAATATTTTTAAACATTAAAAAAAATCCGCAAAAGCAATTTTTTTAAATTATTGAAAAATGTTTGTTTAATAGTTTTCCAAAATTTTACAAAATTTCAATGAGAAATGAAAAAAATCCACGAAAAATTTACTTTATAAATTGGGATATTTGAGAATTTATAAAAATGTCATCTTAAAAACCTCTTGTTCTCGTTTCCTATTTGGTTATAAAGTCCAATCGATTTATTGAAACTTGAGAAGCTATGTTAACATGCTATACAGTAAAGACGTAATTCTTGCAGATTTCCACTTTTCATTTCTTGCGCATTTTTTGTTATTTCTCATTAAATGTTTGATCAAAATAATTCTTTTTTTTTTGCATTTCAGAAAATCTATTTCATGAGTGAGGGACTTTCGATACAATTTTGTTGTAATCCTAATTTTAAAGTGTTTATGCAAGTGCAATTAATCGAAGTAAAAGTGAGAAATTTAAACTGGATTTTTTTATATTGAAAAGACATAATTACACATTATTTACTTCAATGTTTCCTTGCTGCATGGAAAAATATGTTTAAAGAGACTGTATGCGTAACTTCAAGTTACTCTTCAGGAAAAGATGGACCTGCCCTAGTCACAGCAATACCCTTAAGTTGCACAAAGTGTTTATTTGTGTTTAATTCTCACAATCCAGGCTATATGTTTTCCTGTTTTCCTGTGACAGAAATGCTCAAGATATTTTTGTACAGAAGCCATAATAGATTTTTTTTTTGTAAATTATATTCATACTTGATCAGACAAAGCTTTAAAGGCTACCATGGTGAATCAGGCATTGTCATCTTTGCATGAAAGAACAATTGAAATTACGCTTACAGTCCCTTTAATAAGATTACTGGTATCCAGACAAAGATTAAAAAATACCACTTCTTGTATCAGCCGTTTAATTATTCAAAATAAAGGATCTCTTAAAATAACGCTTACAGCACTTTAATGTCGTCTGCACTGAACTCCAGTGTTTAGTTCTGAATATACAATATAGATACGCAATCGAAATAGTTGGGAAGTGAAGTGTAAAACAGACCGGAAATGAATCTCTTCCTTTCATTCATTGATTCATTCTTTGATTCATTGATTTATGTATTCATTTATTGATTAATTGTTTCATTATTTTATTCATTGATTCATTTTTTTATTCATTGATTCCTTCTTATAAATAATTTTTTGATTCATTGATTCATTGGTTTATCCTATCATTCTATTGTTCAATGACTAATTCCAGGAATCAATAATTTATTCTTTTAATCATTGATTCATTCTTTTATTCATTGGTTCGATCTTTAATCATTGATTCATTCTTTAATTCCTTGGTTCATTCTTTTATTCATTGGTTCGATCTTTAATCATTGATTCATTCTTTTATTCATTGATCCATTCTTTAATTCATTGATTCATTCTTTTATTCATTGATCCATGATTCATTGATTCATTGATTCATTGATTCATTCTTTTATTCATTGATCCATTCTTTAATTCATTGATTCATTCTTTTATTCATTGATCCATTCATTTTGATAAATAATCTTTTAATGGAATATTGATTCATTTACTCATTCTTTCCTTCATTGATTCATCAATTCATTGATTTCTTAATTCCGCAATTTTTTAAAATCATTCTGCGTATTTTCTGATGTGACCTTGCGTCATTTACGCAGTTTTATACCGGAAATACCCCGGGAAAAGATACGCACTACAGGTTGAAGCATCTCATCAAACCAACATTCTAACTGCGTAACGGTGTACGCATTCATATAAATTAACGTATTTGCCTCTATAGCATATATACAGCTTACCCTCTACAGTCTTCAGCCTTGTTTCACAAATCCACCTGTGAGAATCACTATAATTTACTAATTAAATTTTGAACTTGAATTTTTCGAAATATTTTGAATTTTCTTTATTAACAATATTATTATCATAATTCTTTTAAATAATTATTACTTAATCTGAGTATCCAATGACACACTTTTGATTTTCTTCTTAAACCGTTCTTTCTTGGATATAGTGGAGAAAATCAAAAACCGGTTTTCCTAAATTATAGAGTTCCTCCCAGTTTCTGTATATTTATCTTAAATGGCGAGCAAAATGTTAAATTTATCGGCTTCATATACGACTCTGATTGGTTGAATTTTATACACTTTTCAGGATACAAGTAGAAGATTAGATCAGTCTCGATATTTAGAAAAAGAGAGGATTAAGCATTAATCTCAATATCCACCATTCTAAAGTTTTTGGCTCTGATTTAAAAAGTCTAAGTTAATTCAAGGGATATTAGTTTGAAAACTTGGCCCATTTCTAACACTGAGTGTTAGAAATGGGCCAAATCTGCAAAGTTATCTTTTTCAAGAGTATATATCTTTAAATCCAAGTCGAGTAGAACAAAATTATACCATATATTTTTAAAAGAAAAAGTTTAGTTCTCGGGTAAACAAATAAAATATAAAAATGAGAATTTATTTTACAAACTATTTGTACAAAATTATTAAAATACATATTATATAACTTTAAACAATTGACATGAAATAAAACATTAAGACGCATGACTTAAATAATTTCCCAACTACATAGTTATAACTTATCTTTGGACTTCTTTCCTTTGAATTCTATGGCAATAATGAGAAAGGACTGTTTTTAAATGTTCTTGATTTTTGTAAAAAGCATTGTTTTGAAATATTTCTTAGAATTTGCGGATTTTCTTTTTTTAAAACTTGTCTGATGAAACCGTGGAAGAGCTTAAGAAAAATATCAAACTATAATTAATTGTTTAAATTAATTAATCTGATTCCAGTTCCAGATCAGAAAAGATTGGCAATTTCGTCATGCACCAGAATTTAACATTTTATGTATTATTCCTGATCATGATTACTTTTGTTGTAAATTTACAGTGAACAGTGTTCACAGCTTATTATGCTTCTTTGGAAGACTCCGAACTAATGACGGGTTTGCTGGATCTGAAAAAAAACTTTAATTTAAAATAAATTTTCATCAAACATTTAAATAAATGTTTTCCTGCAGTCAAAATGTATTCAACTATATGGCATGGCCAAAACACGTTATAAGCTAGAGTAAACTGCATATAAGCTAGAGTAAACTGCAGATAACATTGGCATCTTATATGTTTTTACTCATATCTCCTTCTATTGAAAAGCTATTGAGAGTAAAAAATGTATTCAAAATAAATATGTATTGTGTAACCAAATAAATTTCCTTTTCTCGGCCTAGTGCGTAAAGCTAGAGGAGCTACGAGGTAACAAAGTCGTAATAGTAATTTAGTTACACTCTCTTTCTGTTCTGTCTTGTTCAGTGTGAAGAATATATATTATGGACTTATAGAACTAAATTAGAGTAATGAGGGAGGAGGGGGGGGAGGGAGGAAAGGGGGGGGTATTTGTGAATGTACTGGTTTATGTCAGAAAACGAAGAGGGGTCTCTAATTGTAAATTCTGAGAATTGTAAATGTCCCAAATTTCTAAACTTTCCCTTGAATAAATCAATTCTTATGAAATGCCACAGAAGGAGAAAATCAAATTTATGTGAAATTACTGGTACGATTTTCGAACTTTGTAGCGCCTCTAGTTTTGATTTAAGCCGCAAGTAGGAGAAAAGCAAAGTCTTTGCCGCAAACTCTTTGCCGCAAACTCTGATTAACTCATCCTTATATTTTTGCAGCCATACGTCGTATATCTTTTATAAATTTTGATAGAATAAATAATCTAAGATAAAAATATTAAAAGTTGCAGGTTGCAAAAATATAGGAATAAAATTTGTGGGAAAAACTCATTTCCTTACAAATTAGAAATTCAAAACATTTTTGTTCTTCTCAATATAACTCCTCTTTAAACGGAGTTATGATTAAAAACCAAAAATATGTCAATCTTACGAAAAATTTTCTTGACTTTGACGTGCTGAGGTAGAAGCAATTTAAGTGGCATGCGTGACTTTTGATTTTACCGTGAAAAACCATATTTTGCCAAATAAAGCTTTAAACAGATCCAACATATTTATATCCATATTTAAAAATCGCGTGTAAATTACCTATTGTATGAGTGATGCTCGCTGTAGCTCATGTGATCCACGAGAGCACCCTGAGAGGGAAATCGCGTTGAACACTTTGTGCACCAATACCTACAAATATTTTTTTTTATAAAAATGTGAAAATAAAAAAAAATAATATTGCCTGTGGAACAGTAGAGACTTTAGTTGTACTCTTGAATAAAATTAAATGAACAAGAAACACTGTCACAGTCATTTGTGATTTTCAAGCTCTTAAAACGAATTGTTTTGTTTTCTTACATCAAACTCACATTTACATTGTTTAAATGTCGTCTTCATATTTCACAGTTGTTTGGGTCCATTGCGTATATATCTTCTGATAAATTATTTTTTTCGTTTCTCCTAAACAACTTTCAGACAAAACTTTAAAATCTAGAAAAGAAAAAAAAGAAAAAAACTTACCCGTGTTTTCTTTCCCATTCGAGGGCACTTATTTTCCGTAAGGTGTCTTGGTCAATATCCTCAACAGCTTTCTTAGCTTTTTTATTAGGTCTGCATTGAACACATGCACATAGGGGAGAGTGGACCTGTGGTTTGGGGCGCTTTTGAGCCTGGCTGTGAACCCTAGGTTGGGCAGGATTAGGAAAAGAATTGTGAAGATTGATGTGATAAATCAACTCTTCTCTAGTTGAAAAATTGGCGGGGCAAAGCATACAAGAGAACTTGGGGGAAAAGAAGGGGTAGGGGGCTAGAAAGGAGGGCTGGAAAGGGGCTTGGAAGGGGATCTGTTGGATGGGGGAAGGAGGAAGTATAGTGTTAATATTCTGTTGAGGAACGGAGGGAGGAGAAGGGGTGGAATAATTAGGAAAAAACTCATAAGAAAAGTCAACGCCAGATTCTGGCTTTTGGGGAGAATTAGATCGTTCGGGGGTTGGTCGTTTGTGGCCTGTGCTAGAATCTTGACCGGGTGCCGGGAAGTACTGAAAAGCATTGATTGATTGGTCATAAGTCGGAGGGGAAGAAAAAGATGGCGGACAAAACTTTTTGGAATCAGATTTACTTGTTGCGGCATTTGAGCTTGGGTGGACATCAGCTGATTTCAGGATTCTAGCTGGAGCTGGCAGCTGCTGGTGGGTAGAATGGGAATAGACTTGAGTTTGTTGAACAGTTTGAGGTTGTACCTGCAGGGGGTGAGCTCTCTGAGGTTCAGAATGAACTGTTGAACTGGCAGTGTGTATTTGATCAATGGGTGCCCTCAGAGGTTTTTGAACTGGTTTAGACCGGTTAGGCGCTGCAGTAGGGTTTGGAAGTGTGGAGTTTTGTCCGGAGACAAAATGCATTCGAACATGGTTCAAGAATTCTGAACTGCTGTAGCTGAAATACGTGATTGTTAATTACAATAACTAATTTCATAAATGGGAGTTTTTACAACAAATAATGTTATAATACTCTAGCTCTGTTCATGCAGTTAGTAACAGAAAAGAGTGGAATTTGTATTGTCTTATATTTAAAATCTAATTTTGCAATATTTGACTAAAATATTTTTTTGAAATACCATGAAGATTTTTAGAAATATCAGATGTAATTGTCTTATGGTCTTACTCGTCCTCATAGGCATGTACTTGTCCTACTTGTCCTACCTGAAGAGATGCCCGCAGAGTGTACAGGACGGATTCTGTGCAAGCATGTCCTCTATACTCTCATCAAAACTATCCTCGCCGTCCTCATCCAGTCCTCGCTGGTTAGATCCTAAATATATATATATTTATATATATATATATAGATATAAAGATAGATATATAGATAGATAGATAGAATAGTTAGATAGAAGAATAGAAGAATTGATAGATAGATAGAGATAGCTAGATTAGAGGAGGAGGTTGTTTTCAAAATTAAGAAAAAAATGCAAAAAATAGTTGCAATATGACTTACAAAAAATTGATTGATGAAAAAATCTTTTAATTCGATATTAAAGTGCGGAATTTGCCTTGAAACATTCCATTTCTACAGAAAATAATGTCGTCGTTTTCTGTATGAAGACCATATTCGTCAAACCCACACTGTATTGTTTGGGTTTTTTGTAAACTCACGATCCACGAATGAAGGGAAAACTCGAGCTAAGACTCAAAAAAGGTTTAAGGGACGCCAAAACCATTCAAGGTTTCTAATCTGCTGTATCGTGATATAGAAAATATGGAAGAAATTGTAAATGTCGTCTTCATTTTCGATGAATTTCAATTTCCATTATTTTTAAAGTCTGTTTATTTGGTCCAAAAAATGTATAAAATGGTAATCATTGTCAAATTATCTTCTCTCAGGGCTTTTAAGATTTATAAAATCAAAAGCATTATTTTAAGAATTAATTTAATAATGTTTATATTTATATATGTATATTTCTATATTTATATAACATGTTTATATATATATTTATAGTGCTAAAAGATCCAAAGTAGGCAAATACTTAAACTACCTATATCTTCATAAATATTAGACCTATAAAAAATTCAACAAAAGACTAAATGCGTATTTGGAATGTTTGGAGGGGGGTTTCGGGCTCACAAATTTTATTTAAAGTTCAAACTAAAGAGGTATGTAAAAAACGGTTTTTTTGGAATTTTTGGCTTACATTTTCACTTTAAATGAGAAATTCTACCCGCCGAAGACTTTTGGTCCAAATTTTTTTTTCATATTTGGACTTCATGGACCCCATAAAAACTGGGGTTGGTTTGTTCCAATGTGTAACATCAAAGAAGTCAATTAATGTAAAAAAAAATACAAAAAAAAAAGTTTGTAGACTTCATAAAAAATTTACGTGGAGTTTCAAATTTAGTGAAAATTTTGTTTTGTTGGAGCCAATTTTTTGAAATTTTAATCATTTTTAACCCTTCCCTAGGAATATAGATATAGATAGATAGACAGGTTTTAAATAGATTAAAACATAGATAGATAGATAGATGCATAGAAAGATAGAAGGATAGATAGATATATAGATAAATAGATAGATAGATAGATAGAAAGATAGATAGGTTAAAAATAGATTAGTTCATAGATAGATAGATAGAAAGGTTATAAATAGATTAGTATAAAGATGGCTGGTCGCGTCGGAGGATAAACTTAATACCGGAGGTGTATTTACCTGGTGAAGAGCTTAGAGCATCGGAGGATAAACTTTATATCGGAGGTGTATTTACCTGGAGAAGAGCTTGGGGCGTCGGAGGATAAACTTTATATCGGAGGTGTATTTACCTGGTGAAGAGCCATGGGGCGTCGGAGGATAAACTTAATATCGAAGTTGTATTTACCTGGTGAAGAGCTTGGGGCGTCGGAGGATAAACTTCCTGTCGGAGATTTCTTCCCTTCTCCCTCCCATTCACCTGGCATCAAATCCAAACCTACAAAATTAAATCAAATATTTAGTGATTTCAGAAAGGCTAACATTCCTAACATCCTACGTAAAATAGAGCAGAGTATGCGTAGAGAAACATGAATGGAAACTTTAATAAAGCAACATCACAGGGTTATTAACAGTTTTGGTTCGTTTTCAAAACTCTTAATAAAACTTTTAACATTTCAAAACTGATTTCTGTTAAAACTTGCTTTTATTAAAATTTGCAATATTTTTATCATAAGAGAAAAAAAGGAAAAACAAACCAAAAAATGATTACTTTTTGGTTTTTTTTGCATTTATTTTCTCTGAGGACCAAATTTTGTCATATGGGTAAGAAAAGAAAATGTTTAAAAAAACAATTTGAATTAAAGATTTTTGTTGAATCTATACGAACAAGCTTAAAACAGATCACTGTAGTTATTTTAAATAAAAAATGTATAAAAGGTTGAACACAAAACTAAACATTTTAAATTAATCATTTAAACAAATTGTGTGGACTAAGTAAGAAAGTTCCATGCATTGTCTAGAATTAGTAAAATACAAAAAAGCATTTTTTGAAAAATTTTGTAGTTTATTTTGACCAATTACAACGATATCTTAATTTTTCAACAGAATTTAGAATTTTTAATATTTTAATCACTTGATAATTTTTTTGAAAAAAACGAATTCCCCGAATTCAAAAGATAATTTTTTACAGAAGTTAAACAAAATAAGGAATTACCAAGCTCTGAAGTATTTATTGTGAGCAGAGGTTGAAGATCATGTCCTCCAACGGTATGCTGTCCTCCAACGACATGCTGTTCTCCTACACCGACATGCAGCATGTTGTCCTCAACTCTCATCTGGCCCAAACCTCCCACCCCTCCTCGATATCTCATTAAACTTTTAGCCGACATTTCAACAAATACGCCAACTATGAATTCAGAAATTCGCGAACTTAAAAACCAAGAAATATCAATTATTAATGAATAACTGTGAATGGTTTAAGAACTTTATGTAAACTAATCAGGTTGCTCCTGGACAAAACGGTCATAGCATACCCTTCCTCTCTCTGCCCACCCCCTTCGAGTCCCACCCACTTTTAGGTGCTCCGCCCCCTTTTAATCCACATACACACTGCACACACGATCAGTGAGATGGTGGTTGGGTGCAGGGGGGGGGGGAGGACACCCGTGAACATATTGATAATCCAGATTTGGGCCCGCCCCCAGAGCCCCGCCCCCTACATGATTATCCAAGGATTAATTGTGGAAGGGGGGGGGGTTGACCCCCTCCTGTCTAGAGTGGGGGGAGGGGTGGGTGTTTCAAAAATAAAAAGTAAGGGGGGGGGGTCTTCTCAGATTTAGTCTATAATCCAATATGTTGACTTGTTGAATTAATGTCAATCATATATATTATATATATCATTTACAACCTTACTTAATTAATTGAAAAGGTTGAATATATGAGGCATGGTTCAAAGACCAGCAAAATAAACCAATATATTTTTCCTTAATAAATGTCAAAGTAAATGCTTCAAACGACATTTGTCAAATTGGTTGGATTATGCTAAATCCTACAAAAAGCAAAAACATATTTTCTCTGTTAAAACTGACATAAAAACCAAAGGAAATTATACTTTCTGGTTCCTTAATTCATGATTCCTTGCAGTAGTATTAGTATGTTTCTTTCTTTCTCAAAACATTTAGTTAGCTATTAAAGGACAATATTTTTAACGCAGAAGACCTATGCAACGACTCTAATTTATATTTGTGCATATATATATATATATATATAGTACTTTATATATAGAACCCTTTTTAATGATAAGCCCGCCTGGGGCGCTTGTGTATAAAAGGGTTCAAGTAAATGAGTTTTATTTTTAGTAGTTGAAACTTTGGGAAGACCTTTTTAAAAATAGGGTTTATTAAAGAGTTTATTCACATTATTCGCGACATATTTAGGATTGTCATATTTTTAGAGTTTCATGTCGTCTATATAGTCTCATTCTGTATCCGCTATACTGTCAAAAGTTGGAAATTTGAATAAAAGTTTTTAAAAACCAATCAAAACGATTACTTTTAGGTTTTGTAAATTATTTGTCAAAACACAAGAAAACTCAAGGGTGTAGGGAATACTTAAGAGATATTATATTATTAATACAATTTTATTTAGATAAAAAAAATTTAAAACTATTTTAAAATATTTGAATGTCGACCTTTTTTGCATCTTATTCTTACATTTTTAATAGGATTTTAAGAATTATGAAAAAGAATTAAGCCGACATTTATTTATTGAGATACAGATTATAGAGGCAATGGTTTTTTGTCCGACAAAATAATAATGATAATTTTAGAATAAAGTGATTATCTTACAGTAAAATAAGTGCAATTTTATGCGTCCTTTATTTTCTGTTTTTACCCTTTTTTTCAAGCTTGGAAAACATGTCAACTAATGTGAGAAAATCTCGTTTTCCTTGTTATATTTGACACTTGTGACGTCGTGTATAATTGGTCCAGTTCTCTATTGCCACATATTGTATTGCTTGGATAGAAGTTTCTTGAAACATTGTAAAGCTAAGTATAAAATGCAAGTAAAGTTATTTCAGGGGTGTACGCATCTTTTGTACTGCAGTGTACTGTCCCTGGGCGGTAATGTAAACACAGGACGGATGTCGAAGCCTGACATTTGATCCATCTTTTACATAAAAAAAATCAATGAAATATTCTGGTCAAAGGAAACTATTATGTAAATTATCAAAATTATCAAAATTTAATGATTTTAACCTCCTCAGATACTAAACGAACACTGAAGCTTCTATTCTTGTTTACAAAATCCGCCCAGAGAGAACTGGTTTCAATATGTACGCAGAATATTCGCAACTGCAATTAACTTTCCTTGTATTATAACTTTGGTTAAGCCAAAGAGTAATATGAAATTAGTAAATACACTCCATTGACAATTATTTTTTATAAATATTCATAGGATTTTATAAAATATATCATTACATCATAAACAAATAAATAGATTTGGATAAAACATTACAGCTGTGTAAACAATACAGAAAAGCGGAAACTTGAGCAGAATCAAACTTTTGATGTTATCCTACACTACGATTTTGCAACCCCCATTCTCTAGGTTTCACCATGAAAACAAGTTTTTAAAAAGTTTTATAAAAACAAAGCTTCCAAGGCACTTCGTGTCTTTTTTTAAACAATAATTTTAGTTTCTTCGTAATTGTAAAACTCAATATGTCGCAGATTTTCCTACTTTAATTGGGGGCATTCTCAAAATTAATAAATATCAACATTTGCCTCTGTGCAAAATTTTTCAACTTTGATCCACCATAAACCTTTCCTGGTGTCACGTGAGTTGCCATACACAAGTTGGGCCCGATCGCTTTAGCAGTTTTTATACATTCAAACAGAAAAACAAAGTGTACATCGAATATATCTATATATATAAAGTTGTAATCTCTGTTTGTTTGTTTGTATGCCCGATCTTAACTTATAAACCTCAAGACCTATTTGCCTCAAATTTTGATTGGGGAACTCGGGACAACCAACGGAATGTTATTAGCTTGGCTTTTAGAGTCTAAGTTGAATGGATCGACTTTGATAGCAAAAAAATAGTTACCCGCTTAAATCGACCAAGTGCGGGTAAACGACTGGAGTAGCATATGATTAACCTGGACAACTTGATATACCTGAAATTCATACATAGGAAAAACATACGAACATCAATGTACTTTATCAGACCTAACATTCTTATCATAAAATACAATTATGCATAATGCAGGGTTGTTTTTGCCTCTTAAAATTTAAAATTTTTAAAAAATCCAAAAAATCAATTTGCTGGTTTTTTTTATATATTAATATATTTTTTTCCAGCCCGGTTAGGCCTGAAGTCGGAATACATGTAGTCTTGGTTACTATACTGCTAAAATATATTTAGTCAGTTGAAACCAGAGTAATCAGCTGATAACATTACACAACAAAAATACATGTTTTTATGCAACTGCATTGATTCATTATACCACCTAGAACTACAGTAAATTGAACGTAAGAATATCAATCAGAAATCCTCTTTTTCAAGAGTTATTGAGAACAAAAATGTTATGAATTTGTAATATGTTAAAAAGTCATACCAGCAACCTCCTCAATCTGTCTAACGTTTGGAGTAATGCATATGATAATTCTTTAGGCACATTTTTCTTGGAGAGCATTCAAATCATATCATCGTAAAGCATATCCCAACAAATTATATTAAAACAAAACGTATCCTTAAAAACAAATCGTCACGATGTATATTAAACGACAAAAATATCACAACCGAACTTCAAAATCTAAATCTAAAATGAATTATCAAAATGTTATGAAAATTCGTTAAATACTTTACATTTTTGCTTCAGAAGAATGTTGTGTGAACTGAGTGAAGGATCGTTTGTTCAAACCTGGTTTCGATTATCCTGTCTCGAAACCCTGTTTTTATTCATCACATCAGCTCCTGTATTCTACTACTATTATGCCAGGTACAGTGGGAGGTCGTCGTTGTATTTAATGTTTATTGGGACCTCTGTACACAATGTTAAACAGAACTGTTTGGGGGAGAATGAAGAAGACTGCAGGCAGCATTACAAAACTTGCAGTGCCAGTTAGCTTACGAAGACGACCTCCGGACAAAAACTATCATACAAGAAATTGTTTTTAACATTTTTTTAACATTCAAATTGACAACACACACTTTACGTGTACATTGGGAGGATTAAAATTAATATATCTTATTCAAAAACGTTGCTATTATTATTAACCTCTTTTGGCTTATACAAAGAAAAGAAATTTTGATAGCGACAAAATACTTGTCAATACCACTATCAGCAAATTTTAATCATCTAGTTTTTGTAAACTTCCAAAATATCAAAAACCACTTGATCGAAAATCATATTTTATAATAACGAATGTTATTTTCATCCTCCCTTTTCAACTTTTTCTTTCTCCTTCTTTCTTTCTCTCCTTCTTTCTTTCTCTCCTTCTTATCTTTTCTCCTTTTTCTTTCTTTCTCCTACTTTCTTCTTCTCTCTCCTTCTTTCTCATTTTTCTTCTTTCGCCTTCTTTCTATCTCTCTTTCTTTTCTTTTCTCCTTCGTTCTCATTTCTCCTTCTTACTCTTTTCTCCTTCTTTCTCCTTCATTCTCCTTCTTTCTCATTTTTTTTCTTTCTTCTACTTTCTCATTTTTCTTCTTTTTCCTTCTTTCTCCTTCTTTCTTCCTCTCCTTCTTCTCTTTTCTCCTTCTTCTCTTTTCTCCTTCTTTCTCCTTCTTTCTCCTTCTTTCTCCTTCTTTCTCCTTCTTTCTCCTGCTTTCTCCTTCTTTCTCCTTCTTTCTCTTTCTTTCTCCTTCTTTCTCCTTCTTTCTCCTTCTTTCTCCTTCTTTCTCCTTCTTTCTCCTTCTTTCTCCTTCTTTCTCCTTCTTTCTCCTTCTTTCTCCTTCTTTCTCCTTCTTTCTCCTTCTTCTCTTTTCTTCTCTTTTCACCTTCTTTCTCCTTCTCTCTCATTCTTTCTCCTTCTAATTTAACTCTTATATTTTTACATTTTGAAAGTGACAAAAAAAACTTTAAATTTAAGTTCAATAATATTGAAATACGACAATTTTGTGCTTTTTTGAAAATTAATTTTTAATAACGTTGTGGTTCTCTTGAAGTTATCAAAAGTTCTGTTGTTTAAAAATAACAAGACTTATAATAATGCAAAATGATCTTCAACATCTTCCTTCGAATTGCTGTGTTTTGAGTATAATTAACTAATTGTTTAAATTATAACAATTGAGTCTAACAGTCGTAGCTTCATATTTAAAAGATTTTTGTTTCCCACTGCAACGTAAATTTAACTTTACACTTGGCATAAATAGCCATTTTTTATGTCCAATTAGACTTCAGAGTTGACAATTATTATTTTCCCATGTTTAGATCCAATGTTACATACGAGAAATGGATTTACAAATCTAATCCAAAATTTCCGTCACCACAAAAGGTAAAAATCGAAAAAAGTTTTTTTAAAGGAACTGTATGAAGAGACTGTTTAAAGGGACTGTATAAAGGGACTGTATAAAGGGACTGTATAAAGGGACTGTATAAAAGGGACTGTATGAAGGGAATGTATAAAGGGACTGTATAAAGGGACTGTATAAAGGGACTGTATAAAGGGACTGTATAAAGGGAATGTATAAAGGGAATGTATAAAGCGAATGTATAAAGGGACTGTATAAAGGGACTGTATAAAGGGACTGTATAAAGGGAATGTATAAAGGGAATGTATAAAGCGAATGTATTAAGGGACTGTATAAAGGGAATGTATAAAGGGAATGTATTAAGGGAATGTATAAAGGGAATGTATAAAGGGAATGTATTAAGGGAATGTACAAAAGGGAATGTATAAAGGGAATGTATAAAGGGAATGTATAAAGGGAATGTATAAAGGGAATGTATAAAGGGAATGTATAAAGGGAATGTATAAGAATGTATAAAGGGAATGTATAAAGGGAATGTATAAAGGGACTGTATAAAGGGAATGTATTAAGGGAATGTATAAAGGGAATGTAGGCAAAATTTCAAATTCTTAGTTTGTCGCTTCCGATGCACGACAGTAACCTTGAACACTTTGACTAGACAAGAATAACAGACTTTGGACTTATCCTTATACCTTGACGACATACACATTTTCAATTAATGATTAATTTATGTCTAGGTGAGGGATGAGATAGTTCAGATGATGTGGATTGTGCCTATATTTAGGTGAGGGATGAGATAATACAGATGATTTGGATTGTGCCTATATTTAGGTGAGGGATGAGATAGTACAGATGATGTGGATTGTGCAAATATTTAGGTGAGGGATGAGATAGTACAGATGATATGGATTGTGCCAATATTTAGGTGAGGGATGAGATAGTACAGATGATGTGGATGGTGCCTATATTTAGGTGAGGGATGAGATAGTACAGATGATGTGGATTGTACTTATATTTAGGTGAGGGATGAGATAGTACAGATGATGTGGATTGTGCCAATATTTAGGTGAGGGATGAGATAGTACAGATGATGTGGATTGTGCCTATATTTAGGTGAGGGATATGATAGTTCAGATAATGTGGATTGTACTTATATTTAGGTGAGGGATGAGATAGTACAGATGATGTGGATTGTGCCTATATTTAGGTGAGGGATGAGATAGTTCAGATGATCAAGGGAATGCTTTGTGCCACAGTCTGCCCGGCACTCTCCTTAACCCTCGGTAAAAAAAGCATTTAAATTTTTTTGGTATTTTTTTCGATGAAAAGAAATTATAATCACTTGTCTCAAAATCTAATTTTTCAATTACGTTTCAACCAGTTGCTGTATACGTTAGATATTTTTAACTCTAACTATTTGTTGTAACAGACTTCATAGTTTGAAAGATCTAAGACATCTGGTAGCAAAAATATAAGGATTAGAAAATTAGAGTTTTAGCAGATTGATCCGGAATCAGAATTTTTGAGTTTTGAATCTTGGGCTAACATACATCGGATTCGGATTAACTTTATTCCTCTTCGATATCCCGTAGTGGACTGTGGTTATACTTTGTGCAAGGATAACAAAGATCAATCAAGGGATAAAGCATTGATCCCACATTGGATATCAAGATCAAGCGTTTAAGATTAACGAAACGTACTGGAAAAAAGTTCCGACTGAACGAATTTTTTTTTAGATAATTTTTTTCTTGATTTAAGAAAGTTTTCCTACGTCTTGAGTATTATGCTCAAAATAAAAAAATCCTTTCATTAAATGATTCAGAAGAGCTGAGGATTTTGGTGAAAAAAGACAAAATTTTTATAAAATTTGAACGATGTATATTTTAGCTCAGTATGGTGTGGGAAATGCATTTTGTGGTTGGGGAGATAGGTAGGGAACATTTTTTTTTGTCAAATTACAGGGTTAGTAAAATATTGGGATTTTCGATGTTTTGTTAAAAATGTTTTTGTTTTGTATGGATTTAAGCATGAAAAAATTAAATGGGATAGAAAAAATTCGAAAATATTTTTGGATCATTAAAGAAAAAATCCGCGAAATTTGATAAATTGTTAAGGAAAATATTTTTTATATTGTTTTCTAAACTTTCGTAACAATTCATCAAAAGTTGAATGAGATAAAACAAAAAATGTTAGCCAATTATTTGCCTTTTTGAAGTGATAACAGCTCTAAGTTTTAATTTGATAACATTTACTGCAAATTTCTACTCAACATTTTTGCGTTTTTTTGTTATGTCTCATAAAACTTTAAAAAAATATAATGACATTTTTGAAATTTAAATGAGACATCAGTGTCATTTTAAAAATTTATTAAAAAATATTTAATGTTCAAATTTCAAGACTGCGGTTAATTTAAATAATTTAATAAGCGCAGTAAAGAGTCCGTCACATAGTTTAAAGTTGCACTGGTTTTCTAGACCGGATCAATTTTAAAGTGTCGCAAAGCCTTGGCCTGTGAATTTCAATGATACCGTGAATCAGGTGTTGCCATTTGTTGCATAATCGATTACTTGATTTTACGGGCACAGTCCCTTCAAAGCAACAATTCATGAGCAATTACTTGAAATACGCCCACAGTCCCTTCAAAGCAACAATTTGATTTTACGCGCACGGTCCCTTAAAAGCAACAATTCATGAGCGAATACTTGATTTTACGCGCACAGTCCCTTCAAAGCAACAATCAGTAAAAAATTTCCTAAATGTTGTCATGCATGATATTTTAGGCCAGTTTCCTACCATATTGGAGTGATGTTGTTCAGCTGGATCCTTTCGGATTTCTTTGAATTCTTTTATCATAGGGAAGTCAAATTTTTTTAGCATATTTTGAGATATCACTCGAAAAATAATTGGATATACAAGGGTCGACTATAAACTAGTGGTCCGCCTTCATATAAAAACAATGAAGACGACTTTTCTATTTTAAATTACAAGTTTACAAGTTAATGTTTGAAAGCTTGATAGAATTGAATAGAATTGACAAGAAAGCGTGTTCATTGTATTCGTATTTACGACGACTACTGCAGGAACATATAACAGCCCAAACATAAAAATAACCTAAAGATTAAGAAGCTTCATGTTGTCTCATTTTAACCCTGTTATACAGTCCTAATCAGAAAGACCCAGAATTAATTTAAAATGAATCAGACAACTTCACAATATAATTTTACAAATATAATTGATGAAACAATAATCACTAAATACCCCTTATCCTCCCATTTCCAAATTGTGGTCTGCCTTTTTTAGCATTTAAAATTGGCAGAGATATATATGTAAATCCGTCTGATTAATTCCAAGGTCTTTCTGATTCTGACTGTAGATTTAAACTTTTCACCATTAAACTTAATTTTTATTATTAAAGTTTACCTTTGTGATACAGATTGGGACACGTGGATCTGAAGTAAGAAAATTTGATAAAAAATAAATAATAATAATAATAATAATAATAATAATAATAATAATAATCAAGATTCTGGACCCACCATAAGCATCATCATGTTTTCCATAATCCGTCTCCCTTCAGTGTTATTGCCGATGAACCCATAGATCAGGTAAAATAACTTTTTTTTTAATTAAAGGAACTGTACGCGTATATCCAAGAATTGAAATCAACTTTAAATTTTGACTTCTGCTTTGTTTCAAACTTATTTGATCTAGAAATATCTATTGAAATAAGACAAGTAAACAGACGTTTCATAAAATTACCTATAACACTATTATTTTGGCACAACGTGCTATAAAGTTTTTGGACTTAAATTTTCTCTCGAAGGTTCTCGATAAAGAGAAAAATTCTGTCCAAAAACTGCACTGCACTGCGAACCAAAATAACAGTGTTATAAATAGTTAATTTCAGTTTTTCCGATCTTCTCCTCTTCTTGTTCTTCCTCTTCTTATCCCGATCAACATGGATCTTCTCTTTCTTCAGTTCGGTCTCTTCTTCTATACGTTAGTTTTTCTTCCATTAAAGAGATTGTTCGCGTAGTTACGGGTAGTGCAGATGTTTATAGTTTTGGATCGTTTAAACAAAAAATTAATAAAATTTTTATTATTTTATATTTTATTATGTTCAGTTAGCTTTTATTAAATTTTGCAATATGTTTATGCCATTAAAATAAAATTGGAAAAAATATTTAAATATTGCATCGCTTTTAGATCGTTTTTGAATTGTTTTTGGATCGTTTTTGGATCGTTTTTGCATCATTTTGCGTAGTTTTTAGCATATATTTCAGGGTCAAATTATACAAAGTGTAAAGAAAATGTTTAGAATTAAAATGTTAACAGTTGCATCACTGATTGTAAAGTGATATGATGAAAGGATTGTTACATTTTTAATTTTCAGTAATTGATCTTTGTTTAATTTTAATTTATTATTTCCGAAATAAAAACTTTAATAATCAATGATGGGGAAGATTTTGATATCATTGATCATCCGACACATATTTAAGGGTACCGTTGTGAATTGAACATAGAATTACTCTATTCTATAGGTATGGAGTTTATCTACACTCTGGTTATGAGCACAGCTTCATATCTCCTCACAATAAGATCATTAATACTAGCTTTCAACATTATGCTCATCATGCCAGGTATATATATACCTCCAGTGATATACTTTCATACCTCCAGTGATATACTTTCATACCTCCAGGTACATACTTTCATACCTCCAGGTATATACTTTCATACCAGGTACATACTTTCATACCTCCAGGTATATACTTTCATACCTCCAGGTATATACTTTCATACCTCCAGGTATATACTTTCACACCTCCAGGTATATACTTTCATACCTCCAGGTATATACTTTCATACCTTCAGGTATATACTTTCATACCTCCAGGTATATACTTTCATACCTCCAGTTATATACTTTCATACCTCCAGGTATATACTTTCATACCTCCTCCCCTGTATATACTTTCATACCTCCAGGTATATACTTTCATACCTCCGGGTATATACTTTAATACCTCCAGGTATATACTTTAATACCTCCAGGTATATACTTTCATACCTCCAGGTATAAACTTGCATACCTCCAAATATATACTTTCATACGTCCAGATATATACTAACATACCGCCAGATATATACTAACACACCTCCAGATATATACTAACATACCTCCAGGTATATACTTTCAAACCGCCAGATATATACTTTCATACCTCCTCCCCTCAATCTATGTAAGAAAGTCACAGGAAAAAAAGATTCTGGAAAAAAAACCTGGAAATAAAAACTTTGGTGAAAAGTCCTAATTTTCTGAAGGACAAAATGTCAATGTTAATAAAGTCCTATGATTTATATTCCTGGGACTTTTTCCCCTAAAATAATATTGGGGCTGCCAATAACGTCTCAGGAAATAAGATTACAGGAATTAAAGTAATTCCGAAGAAAAAAACCCAAGAAAAAAGTCCTAAATCTTGTGAAAATGAGGTCAAGCCGGAGACGTTTACATAAAAAGGACTTTTCTTCTGTGCATCTGTATATTAAATATAGCCAGGGGTGTTTTTAATATCAAACCCCTTTGTTTCCATGTTTGTAAACATTCTTTGTTCCAATGCATTTTCTACTATAAGTAAGGTTTCTAACGAAAGTGGATTTTACTTGCGCGCAAGTGAATTTAATTGCGTGCAATTCCGTCAAACTTTCTTGTGTTTGTGTTTTTGAAAATATTCAATTTAAACTTAAAATTTAAATTCTGATGCACGCAATTCCGCACAATTCCACGCAATTCTCCACAATTCCGCGAATGTTTAATTGCTTCCTTGTTCGCAATTATAGCGCAATTCATCGCAATGAAATGGCGCAAGCGAAAGCAATCGTTGCAAATTACGCGCAACGGAATAAGAGGACTTTTTTTTATAAAATCATTCATTCAAAAAGTATAGTTTAAAGCAGAAAACAAGTTTCGAAATTAACTTTGTGTGACTCGTTCGACCTTAATGTTAAAAAACGTTGAAAAAGACGACATTTAAAACATATTTCCTTGTATAGGAGTTCAATGAATACCCCCTACCATTGCGGATTCTTTCTAAAGATCTGGGATCAGCTGTTTAGCTCCTGCTACCCGGAGGTATTGATTACACTATTTTATTGAATTAAAAAAAACAAGATATTTTTTAAATTAATAAAGTCATATTTTTATATATTTCTCTTATGTAACAAATGTTTTTCAGAAAGCTAAGGTGGTAGGCAATTATATCAATATAATGAAGAGGACTTTTTTCATTTAAGTTTTAATTGTTAACATGCTTTTTTCGAATTACAAGTACTTGTAGTACTTAAAGCTTTGCTAAAAGCTTTGCTAATTGACAGCTTCTCTTTGTTTCCATGGTTTTGTGTTTCCATTGTGTTTAAAAGCTTGATGTAATTCAAGATTGAAATCGAAAGTCGTCTTCGTTAAATTGAAATAATCGCCTACCACTGTATTTAAACACTATTTGATAATTTTAACTTAACTTTAATTAATATTTAGGGGTTTGCACATTTTTTTTTGCTATTAACTATTGATTGTCTAGGATAAAGAATGTTTCTGTGCTGAGTGTGGAAGGTAAAATCAATCAATCAATCAACCAACCAATCAGTCAGTCAATCAATCAACCAACCAACCAACCAATCAGTCAGTCAATCAATCAATAAATCAACGAACCAACTAATCAATCAATCTTTTTATGTCCTTTATGTTGATTTAGCAAAAAGAGAATCATGAATGTAGGGAAATAGACAAGTTCCGTACAGTCGCCTCTAAAATTTCCTCCTATGAGGGTAACCCTGTAGTTGCTCTCTTTGCTAAAGTATTTACAAGTAAACATTAAAAGGTTTTATATGTAATATCCGAAAACCAATTCGAACTTTCAGATTGACAAAATTTAAGAGCTTTGCGTCGTTATTAAAATCTTGTACTTTGTGGGTAACCCTGTAACTAACCTGATGCCAACCCATGGGATGTAATAAATATTAAATTGGGCGGCAAAGTGTTGATAATGCTTTTGGGTCGTTTTTAAAAACCTTTAATAAAAAATTGCAAGATTTCCAAGTTGTATTTGTTAAAGTTTGCAAAAACATTGCAATATTTTTATCCTAAACAAATTGAAAAAACAAAACAAAGACAGTCGTTTTTGCATATATTTTCTGTCAGTTTAAAATTTTACAAAACATTTCTTACACTGTGCCTAATTTTGATCCTGAGATAAAAAACCAACTTTTTAACATCAATATGTACATATTTAATTCTGTACATATTTAATTCTGTACAGTTGTGAAAATCAGAGTTTGTGGAAGCCTCATATCCTTTGCGGGTTTTGAAATTCAAGCTTTATCAATAATTATTTGTATTAATCTATTAATCTATTTATGATTGAATAGGGAGTAAAATGAATAGAAATTTAATATAATAGGCTAGATTTAAAACTTTAAATTATGGCTCTATCTGTGAGCATTTTCTCTTCGTAAAATATAAAACAATAATAAAAAAGCTCGCGGCGCATTTTCAAAATGTTACAAAAATCTAAATCTTTTGGACACACATTTTTGAAATTCTGAGTATCCATGTATTTCAGGCCCCACCGCACACAAAATATCGGCACGGTTGGTTCAGCCGTTTTGACGTTTATTGGATAAAAGCGGACAGACGACATACAGACAAAGTATAAATAGATGATGTTTTAAGTGAACAAAAAAACAGTTATATTGATTCTCTGATTATGATAAGACAACATTTTAATTATTTAATTGTTTTATTTTCAGGGGTCGTGGGGAGAGGACGATTGATGAATTTAACAAGATAGATGTCCCAGACTATTCGGTTCTCCTCAGGTCATCCATTTTTTCTATATAAATTGTAAACATCAGTTTTCTTATAATTAATGCCGAAAGCGATTCACAACATATTGTTGCTGATTACATCCTCAAGTATCATGGCCCTTACAGTTTTTCGAGTAGATATAGATATCGTTTTCCGGATACAGGTTTAGAAAATTTTGTGAATCCTTCAGGGCATGGGAATTCAAATTTTCTAAGTATGAATGTTTAGGCCTTCCTATTGGATGACTTGGAAGACATTCAAGATCGAGGCCAGGGATTGAAAATGATGAAGCAAAAAATGTAAATTTTCAAGTTGGTTTAAAATATCTAGAATAAAAATATTTTGAATTATTTTATTTTTAAATCGTCAGAGGTGAGATCTTTATTGTGGAATAAGTTATTCTTGAATGTTTGTTCTCGATATCCAATGTGGACACTTTTAAAGATGGCGTCAGTACTTTCCCTGGGATATTTAGAGAGATGAACGTTTCCCTGTATGATGATTTAATGTCTGCCAGTTTTGGCGAATTATAGAAATGATTTTTTATGTTTTAGGTCGTCGTTTTTGTCTCATCCTTTGTCATTCAGTCTGTATATTCTTAATATTTCCAGCGAAGATAAACATAAATTTCATTTCGCTTAATATTTTTTAACAGTTTGAAAAATAAAGAAGAAAAATCATAAGAATACATTTATTATAAAACTAGAAATGAGAGAAACTTTTATAAAATCTTACGATTGACAACATAAATGGTAAATAAATGGTAAAAATGATAACTAATTAATCAATGATAATTAATATTTCAGTACGAAGATCTAGTTTAGGAACTATCAATTTTCTAGGAATGAGAACGAAAAATTTTTTAACATTTGTTTGTCAAGCCAAAGTTACAATTTTTCGAGAGAAAGTTTTACTGTCGGCGAGATTTTTTCTGTAGATTCGTTAATTTTTGGCCTTCTGAACAAAATTTTTATGTTCAGTCTTTTTATAAAAAAAATAAGAAATAAAATTCTACGTACATAGATAAAAAATGTTTGTGGAAAAATATGTAAATTTTCCGTTCTCATTGTTTTCAGGAAAATGTGTAAAAGTTACAATATTTTATTAGAACGAAAAGTTACAAAATTTTAGATGGCCTATTTTAGAGAACGTTTAGTATGACAAGCTTTTATCTTTAGATTAAACATTTGAGGGAAAAAAACTAAGTTTGATGATACAGGAACATTTCAGCCAGGGTTCGAGCCTTTCTTGTCATGGAATTCTTAACATAACATCATTTAGCCAAAATTAATTTTTTGAATTCTTAAAATTAAATTTTTTTTTTCAACTCTTCATCTATTTTTTTCAATCAATTTTTATCCTTTTCCAAATTTCACTGTTTTCATTTTTAATCGGGATTTTTCATTCACATACACACACCCAGGTGTAATTGTTTCGATTTGATGAAATCATTTTTTAAAAATCCATAATTGTTTCTGTTAAGGAGCAACCAACTCTTGATTAAGAGGCAACAACTTCTTGTTTGGCAATATTTTTCTGTGTATTTGTTGCCTGTTCTTGCTGTTCTTGTTGTATCTTGGTCCACGTTGCCCCCAGCGCCTTGGCAAAATGGTCCTCAACTGCAATACAAATACATATTAGTAATAAGGCCACCAATTTTTCTTCATTAACTGAACATGAACAAAACCATGAACTTCAGTGCAGTGCATCGTCAACTCTTGTATTTTTAAGTTCTTTTGAAATCGGGAATTTTCAGACATGCTTAATTGCTCAATCGCTAACTATAATCAAATAACTGAAGAACATTGCCGACCCAGTCGTGGAGTTGGCTTTATCATTTCATTCATCGTTCTTGAACAACCCATTACGTTTTTTAGTTGTTCATTTTCCATCTATTTCGATCGTTTCCTCACTGAACGATCGTTTAGTAAAATCGTTCGTCCAACAAAATCGTTAATTCAGTAAAAAAAAAATTTTTAAATATTTTTTCAAAATATTTTGGAAAATTCGTTTTTTTCTGAACGAAACTATCGTTCGACATTCGTTAGAGTTCACAAAAATTTAGTTCGTTCAATAAACGATGCCCATCTCTACCCAGTCGTACCAATAATGTTGCATCTATATGACCTTCACCTATTGTTAAATTAGCAGTTATATGTATATTTATATGAAATGTATTGAACTGATTTTCAATACAAATATTTTCCCACGCTTGTTAGGATATTTCCCGTCAGTTAAATAGAATACAGGGTTTTCTACATTATTCAGACAAATCAAATCTAACAATATGAACTAGTTTATAATTTCAGCAATATATGTACGGTGATAACCAGAAACTATTGAATAGGAAGACGAATTTATAGCAATACTTAAGTGCATTTGATGTTGTTAATAAGTCAATAATTTTTAAAACCCTGTTATTTTTAAGTTATAACATGATACTAAAAGTAGTTTTCCTATTTCAGAGTTTTCTGGTTATCACTGTACGTAGAAAACAACCAATGAGTTTTTTGTCGATGATTCATCTACATTGTTTTAGTCACAATGAATAATTATCTACATAATAAAATAAGACATTCGTATATATGTTCCCTCTGGCCGGCTGGACCGAATGGGCTGAAATTTAAAACTCATGGGTAGCCGAGGGTGGCACAGGCTAAAAATCAAATTTTCTTTTTTTTCAATTTTTTCTCTTTTTTTTCTTTTTTCCACGTGGTCGTGCAACGCCGGACCATCAGGTAGTTGAAAATAAGTTTAAAGGAATTGTCGCTGTAATTTTAAGTAATCTTCACTTATCATGACTTAAACTAATCTGAGATTTAAACAACCCGCCAAAAAATCTTAGAAGGAAACTATTGTATATCTCATACATTCTTTATCAGACAAAAGGTGTCGCTTTTCTTTAGACATCTAATAACTTAAAATCACGTTTTTTCCCTTTTTAAGGTTTACCAATCTTCAAATAAAAAAACGCAATTTTTCGAAAATTTCAGAAAATACAAAAAGATGGCGTCTTATACCTGTATACCCTGTCATATCTTTGGTTGATTCCTCTTCTTTTCTATCTTCTGTTCTCCCCCTCCCCTCCTCCTTCATTCCCCCTCCCTCCTCCTCCTCCCCCCTCCCTCCAGGCTTGAAAAGTCTGGAATAGTCCTCACCGAGGGATTTACGGAAATGTTCCTCCAAGGACCCGACCCCATTCTCTAGAATAAAAAATAATTATTTTTGAATAAAAAAAAAATCAACTTCTGGTTACAAACTATCAGAACAGATAGAACACTAGATGTCGATGTTTCAAGATTTAAGGGGTTTTCGTTTGCAATAACCCTGAGGCAGAAGCCCAAAGGAGTTACGCGCATGCTCTTTCAATGTCTTGTCATTCAACGCGGCATTCACGTAGCTCCTTTAGGATTCTGCCTCAGGATTATTGTGAACGAAAAACTCTTAAATCTTGAAAAGACGACTTCTAGTGTTTTATATGTATTGTTATTAATCTATGCAAACTATGATGTTCTAATCGTAGTCGGAGACCTCTAAATTACCAAAGGTTTACACCATCAGGTTGAAAGATATAGGGTTTAGAAAAATTGTATTTGTAACAAAAACTCAGTTCCTTTACAAATGAAATTATTACTGGTCAAATCAAATCAAATCAGACTCTTAGGGATGTCCTACACTAATTGTCTACTTCTTATATCTTTGTAACTTGGTATCGTATAGGCCTTTAATATTTCTTTAAAAGATATAGGGATTGGAGAAAAAGAGGTTGATGCTAGTGTTCATTTCCTTTTAAAAAAATATTGTTCGAATTTCTGTTTAAAAAATGGGACAGGGTGTACATTTTAAAAATGGGAAAGGGGGGTACATTTAAAAAATGGGACAGGGGGGGGTACATTTTAAAAAGTATCATTTAAAAAACAAACCTTCGACAATTGTGATCTTTCTCAATTCTTTCTCTTTATTCTCCTTATTCTCTGATCCAAGATCCTCATGAAGATAAGAAGGGACCAGGGGTACAGGTTGAACCAGGGGGCGGAGACCCCCCTCCTGCTTTATCTGTAGGGGCGGAGATAGGGGGAAGGTGGAGGGTATAGGTCGGGAGCTGAGTGTAAGAAAGGTTGGATTGGTAGTTGGGATTTGCCGGCATATCGTCGGCGACTTGGGCTTAGCTGCCATAGCTGCCTCGTAGCTGGGCGGTGGCGGGCGGGCGGCGGGAGATGGCGGAGAGGGGCTTCTAGGATATGGCGGAGGGTTGAACACCGGGAAAACATATGGCGGAGCTGTGCTCTGATGAAGTCGAGGCGGAGAAACGGCGGGTGCTCTTGCGGAGAATGTTGGCGGAGAGGATTTGAATACCGGTAGGGGGGCGGAGGAGAGGGGGAACTGCGTTTCTTTAGGGAAAAATCTAAAGGTGTGTCGTCCATTGGACTAGAATCGTCCAATGATGAATTTGATATTAATGATGAATCGGCCAGGTTGGACGAATACTCTGATATGGTGGTATGACTAGAGGAACAATGTTGTGATGAGCTAGACGAGATTGAACTCGATCTGAAAAAGAAAAAGGTCAAAATATGTTATTTTTCCAATCTTTTAAGAAAATCTTCTAAACTCTTTAAATATCCAATTTGTAATTTAAGAGGCATTTAGCTAAAAAAAGTGTTATTTATGATTAAACTTTTTTTTAAATTACTTAAAAAAATATTTGTTCACTAACTCAACTTATTAGACATGGCATTACTCTAAATAAAAATCAATTTTTGTTCTGATAAACGAGGAAACGATTTTTTCAATATTAGCAAAAATCAATAATTTTTAAAATAAAATAGTTTTGTTAACTAGACTCAAAGTATATTTATTATTTATGCATAATGTACGTACATTATGCATAATCATATCTTATACTTACAGTGAGCTTTGTCTGCTGAGTTTAATAGATCTGACTGTATCCGCCTGGGCCAGGTATTCAGGGGCAGAGTGTTTACGAAACTTAGGATGAACCTCCTTAAAGGAACTGCTTCGACGGGCGGTCACCTGAGAAAAATATTTTTAAAACATCAAACTTTGCGGGCCTATTTTTATTTTAAAGGGTGTTTTATGTCAACTAAAGGGTGTTTTTTTTTATGTTAACTAAAGGGTGCGTTTTTTATGTCAACTAAAGGGTGTTTTTTTTATGTCAATTACAGGGTGTTTTTATGTCAACTAAAGGGTGTTTTTTTTATGTCAACTAAAGGTTTTTTTTTTGTCAACTAAAGGTTGTTTTTTATGTCAACGAAAGGGTTTTTTTTATGTCAACTAAAGGGTGATTTTATGTCCACTAAAGGGTGTTTTTTATGTCAACTAAAGGGTGTTTTTATGTCAACTAAAGGGTGTTTTTATGTCAACTAATGGGTGTTTTTATGTCAACTAAAGGGTGTTTTTATGTCAACCAAAGGGTGTTTTTTTTATGTCAACTAAAGGGTGCAGTTTAAAAAACCAAACACCTCACACTTTTTTCTCTCCGAGGCTTAATATTTACCCGGTCATAACGAAATTAATATCACAATGTCTCTAGCTCTGTTATCTGAAGCACAATGATACTCCTAACATCCTAGAGACAATGTTAAACTAATTTTATTATGATAGGGTAAAGGGACTGTTCGTAATTTCAAGTGACTCTCCATATTTAAAATGACAAATTCACAAGGGTACCCTCTAAACCTAACAGTTTGAGCCATTATGACAAAAATATCATTGTTTTTCTATCTAAAACTTCTAATTGTGGTTTCTCTATAGAAATGACTCTACTTTGGAACAGGAAGACGACTTTTAAACTAAAGAAAAACCTTTAATTAGTTCAATGAACATGAGCAATTGTGCAGTATTAAGTGTTAACAGTTAAACAGACCCATTTCACTGCAGAAGTGATTTTATTTGTCAAAAGTAAAACTATTTTCTTTGTAACATTAATTACACTTAATTGTTGTCTTAATGTCGTCTTCCTATTCTACAGTTTTCTGGTTCTCTGCACTGAAGCAACAATAAAGAAAGTACTTTAGTTTACAGTATTCAAAACTTTCTTCGATAGAAAAACAACGATATCTTCACCATTGTTGTTCAGATGAGGATTTAAAGTACCCCGCTGTGAACCGGACATGCCCTCTTTTAAATGGAGTTCACTTGAAATTGTGTGTACAGTCTCTTAGAATATAAAAATATAAAACCTGTGACGGAGGTGAGTTTTCTGTATCTTCTCTGCCCGGCGTGCTAGTTGTTGAGGTCTCTAGCACTCTGCCCGGCGTTCTAGCCGACGATGTATTGACAGCTTCGACCATAGTTGCGGCTCGAGATAAGACATCAAGAGGAGATTCCATTCCATCTATCCCCTCCTCCATCTCCACCGCCCTGGAGCCGTGCTCCGGTACACGGACCACCATTACCTGCAACAAAAAATAGAATTAGTCAGAATTTAGTCAGTTCGTTTTTCAGCTGTTTTTTGCCAATATTTTTTCACGCTCAAAATTTGGCATAAGCAAATGTTTACTAAACATTTTATTTTAAACATTTGCCTTTTAAGTATGCTAAATTTTGACCCGTGCAGAAGATGTGTTTGGATCTTTTTGCACTTTTTTTTAGTTTACAGATATGGAATTAATTATAAGAAAACTTTAACATTATACAGTTTTAAAATCTGTGTAGTTTTATTGATTTTTTCCTAAAAACGATTGATACGGGTAACTAGTTTCGCTAGTTCGCTTTTGGGTCGTATTTCGCATTTATTTTATGTCCGGGTCCCGATTTGTCTTAATGTAAGAAAACTAATTGTTTTCAAAACTGTTTATTCTAAACATGTGCTTCTCTTAAATTATTCCAATTTTGACCCTCATAGAAAGTATATCCAAAAACGAATCAGTTTTGAAATCTTGAAAATTTTATTAAAATGTTTCAATAAACGGTCCAAAACGATTAACAACATTACGCGAGACTAATTAGTTTTGACTCTTGTGGGCAAAATTATTAGTTTCAAAAAAATCTAAAAAATTCAGGATTGTTGTATTGAACCCATGACAATATCTATAATATTGTTGTATTTAACCCAGGACAATATTTATAATTGTCCTGATTCTTCCTTCTACTTAAGCGAAACTACTGCAATTGATATATTTCATAAAACGTACAGAGCTAAAAACTTTAGGATAGGATATCCTTAATCCCAATCGGTTAATTAATCTGGAGATTAATAGCAAGAGGAGAACAAGCATTATTTAATCTAAAGATTAGGAAAAGAGTGGATCAAGCATTAATCCCGATATCGACCATTCAAAAGTTTCCATCTCTGATCACTTTTTAATGTATGGTTTAGTTGCAAGTCACAAAATTCTTAGCGAGATTTCAAGGAGAAAAACACAATTAGAAATCCACTGTTTTCTGAATACCTCTGTATGAAAGTATTTTGAATAAATTGTGCCTGAACATGCACTTTTTTTCCTTTCAACAACATCATCATTTCATAGGGTTGTTTATCAAATCTTATCTTAAAGGGACTGTAAGCGTTATTTCAAGTAAAAAAATTGGCAATGCCCTATTCACAATTGTGCCCAGCTTATTAACTAGATATCAATGTTTATTAATTAGAAACTGATTAATTTCAAAAGTGGTTTCTCTACTAAACAGACTTTCTACTGACGTTCACAATAATATGACGTACTTGTGAAAATTAGTCTATGACCACCCCCCTCCCCCCCAACTTCTTTCTTTCGAAAAAAAAATAAGAAAAAAGATATTATGTTTACTTTAAAAGTTTAATTAACAATAAGAACGACATATTAAATGTAGAGCAGTTTGATGAAAATTAGAATATATGTATCAGTGACATTTTATTTCGTTGTTTACATTTAAATAATAAACAATGTAAAAATCTACAATTTTGTGTAATTTTAACATACTTTATGAATACAACAGACGTGAATGTAATCATTTGAATCACTATCCCCGCATTTTCTAGTAGCCATGTTTCTGTTCCGTATCCTGTATCCTGAATCCAGTATCCCTGTATCCCTGTATCCTGTATCCTGTATCCTGTATCCTGGTTTTGAACTTACTACCCCAGCTATGTATAACTAGCTAACTAATTAAATATCTATCTGTACGGTTCTATCTATCTATCTATATCTCGAAAACCTCGAAAACCAGGGGTTGTAAAAAAAATCAAAAATATCAAATGTCGTTTTTTGTTTTTAGGTTACAAAATGGGCTAAAAGGAAATGGGGAGGGGCATTGGATGAAGTGGGGGGGCCGATACTGAAGTAGCCCCTGCATAGTTGTGAGGCTGGTTAAAGGGCGGGTGGGTTATTAAAGAAAAACACTGGAAAGATAAAAAGAAAGGAGAGAGAAGGAATTTGCCAATTAAGGAGCAAACAGTTCAAAAATATCAATTTCAAACATTTTTAGCACACCGTGCTTTGACACATTCTTTTGATAAATAATATATCACAAAACACCAGTTCTTAAATTAAAGAATTTAGGCCAAACAGTAGCTCTGGATTTTAAAAATTTAGAAAGTTAAAGAAGCTAGATAGATAGATAGATATTTAAAGAATGTTGTATTTTAAATTAAAATATGTCACACTTTACAAATATCAGAAGAAAGTATGAAGAATAGATAGAAAATAGATAAATGGATGGATAGAATGATAGATAAATCGAAAATCGAGCGAACGATGGATAGATAAACAGATAGATAGATAGATAGATAGATCGAACGATGAATAGATAAATAGATATTAATATAGATAGATCGAACGATGGATAGACAGAGAGATTGAGAGACGGATAGATATAATAAGTTAGATAGCTAGATAGATAAAAAGATGGATAGAAGATAGATAGATAGACAGATAAATAGTTCAATAGATAGATAGATAGATATATAGATAGATTGATAGATAAATAGTTAAATAGATAGAGAGATGGAGAGAGATAGATGTAAAGAAATATACATAATTAATAATATAGATAGATAGATTGAATGAAATATAGATAGAAAGATAAAGAGAAAGATACATAGATAGAAAGATTGATACCTAGATAGATAGATAACTGAGTAATTTGGTCGAGAATGTACAAATTGGTGACTCTGATATAGTTGGCCGTGGTATGCGTCTAAAATAGTTAGTTAGATAGATAGATAGATAGATAGATACAGTGCAGCGTGTTGAGTTGTGGAATGCAAGATGTGGTTCAAATACGAGCAAGGCAGTAAAGAGAGAGATAGAATTTTAAAGATAGAAAGATAGTAGATAGAAGAATGTATCGAATATTATCAATATGTGAGAAAATTACACATGAAGGATTTATAAAAGGATAGATATTTGCACCCGGAAATTGCATTGAGATAGATATTTGTACCGGAAGTTGCGTTGAGATAGATATTTGTACCGGAAGTTGCGTTGAGATATATATTTGTACCGGAAGTTGAGAAAACTATTTATAAACGGAAGGATTAAAGGATAGATGGATAGATAGAAAAAGTATATATTAGTTTTAAACTACACATTCTTGATCTTTGTTCAGGTTCCCGTCCTTATTCTTACAAGTTCTCACACTATCTATCTATCTATCTATCTATCTATCTATCTATCTATCTATCTATCTATCTATCTATCTATCTATCTATCTATCTATCTATCTATCTATCTGTCTGTCTGTCTGTCTGTCTGTCTGTCTGTCTGTCTGTCTGTCTGTCTGTCTGTCTGTCTGTCTGTCTGTCTGTCTGTCTGTGTCTGTCTGTCTGTCTGTCTGTCTATCTATCTGTCTGGCTATCTGTCTGGCTGTCTGTCTGTCTGTCTGTCTGTCTGTCTGTCTGTCTGTCTGTCTGTCTGTCTGTCTGTCTATCTATCTATCTATCTGTGTCGTCCTTTATATTGGGCACCCTGTATCTTATAAAGTATAAGCAAAACAATGCTAGACGTATGTTATGTTAATCCTAACGTTCAAATGTGTAGGCGCATATTATACAAAAGCAAAAAAGTTTAAATCTATAATTATTCAGATATTGTATATTGTATGTGCATATAAAAATATATATACAGTTGTTAAAAAATAATATTAACTACTGAGGGTAGTCGTGAGACGTTGAAACATTTTGTTTACTTCTGTTTTGAACAAAATGTGAAGTTTAAAAACTAAAAAATCTCTCTATATATAATATATAGATTATATAATACAGTCTTATTGTGTATATATAATATAATAAGACTGTATTTAAGGCAGAACACAAAGTTAAACCGATTTGTTACAGGTAGTTGTTAAACTCTCATTCTTTTTGTTGAACCCTGTATGCACACTATATGTAGTGCCGAAGTATGGTTGGTATTTATCAAAAAAAATCCAGGGCATTCACATACTTAAACCCATATACCACCACCCTCTTAATTTTCACATTCCAACAAAAGTAAATGAAGCTATAGTAAATCGCTATTACCGTGAGACCTATAAAACTTTAGTATAGGAAGACGACATGATCAAAATGAAAAAGGTTTTAGTTTTTTGGATTTTTAAAATCTGGAGTGTTTAACCCTGGTGTTTGGTTTGTATGCGAAGTAACTGACTTGGAAAATGACTTGAAGATTTTAAATGATTTATTCTACTTCTCTTCGCTTGCTACCCCTAACTAGTAACTAATCTTAACCCTGACAAGATTAAAATATTCTCCCCCCTCCTCCTCCCATTCACGTTCATGAAACTAAATTTTTATAATGATTGTACACGATGAAAAGAAACCAAAAAGAAATCTTTCAACCCCTAAGTAAATAATACATTTTACTTCCTTAATAAAATCACTACCCTGAGTAAATTAAACCTGTATTCTTCCTCTCTATTAAAATCACTACCCTGAGTAAACCCTATATTCTACCTCTATTAAAATCACTACCCTGAGTAAACCCGATATTCTACCTCTCTATTAAACTCCCTACCCTGAGTAAACCATCTATTCTACCTCCCTATTAAACTCCCTACCCTGAGTAAACTTTATATTCTACCTCTCTATTAAACTCCCTACCCTAAGTAAACCCTATATTCTACCTCTCTATTAAACTCCCTACCCTGAGTAAACCCTATATTCTACCTCTCTATTTAACTCCCTACCCTGAGTAAACCATCTATTCTACCTCTCTATTAAACTCCCTACCCTGAGTCAAATCCAAGCTACCACCATCCTGTTTCTAAATACCAAATAAGGACGCTTTATCCTGTAATTGTCTCTATAAGTTCTCAATATATTTGCTCAACCCTCCCAACAACTCTATGGATGGGTAGGAGGAGGAGGGGAGGGGGATAATTAGGGGGAAAAACAACGGTAAAATGGAGAAAGGAATGTGACAGTGGGTGTACGTTATGTTTGTGCTGATCACGAATGTCTTATGCTTTCTATATATCCTGCTTTACTTTCTCGGAGTTTTTTCACATTCCTTTCTGCTTTTTACTATTTTAATTTTTTTCTTAATTTTTCCATTTTATATCCTTCCGTTACCTTTTCATTATTCCATTTAAAATATCTTGAATTTTTCATCCTTTTCCAATCTATTTTGATCGTTCATGCACCTTTTTATCCAACTTTTTTACTCCTGTTACTTACTGTTTTCTCCTTTATTACCCACTGTTTACTCTATTTTTACTCACTGTTTTCTCCTTTTTTACCCACAGTTTTCCTCTTTTTTGCCCACTGTTTTCTCTTTTTTTACCCACTGTTTTATCCTTTTTTACTCACTATTTTCTCCTTTTTTACCCACTATTTTCTCCTTTTTTACCCACTGTTTTCTCCTTTTTTACCCACTATTTTCTCCTTTTTTACCCACTGTTTTCTCCTTTTTTACCTACTGTTTTCTCTCTATTATTTTGCTTACCTTTTACCATAATCATAATGTTCTCATTTCATTATAAAACCAACTGTTACAAGAAACCCTGTACGACCAACATATTCTTTATGATTTCAAACTTTGTAGGTTCAAAAATGGTTTCAAATTGTGTCCAGATTGTTCTATTTTCGAAATATTTTGGAAGTTCGGAAATATGAACAACAAGTGGGAACTGTACTTTATTTCTTTATACAGTGGGACACAAAAAAATGTGGAATGGTAAGATGAAGTGCAAATGGTTTCACGAAAAGCTTAATAATGAACTTGATTAAGTGGCATTAGTGCTCTGCAGATTAGTAGCGTTTCATTGGACTATCTACAACCAGAGCTTGACTCGAATAGTCGTATCCTTCTCCACAGATTTATGGGTACCACGCTTTCAAATTTCAATGGTTTCCATATTACGTCTGAGAGCTGAATTCTTGTTTAAAAACCTTTAATCTCTTAAATATTTTGCCCAGGAGTAAAAATTAACGTGTCATGCTCTCTCTATATAATTGGGCGAGGTGCAGGGCTAGTCACAAAGGATGAGACTGTAAAGACGACTTAAAACTCTTAAAATATAACGATCCCCAGGTAAATTAAGTCTTCGGCCCAAAATAAAATCTTTTAATATCTTATTTTATAATTTAGCAAAGAGAGATACAAGTTTACAGTTGCAGTGAATCATGAATATAAGGGAACAGACACAACAAGTTCTGTACAATCGTCTAGGGTTTTTATAACTATATAAAAAAGAGGTAGAAAATATTCAATTACGTTGAACAAAAAAATCCAATTATTAATGTATGAGGATTCAAATAAACTAGATGTTAAAAAAACTCGATGACGGAAAAAACGCAAAAACAACTTGTTGGAGTAGTTGTAAGATATGAAAAAACGTTAAACACAAAACCTTCAGTTGGTTATTTTCATCCTTGCCCAATTACAGGGGTGTATATTCCACTTAAAAATTTAACTTTTTATCAAAATTATTTTCATTTTTATATCGATAAGTTTTGATTTTCTAAAGGAATCCTACACAGTACACAGCCCTGTTTGTGTGTGTGTAGGGTGCTGTGTGTCTGTTTTAAAAACGGTTTGAATGATCTGTGCTAACTTAACTACCTTCTTCATCCTAGATCATTCATAGGTTCTATCTATCTATCTATCTATCTATCTATCTATCTATCTATCTATCTATCTATCTATCTATCTATCTATCTATCTATCTATCTATCTATCTATCTATCTATCTATCTATCTATCTATCTATCTATCTATCTATCTATCTATCTATCTATCTATCTATCTATCTATCTATCTATCTATCTATCTATCTATCTATCTATCTATCTATCTATCTATCTATCTATCTATCTATCTATCTATCTATCTATCNTTCCCCTTCCTAACAAGTAATGCCTTACTAGCGCTATTTCAGAAATGTTTTTAAAAATTTCAAATTATTTCAAGATTTTTGAGATAGTTTTGAGACGATGAATTCTTAGATTTTAATCTTTGTTTCCTGTCTTACCTTAGCAGGAAGACAGGCAGGTAGATAGATAACTTGGCAGGAAGATAGATAGATAACTCAACAAGAAGACAGGTAGATAGACAGATAACTTAGCAGGAAGATAGATAGATAACTTGGCAGGAAGACAGACAGGAAGATAGATAAATAGCTTAGCAGGAAAACAGACAGGGAGATAGATAGATATTTTGGCAGGAAGACAGACAGGGAGATAGATAGATTACTTGGCAGGAAGACAGGAAAGGAGAAAGATAGTTAGCTTGGTAGGAATACAGGTAGGCAGTGATATAAATAACTTGGCATTAAGACAGGCAGAGAGATAAATGGATAACTTAACAAGAAGACAGGCAGATAGAATGGTATAGAAAGAATTATGGTGGGAGATAGATAGATAGCTTGGCAGGAAGACAGTCAATGAGATAGATAGATAGCAGAAAGATGGATGAATTAACATATATGGCAGGAAGGAAGGTAGTTAACCTAACATAATTTACAGCAGGAAGGCAGGAAGTGATATTAATAAATAAGCAGAAAAGAGGTGAAGTAAGGATGAATTCAAGCTTAAATTGAGATACAGGAAGTCAGGACTAATGAGAGAACAGGAAGTAANAAGGACATGTTTCACACTCCCCTTAAACCTTAAAGGGTAAAATCATTTAAAAACTTTAAGGTTAAAACCAGCCTATATTAGACAAAGCTAGCCCAGCCAGGACAGGGTTAAATTAAAAAAAAACATCCGGCCAACCCTCCTATACTTCAATGTTTAAACTTGATAAATACAAAATCTAAAATAAATACTTACAAATACAAATACTACAAAAATGTATTTAAATTACAAAAAGAAATATTTGTACTTAACAATAATCAACAATAATCTAAGGAATTAAAACATGATCATGATTTCTGAGAAACATTAAATTTCATATAACAATCATTTTTGATTTATGCAGTTTACAAACGTAAACAAAGTTAATCTAGTTCATCATATGTGGAGCTAAAATCCCCTAAATGTAAATCCCTCCCCTCTCGTATGAAAATAAAAATATCCCTCCCCTCTCAAACCGTTTTAACACATGTTCATGGAAATAACACATTTTCTCCCATATCAATTCAGTCTATACAAAATTTGAAAATAGGTCTATATAATTTTAAATACTTTAAAATTTATTCCGGTAATTTTTTTGTTGACATATTTTATCTATAACAACAATAATTAAAATTTAAATTATGCATGAGCCTACTATCTATATATAAATTTGGCTTGTTTGTCTGTCTGTTTGTTTGTCTGTTTGTTTGTTTGTATCCAATAAACGTCAAAACGGCTGAACCAATCGGTCCCAAATTTTTTGTGGGACATCTAGGGAGCCCAGGGAAGGTTTATGAATCATCAAAATTTCAAATATTTGTCTCTATCAAAATTCGATCGTCATTAAATTTTTTAAAATTTTGAAAATCCGCGAAATTTTTTGTAAAAATCCGCGAATTATTTTTGTTTAGTTTTACGATGTACACAAAGAGAACATGTTTACAATTAATTTAGAAGATGGGCGCGAAGCGCCCTCTAAGGCTAGAAAGAAGGGCGCGAAGCGCCTTGAATTTCTAGTAGTTTATAAAACAGCTTTGTTTACAAAAAAAGTGTACTACAATTGTGCAGTTTTTGCATTTTTTAGGCAACATTTGAAAATACAGTACACTTAATATGTAAACATGTTATTAATGTATAAACTATGTTGTGAAGTATGTATATATATACTTACAAAGCTTATATGTGTGTTCTATATCTATATACGGATGTATATATATACAGAACAAGATATCTATCTATCAGCAATCTACACAATCAGCCACATTCACATTTTCAGTTTTTAAGACCTTTCGACAACTCTAACTGACCTATGGGTCTAACTATCACAGATTAGGTTTAGAGATTGAGATCTGTAAGCCTTATTTTCCAGGTTTAATTTTGAAAATAATATTGTCAGGTAGAGAACCCATCAACTGTTGGGAATAGACTGCACTGCAGCGACACAAGAATGTTTGGAATTTGCTACCTCAGCGCCGAACCCGGCCCTAGCGGCCAGTGACAGAACTAACAAAGGAATTTCTTTTCAATGGTTTAGGCTCCAGCAACAAGGACAACCGTCACTCAGAGCCTCCCGTTGAACCAAAGCTGGCAAATTATGGGTTTTGTGTACCATATACGTTTTTATAGACGAAGCGCTTGGTGTGAAAAAATGCCAAATATTTGGGCTGAATTATATTCTCATTTCTCAGCCATTGCCCTTTACTCCCAGCATATCTCTTCCTCCTGTCGTCACTTAACATACAAGCAAAATAATAAAAATTATAATAATTATTAATGTTACATGCACAATGCACATGAACAAATAGATTGTAACTTTATAAATATATAGTATTTTTTTTTTAAAGTTTACATACAGTAGGACGCAGAATTAACTGGAATTGACTTGCAAATATTATGTTTTAAATAGTTCAATGAAAATGAAAAACGGGAATTGTGTTGCATGCACAGACCAATTTCACTTTATGTATAGATTTTTTTAAAGACTAGATATTTTTTTATACAGCACTGCAAATGCGTATAATATTGGATAAATGTTGTCTTCCCATTCCGCTGCAAAATGATAATAACTATAAAAATGGTCATATAATGATAATAATATAATAATAATGATAATAATATTAATAATAATAATATTGCCACAATTTCGAACAACAGCCTTTATTTCAAGAGGTCCAAGAAAACTAAATTATCGTAGATTGTAATGTAGAGAGGATAGTTTTTTTATTCTTAAATTTTGAACAAAAAGTCCTTTATTTACTTTTAGCCAATTCATGTTATGGTATACTTTTATTTTTAACTTTAAAAATAAACATAGAAACTACTTGCAGTCTCCTGCAAGAAAAAATAATGTAAGCCTATAAAGACTGGGGACCTGAATCTATGCATAGCCTTGAGGGGGGGGGGGCAGCTTATTGATAAAAAATGAGACCGAAAACTTTGATAGTTTGGGTGCTATAGGATGGTTAAATGCCATAAAAAGGGATAAAAGAAGTGTAAAAATTCATATCAAAATGTAACATATGTTTCTACATCTATTTTTTAAGGGCTTTTTAAAAATATATAGTTTTTAACTCTGTAAGTTTATTAACAAAAAGTTATGAGCTATATTAGATTTTTTGACATGGACCCGACTTTTATCACACATAAAAAAAATCCTTTAAATTTCTATTTATTAAAAGTAAAAAAATTTCGCGGTTTTAGTGTCAAAAATGAGAGTGATAAGGTACAAAAACTAGAGGGGAGGGGGCGTCGAGCGCCTCCTTCCCAAAGTTTTAGGAGTAAGAAAAAAGTTTCTAGATTTTTTAATTGTTTCACTGTTTAGGAAAATTTATTTACTAAAAGATCAATGATAAATAGCAAGAAAAAAAAAATTTCCCTTCATTAGAATAATAAGATGCTTACCATTTGTCCTGACGGGATATGATATGATATGTATAATGTTAAAGTATAAAGTTCAATCCATAATATTTTTTAATCTTTATTTGTTAAATAAATGTATTATTAATAAAAGTAAAAGAAACTGTGATTAACATTTTTCTATAAGGTTACAGGGCGTGGGGGGGGGAGGGTAAAAATAATAAAGAGGTGATGATTAAAAAAAATTTCGTACTTTGCTCGTTTTTGTTTTTTTACCCCCCCCCCCCCATCTTAAATCCTAAAACCGCGCTTGAATTAATTATGATATTGATAATTATAATAATAATAATAAAATTATTAATAGTTTATAACATGATAATTATAAAAAATACTAATATCAAACAATAATAACATTAACATTATCAAAAATTTCAATTATCAAAGCGGAAAAGTAAATTCTTTAATCTTTATGAAATTAACAAAGAATTTCAGGAAACCATGATTTGCAACATTTTCAGAATTCCGACAAATTATTGATATTTCAGTTGTTCAAGGACATTTCATGCATTTTAGAGATAAAATTCCAAAAATATCTTTGCAGATTAAGTTTTGTGCAACAATTGCATGTGCAACTATTCAAGGGCGTATACAGGGGGGGAAAGGGGCAGTGCCCCACCCTAGACCTGTAAAGGGGGGGTGTAGCCCCCCCCCCTAGATCTCAGAGCTTTCACACTTTTCCAATCTTAAACTGGAGAGTGAAGAACATAAAAAAATTAGTTTGCTGTTCATTCAGTGCACTAAGAAGATTGTATACCAGAGCCACCATGACAGAAGTCCGAATGAAAAATCTATTTAGAATGCACATTCATCCCAATCGGATGGGCGCTAATAGGGATAGCAAAGTAAAACAAATATTTTTAAATGCTAAGCCACGAAGGCTTGAGTTTGGAGGTAGTAAAAGACCATTTAAGTTTTTTTTTAATTTGGATTTAATTTTCTTTTTTCATTGCACCGCTGTTTTGTAATCTTTCTTTTATTATAAACTTGCTGAAGTGCCAGGCGTTGCCCGTGGAATTTTAAAAATCAAATTAAAACAAACAACATATAATTTATTTAGTTGTATAAAGAAGACATTCCGAAAAATGCTTCAACTAAGAATTTCTTCTGGAAAAGTTGGCAGCTTAAGTTTTCCTCCCCTCGAGCATCCTTGAAATCATCTCTGGATCATAATTTTTCCAAAAACCAATTTTAATTATATAAGTTTTGCTTTACGCTTGGAACATGTTTCTGCTGGAGTTAACTTTTTTCCATTTTATTACCTAGAATGATCATCCTTGAGTTGTGTGAGCTTTTTTTGGTTTACCGATTAACTTCTTGGTTTTCCTTTTTAAAAACCCATGTGATTAAACAAAATAAAATAAAACAGAATACATTTTTGTTTTAGATAAAAAGTTGTATTACAAGTAACAAATAAAAAGAGAAATATAAACAGTAAAAATGCTGAAAATCCTTCAAGAACATTTCATCTGACAACTGTTATGATCAAGTTATGTATCTTAATTTCAGTTCCTGAAATATTTTTAGTTTATAAAAAATAAATAAATAAAGAATAAATAAAAAATAAAAAATAATAATAAATAAAGAGATCTTTTAAGAGATATAATGGAAATCGACCTAATTTTTACTTGGCTTTTATGACAGTAAATGACTCTATAAATGTGTCCTGGCTCATATAACCATTTAGCTTAATCATCCTCCTGATCCATGAGTTTCCTCATGTAAAATTCAGCCAAATTGATTCAGCCGTTTGGTCAGCCATAGCAAACATATAAATGAATGAAAAGCTTTGCTATATAGATTACAATTATACTCATACTTTTTTCTTTTAAACGGAAACTTTTACAAGTTATAATTATTTTCTGGGCCTCTGTCCTTTTTTCATTTCACTGATTTTAAGTTTATGTTGAATATTTCATTTTCAAAAATGTCTTTTAATTTCTTTATAGATTAAATACTAATTATTGCTAAAAGTATGCTAGATAGATAGATAGAAGATGGATATATATTTATCATTAAAGTACATAATTTTACATAGATATATTCTTTAAACTAACACTTCAGTGACGGGATTTGCCAAGCCAACATTGGCAAACCCGGATGTAATTGAGTGATATTATAATTTTTAAATTATACAATTGAAGGTGTTTCGTCCAATAAGTAGGGGGAAAGTATTAAGAAGATGGCCCATTTATTCATTCAGAAATACATAAATAACAGTTTGATTTTGAACATTCAAATAAAATAAATAAGAATAAAATAAAATAAAATGTAGTTTTTTTAAAAACAATACTTTTTTCTGCTAGTTTTGTTTTAAGGAAAAAATTTTCGTTCGTTTTTCACATTTTTATGAAAATTGATAAAGCGAAAATATGATTAAGAACATTGAAAAAATATTTTACATTGAATATTTTTTTTTTGAAAATATACCCCTAAAAAACTCAAAAATTTGTATAACAAGTGTTTCAAGTTATTATGCAGATTACTTTAAAATACTTAAACTTGCTGTAAAACTTAATTTTTTCAAAAAAAGATAAGCATAAAAGGAATTGTTATGAAAATTTTATTTCAACCAAGAAAAAAGTACAAAAAAAGGTTTCTTAATCTTCCATATTAAATCTCATTCCTGCGTAGCCTCCTGATGACCTCCTATAGCCTCTTGTCCAAGGAATTGGTAAGATTTTTCATTTGCTTTGGTCTATCACTAGCTTCCGTTGTCTATACAACAGCCCACACCTCTCTTTGTAAGCTACAGGGTGTCCCAAAAAACATGGGAATTCAGTGACGAATTCGATATCGTCTTTTCAAATAATTCTTTGATTTAGTATAGTGATACCTACTGAGAAAGCTGTAATCTGTAAGATTTTCGTCTGCTATGTTTACATTTTGTTTGTTTATGTTTTGACTGCATACGGTTGTACTTAGTAAAACAAGAAAATTACAGTATACAAACAGAGTAAACTTGTCCGTATTCACTGTTCATCTTGCGGAGACATTATAGACATATCTTTACAGTCTTTTACCCTTTTCATTAAATAAACTCTAGCAGACATAATAATATTATGGCTTTTGAAATTAGGTATTACAATGCTAATTCATAACAAAGACGATATCGAATTCGTCACTGAATTCCCATGTTTTTTGGGACATGGGATTATGCCTACCAGAGTGGTCAACTTTCATCTATAGAATGGCCTACAAGTTTCTTATGGGATTTAAATCGAGTCATTTTTTTTGTCACTGAATCATTGTTAAGCAAGCTGCAACCCATGTTCTCCCTAGATGCATGCCAGGAGGCATTGTCTTGATGGAAAACAAGCTTTATTTTAATTGAATTCAGATTTCTGAACCAAATCATAAAATGGTCCTCCAAGAACTCCCAATGACCCTTAAACTAAACCTTGACACCATCCTTAACCTTGATTGGTCCACTGATCTCTTCCCTAACGATCCTGCCCAGATAATGAACCCCTCTCCCACCTCCTACCTCCTTTTACGCTCCTAGGCGGGTTATTGCCATTTAACCCCCAAACTTCAGCCAAATCGTCTGGGCCATTAAAAATCACACCACAATAGTTTGTAAAGACGACTTTTGAGAAGTCTAGCTTATCATATGATGTGGCCTGTTAAACTTTTTTTACATGAGTCATTTGGTCAGGAGTGCCAAATTTCAATTTTTAAAATTTTTATCACAGATTTTGGCAATCTTTAACGCGTCGCCCAGTACAAAATATTCAAAATAACGATCTCAAACAGGGTTTAGCTGGTAGCTTGGGGAGTTCTGCTGACCTTGATAAAAAAAAATTTTTTTTGCTTTCTTTGATAAGTTATCTTCATGATACATTTTGTACTATTTTTTTTTCAATCTTTACAAAAGAATGAACTGTACAGTGATCTCGGTTTTCAACCAACCGCCCAACAGAAGTCGCTGGGTTTTCACTTAAGAAAAATATTGCAGTTAAAAAAAATTTTCAAAATCGTCCAGAAGGTTACGATTTGACGATTTAATATCGGAGAATTCACCGAAAGGCCACAAAAAAATTTTACTTTTTATTTTTATGTTATACATCAATTTCATGGAAATTTAATGCCGAATTCAAATCAGAAAAGTGTTTTTTTTAATTGAAAATTGAGTGAGTTAGAGCTAAAAAACTCATCAAAAACATTAACAAGTTAAAAACCTGAATTTAGTAAAGTTATTTGGCCATAACTTCTTTAGATTTTAATATTTTTAAAAATGGTTTTCGAATCTGAATTCAGCATGAAATTTCCAAGGCCTTACAGCGATTTCTCCATTAATAAATCGTCAATTCGCAACCCTATGGACGATTTAAAATTTTTTTTTGATTGCAATATCTTTTATAAAGTAAAAACGCAGCTACCTCAAGTGGGCGGCTGGCTGATTTCTAAAAAAAGTCACAAATCAATCACCCCTAATGTATAGGTAGTAGGTACCCCTAATGTATAGTTTTTGTTATTTACCCTTTTCTCCAGTTCATCTTTATTTCCCATATTTTTGTGATTTAGGTAACCAAGTTTCAACTTATATAATAATTTGATAAACTGTAAATACAATTTTACACTTTATGTTTACTGTTTACAACTCAAGTAAACAAAAATTTGCACACACATTTAAATACCTGAAGGAACACTTTTATGTAAAATTAGGATAAAAAAATAATTTCCGAGTCAAAATAAAAAAACGTACTTGCATAGTAACTTGAAACGCGGTGTTTAAGCCATTATGTCTAAGATGGTTTTGAAGATCTGCCCATTCGAAGTCAGAGACAAAAACTGTAGCACGTCACATGGAAACTTTTGTTCCCAGGATTTGACCAGTGACGTCATATGAGGTTTTATTTATCTATCTTTCCGTACATTGTAACTATCGGGAGTAACCAACCTTATACAATCTTGATTTGACCTCTCAGTCGATAGGTTAAATACTCTGGCAATGAATACTGAATAGATATGAAATCAAATATTTTAAAAGGCGTCTAACAGTAAAAATATTTCTTTATTGACTTTAAACAGACCGAGCCTCCGCCATGCATTACGAGCCTCCGCTATACAGAACAGCTTCCTTACAACTTTTAGTTTTAACATGTAATATCGAATTTTTTTTTTTTTCAACATAGTGGCACAGGAATTTTACTAAAGATTAATGTTGTTCCCTGATTGTTATTGTTTGTAACTTATATTAACTCATAAAGTGATTTATAAGAATAATGTTTTACAATAAAACATTTCATACGCAGTAAGGAGGCTATTTGAAAATTTATTTCTGAATTGAACTTTGTTATTTTGTTTTAATCTTTGATTTCAGCTATCCCTATTTTGAGAATTTTTATTAGTTAAGATTATTAGTTAAAATTATCAGTATTATTTTCAAGTTTAATAAACCACATTAAGTTAATCATAATTAGACACTATTTATAATAATTAATACTTCAGATCTTTGTTAAACATGTATGCCCCAGGCCCCTATATTGAAAAATACAAAAAATACTAAATGTAAAAACCAAAAGTTTTAAGGAAACTGTTTTGTATAGCGGAGGCTCTCACGCATGGGGGAGGCTCGGTCTGCCTAGCAAATCTGGGAGGCTTGGTCTGCCTAGCAAATCTGGGAGGCTTGGTCTGCCTAGCAAATCTGGGAGGCTCGTATGCTCATAGAGGAGGCTCATGGAGTCCAGGGGTTCCCTCCCTAGCCTTTTCTATTTTATAACTTTTTGTCAGCAAATACGGTTAAAACGAAAACTTGGACAAGTATAAAAAGACAACTCCGTAAATGTTAAGATCGTAAAATTCTAGATCAAAACGCGATTGAAAACAAATCTTGCACCTCTAAAGCCAGTGTGATAAATTCAATATCCCGTTAAAAATATATTTATTGATATTTAATTCATAGATAAACTATTTCACATTATTTAACAAAAAGTTGAAAAAAGGGCAAAATTTATCCAAATAATTTAAAATCCAGCTTAAAATCTAAAAACTATTTATAAAAATGTGTTTATTTCCGATTGACAAACCTTAAAAAAGCTTTTAAAATTAATTGAAAAACGAAACTATCAGAAATACATAGAAATTGATAATTTGAATAATATATAAAGCCCATCACCATGATAACATATTTATTGTTTGTGCATAATTTAAATGAATTTATATTATTTTTAACTAAAATTTTGATGCATCACCGGAAAACTGATAAATTGATTTAAAAATAAAGATAAATCATTATTCATGGTTTACGTTCATTGTTTGCCGTTCAATGCCATGTGACATTTTCTTTGCTCTTGGTCAGTGTTCTTTTTCATAAGTCCATTTTCATTGCTGTTAGTTGGCGTTCTTTTTTATATGTCCGTTTTAATTGCTGTTAGTTGGCGTTTTTTTCATATGTCCGTTTTATTTGCGGTTAGTTGGCTTTTTTTTTCATATGTCCGTTTTTATTGCTGTTAGTTGGCGTTCTTTTTCATAAGTCCGTTTTAATTGCGGTTAGTTGGCTTTTTTCATATGTTCGTTTTCATTGCAGTTAGAACGTATTCTTATATGCCCATTTTCTTTACTATTAGTCCGTGTTCTTTTCCATATTTTCGTTTACTTTGCTATTTGTCCGTGTTTTATTTCATATGTCCGTATTCACTGCTGTTAGTTGACCTTCTTTTTCATATGTCCATTTTCATTTTCAGCGTTCTATTCCGTATGTCCGTTTTCAGTGCATTTTTTCCTAAGTGTTCGTTTTCTTTGCTGTTAGTCCTTGTTCTGTTTCTTTGCTGTTAATTCATTCCTTTTTCATATGTCCGTATTCATTGCTGTTTGTCCATCATCCATATTGTTTGTTCCTATGCCGCTGCAGCAATGGATTCAATCTAAAAAAACATAGTTCTTAGGTTAAAACTATAAAAAAAAGTTTTGGAACTCTAAGATATGTTGATACTATATAATAAAACAAACAAATGAAAGAGATTCAAACCCCAAATTGTAACTCTGAAATGATAATTCACGCCGGAACAGAATAAAAAAAATATTTATTACATTAAGACTTAATCATTATTCACAGTATAAAAATTATAAGACCTGTAAACTTTAAAAACCACAATTTTTATTCTAGAGAGAACCTCAAGTTTCAGGTCCTTTCCCGTTCCTTGTTTTACTAAACCAGAATTATTTTTTATAGAAAGTTTCCACATTTTCCCAGCCACAAGCCATATACCACTTATCGTTAATGATTTCCCATGTACCTGAGGGCAGTTTGGTATCCCACAAGCTTCTCTAGCGGTCAGTCTTGCAAACAGGTCTGGTTTACTGCAGTATGTACAGCTACCAGCACACACACCTAATACGATACAGTACAGTAGATGTTATTAAAAACAGGTGTGGTGTAATGTACTTTGTACAGCTGCCAGTACACACACCTAGTACAATACAACACAGTACAGTACATGTAATTATTAATAGGTCTGGCGTACTGCAGTATGTTACAGATACCAGCACACAAATCAAGTACAATACATAACAGAAACAGGTCTGGTTTAATTCAGTAGGTACAACTACCAGCAAACACACCTAATACAATACAGTACAGTGCGTGTAATTATAAGCAGGTCTGGTTTACTGTAGTAAGTAGTTCTGTGTATCTTCTAGGGTTTTTCAATATCTTTGATACTTGCTATAAATAAAAACAAGCACTGAATATGATTGAATACTTCAAAAATTTTCTACAATTGGATTTGTCTGGTCTACCCAGAAACCATCTTGAAGTCCAGAGCGACAAATAAATATTTTTTTTAAATAATTCGATATTCGAACAATATTCATTTGTTAAGATCTTTGGTTTAAGTCTAAGGATATGAATTAATGCTGTGAACTCCTAAAAATCAATACAGTTGATAGTAGACCTTATTTCTAGAAGATTTTACATGTTAAAAGAATGAAGAAAATGCAATAATTAGAAAAATTCGAAAAAAAAATCAAAAACTCCAAAAAGCCCACTTAAAGGTGGCTTTTATTGTGTTTTTTGGGTGTTTTTGTTTCGGCTGTTTTTTTTATGTCAACCCTGAGGTTACTTGAAGAAATCGGGTGAAGTTTACCTGATGAAACCGGATTAAGTTTAAGTCCCAGGTTGACCCAGATTTCCTTGAGGTCAGCAGTAAACCGGTCCATCATCTCAAACTAGAAATACAAGAAATTCAGGCTGCTTCGCGCTCTGAACTAAAATCTACATCTTAATTCTTGCTGATCCTCTTAACCCTAAGCAGGGTGGGGGGGGGGGTGGCGCCCCCTTGTAGTTTTTTGTCCTAGCTTTCTCATACTATCATCATACTATCATCATACTATCATCGTGAAATTTTCGGACTTTTAACGAATACAAATTAAAAGGATTTTTTGTTAAAAATATATTTTTTTAAAATTTATAGGGTAGGGTACAGGGCGGAAAAAAAATTCCGGTCTGTGAAAAAAAATATAAATTAGCCCATACAAAGATTCAGAAGTCTAAAACTTGAAATGTTGTAAAGCAGAAGTGAAAACGAAGTCCATGAGTATGTACCAGACGTGACTAACCGTATGATGAGGTGTAGGAGCTATCCTGAGTTTCTCCTGACCACGTGGTACAGTTGGGAAATTGATTGCCTAAACATTACATTCAGTTGCATAAAAAGATTACACTTTTCGAAACATGAATCCACACAAAATTCATTCCGAGCGTTTAATAGTTGAGATTTGTCCTGTAGATTGGCCCATTATTTGTAAGTTAATAATGTTGGAATTATTTTCTATTAAATATGCTTCTGAGTCTAGTATCACCTATTGGACACTTTTGATTTTATTCTTAATCATCTCTTTATTATATTCCTGCGGGAGCTCTCTCATTAATAGCGGTAAAAAATTCAATATTGTTTGGCTTCTCATTGGCTGCTATTTAATTTTATGCAAAAAAAAGTACGCGTACTATCCACTTTGCAAAAAATGATATCAAAATAATTATCTAATTTATTGCTTATCAGCTAATTTTATATGAATGCATGCATTGTGTTGAGTATTGTGGATTCGTTACTATCTTTAACTTTAACTCGAATTGAACTTGTCAAATTGCCCCATCATACATTTGTCTAAATCCACCGTTAGAATATTAATTGTACAAGCAATGCATAAATTCAGTAATAATTTGAAAATTTCTGTATTTCAGTTGAACTAAAAATATAAAGAAAGTGAATATTCGTGTGAATTTTACTTTTGAAAACTTTTAGCAATTAACTGTCAAATGAAAAGTGAGAGTAAAAGTAGTACATGATATTCTTAAGCTGTACTTGGTAGTATTTTAGAAACAGCACTGCACAGTGTCCAGTGTAAAGCAAACCTAAAAACAGTACTGTACATTTTTACTGTATACCTGTACATAATGTCCGTATTTCATAAGTTCATCAGAAAGTGCAGAACATACAAGTGGGTCTCCAACATGTACAGGTAGGATATGGCTAGGTGTATGCTCCACACTAACCTGTACAGTTTACATTATAAAATTGTATACATCAAACATTACAATTTAAACTTGTTTAAACGATTTAAATTTTTAATTATTTCAATTTAATTTTTCCTAATAAATAAATATTTTAAGTCGTTCATTTTACATAATCTGAAATTTAGCCAAAAAAAGATGAAAAATCAATTTTCAACATTTGATATAGAAAAATCTTTAAATCTAGTGTACCCGAATAATAAAAGAATTAAAAGGCACGGGATGGAGGCAAAATGGAAGAGAACGATTTCGAAAATCTATTTTGTGACTTTATCTGCGGCTCGGAAGTTCTATAGCTGCAGTTTGCCTTCCTCCCCTGAATTACATGCGTACTTAACGTGTTTCAGTCACTGGCTCTTTGTTCCCAACATTAAGTGCATAAAATTTCTCATATTGCTTGTTCTGCATTTTAGCTCCTTCCCAAGCTAAATTTAAAACGTTCCCATGAAGAAAAAAAATGAGAAATAAAATTGAGTTTTGTCCAGTGTCTGGTGTCTATACAATATTTCTAAAATCTTGCAATATTTTTATTGCATTTAATACGGGTAAATTAGAGATTAGGTTAACATGGAAACAAATCAAAAATACTAATTTTTTACCATCCAAGATTTTTTTTAATAACTTACCCCCGCCTCCTGTAGTTTGGTTCTCAAGTATGCTACATTGCATTGATGTCTGGCTCTAAGTTCTCTTCCCTCTTCAGACCTAAAGTCATAAATATAATTTAAAATTCAATCACAATTTTTAAGTAATCCCAAAGTGTGTCAAAGAGTTCCCAGTAGACTGGATTTAGATAAATAATGACATATCTTAGTTGAAAATAACAAATTTTCGCCATTTCTTTTCTCGTCTTGATTGCTAAATTAATAAATGATTATGTAATGTGTGAAAATCAATATTGATGAATATTTATGTAAAAGGTTAAAAGTACAATTTGTCACTTAAAGCGTCTAAAAGCATAATTTCAAGTGACCCTTCATGCAAAGGTATCAATGCCCGATTCCTAACGGTACCCTTAAAGGCTAAGTCTGATTACTCACAACTTAATTGCAAATTGTGGTTTCTCTTCATAAGTGACGTTCACATTTCTACTGCAGGAAAACATATAGGAATTAAGAGAACCTAAACGCTTTTAAGTTTAGAAAAACAACAATATTTTCCACATTTTTGATCAATAAATATTTCGAGGGTACCGGTGTGAATCAGGTATTGTCATCTTGCACGGAGGGTCATAGAAATTACCCTTACAGTCCCTCTAAAGTTCTTTTCAGGCCTTAATCAACAATAAAGAGTGAGTAAAAAATGGCGGATCCAGACCACGTTACTACCTGAGAACTCTAATGGACTCTAGAGCTCCACAGAGAACGGTTGGTGGAAGAGAGGTGGTGAAGATAAACCCTGCTCCGTAGCTTCGAACCACATCAATCAAACCAGACGACCCAGCAATATATCCTCCAATGTTTCCAAAGGCTTTTCCTAAAATAAGAGAAACATGTTTAAAGGGACTGTAATCGTAATTTAAAGTGACACTCCATACAAAGATGACTTAATGCCCGATTCATAACGATACACTTAAAAGCTGTGTTATAAAGAATTAGAAATGAGTTTGCTAATTATAGATGTCAAAGTCTACTACAGTCAACAAGAATACATTGACTTTTGCTGAATCAATATGTATTTATAAATTCAATGAATGCATTCCTGAAAATATTTTGATTATTTGAGTGTTGACTAATTATTTACTTGTAAATGCACAATGAATGTATATTTAGTTGAGATTTCAATATGTATAGTTTGTTTCAACAAATACCGATCAGAACAAAATTATCAAACTTAATATTTTCTATTGGCTCATAATAAATTTTCTTTCGTGTTTTTAAAAAGCTGAACAATTGTACATTGTTATTTTGTATTTTGCGTTTGAAAATAAATACTGTAACTATTTTATATTTTTGAATACTGATTATTTTAAATTGTCGTTTCTCTATAAAAGTAACTTGCGAATTTCTACTCCTGGAAACCATAAAGGAATTTTCAAAATTAAAGACCTTTAGACCCAGTTAAACTAAAAAATATTCTACAATATTGATCAGATAAACATTAAATGGTAACGTTGTGAATCATACATTACCAACTTTAGATAAAAGAAATTACGCTTATAAGACGAAATTTCAATATTTTTTTGTTTAATTTGTGAAAGCTAAACATAAAAAACATCATTTAATCAAAATTCATTCGCACTGACAAAAAATAAGAACAATTATATTTTTCGTTAACTTTTTAGTTAAATTAGTTTGTAAGGTATGAGCTCTAAATCACTAGAAATCGACGAATTTTTGTGAAGAAACGTACAAGAAATAGAGACAGACAAAGCAGAAGGACGGGGGGGGGTCTATTTACTCAATAAATGATTTTTCTTCCCCCCCCCCCTTGTTAAAATCATATTTTCATCAGAGAGTATATGTGCCTGCTTTTTTGGGGTTATATTCGCTGAATTGGTGAAAATAAGTAAAAAAAGTAGAAAAACGAATGAAAAAAGTTGCCATTAAATGTCCAATTATTAACTTTGCTCCCCCTTAACATTAAAAATTATTTTTTTTCCAGGGGGGGGGGTAATTCTGAGCAGAAGTTAGGCTGGGACAACCTACCCATAGTTCCACTGATGATATCAATCTTATCCTCTGCTCCATCCCTCTGTCCCACGCCAGCTCCTTCAGCACCGTACAGGCCGACAGCATGAACCTCATCCACGAAGGTCAAAGCTCTGAAATAAAAACAATGTTTAAAATTCGGTGTTGATGACGCTCCAAAACTCACAAGAGTAAAAAATAGGCGTTAGTTCCATATTTTTTGAAAATATATTTAGTATGGTTGACCCTCTTCAGTTCTTGATATTTGTTTTGTTTCTCATGAAGATTCAAAACAATATCACCATCAAAGAGAATAGAATATATATTAGAGGGGAATTTAGAGAATCTCTCGGTATGAGTCTTTTCAGTCCCTTTCAGTCTGAAAGGGAGTTCAAAGTGTACAAATCATGTAAATGTTCACAAATTATATGCAGTAGAGTACATTAATACAGTATGTTCCCTAGACTTATCCATTTCAATTTCAAATTTTTTAAAGCTGTTAAATAAACTTAATAATGAATTAGGTGAATAAAAACATCATTTGATTTATAGTTATAACGGAATATCATCGTTTGTAAAGTGAAAGGCATAGAGTTTATGTGAAATGATCATTGGTCAATTATGAAACCAGCCTATTTCGTAATTTAGGTTTCTTTTAATATTAATTTTAGATTTTCTATAAAATGATATTCCTGGGCCCAAAAGGTTATATAGCATAAATATGTGAAGTACACCAGCAGTATGGAAACAGGACAACAAAATGGCCGTTTTACACTTTTTTCTAGTAAATTCCCCTCTAATATATATTCTATTCTCTTTGATCACCATTCTATAAAATACAAGTCGTACAAAAAGTACTAATTTTTTTCTGTAGGAGGATTTTTGGAGACCAAATTATTTATTTTCGACAGCCCCAAACAAACAAAAATAAGTCAAACATATCGATTAGGAAAAAACCGGCCTTAAGGGCGCTTCGCGCTTCCCTTAGTATTTGAGTTAACCTAATGGTTGCAGAATTTTTTTGTTTAAACTGGTGCATTTTCAAATAACAAATGCAAAGTTTTTCAACTTTCGACAGCCCATAAACCTTTTATGGGGTCGTGTGATTTATCAAAAATAAAATTTGGCCCAATCGGTTCAGCCGTTTTGACGAAAATTGGATAATGGCTACAGACAGGTCAAATATTTGGATAGATGGAATAGATGAAGCTTTTCACCATTCTTTTCCGTTAATTCATAATTGTTCATGAATGAATGCTGAGTAAAGTATTCCCATTCTAACTACTGAATGAAAAAAAGCCATGAAAATAGTTTTGATTTATTAAAGTTTCAGGTTTCAATCAACTGTGTAGCAAGTACTTATTACGTAAGCACTTGCTTTGTCTCTAACAAGTGTACTAAGTAAATAGTGAAAATCGATTAAATATGTTTTTTTTTTTAATGGAAACGGAGTGAATCATCAAAGTTCAGTAAAGCATGTGTTCACAGTTTTTGTAACAAAAAAGCTTTTATAATTCATTAAAAACTTATTTGGCGGCATCGCAAAAATTAATTTTAATAAGAAATTAAAAAATTAATTTCAAAATTCAAGAATCACCCAGTGATGGGAACTTCTAATTGGAAAGTTCCTTGTGAGGAAACTTCAGAGTTTTTGGGTGGTTTGAACAATGAGATAAGTTAATCTCCGTAAAAGATGAGTATCAGACTAAAAACTTATAATCAAATCAAATCAAATCAAATCAAATCATATCAGAGTTTCAGGGATATCCAAACAACCAACTGAATCAAGTACTGAAATGACTATACTGAATCAGTATATGACTAAGGACTTATAGCCCATGGCTAAGATGTTTACTTGCAGCTAATAAAATTGGTTCCAATATAAAACTATGGTTGTGCATATTTTAAATTTCATTTTTTTGTTTGAATATGTAATAAACCCGATATAATTAACCACCGTTGACATCCGACATTGAGCCAGAACGTCAGTTTCAGCCTCTAAACCCCAGATAGAAGCTTTTTTGATTCTATTCATTAGGGTTTGGATGCTGCCCTACAAGAAGACTTTTGACGGAAAGACGGAGAATGTTTTTAATTATTGATAATTATTAAGATGTTTGATATTTATCAAAACCAGATTGAGAAGTCTGCATCGTGTTTAAGAGGTTGAAAAATCATGGAAAATACATGTTTCGATACCTAATTAAAAAATCATATATAAAATATAAATGAAAACCGTTTTTTTACTGTTGAAAAATAAAATAGCACTGGTCTACCTTTATGTCAAATAAAAGAAAGTCTGAATAAATTGTATTGATTTGTTCGTAATTTGATCACATGGTATAAAACTAAAACATTTCTTTCGGTAACACTCCCTTTAAATGAATTGACTTGTCTAATGTCTATGCTTACCCATATTCATGAGCTATATCACACATCTCCTCTAGGGGACAGATTGCTCCTGTCATGGAATGAACAGTTTCAAATGCAACAATCTTAGGAATAGCTTTGTCAACCTAAATTAAAGAAATAATACAAACTAGCGGAAGAGCACAGTGCACGTGGAATGAAAAAAATGTATTTAAAAAAAAATCGATTTTTTTAAGCCTACGTTATTCCCGCGATACCCATGGTCCAGCCGTTTGGCCAGTTATTGTTATCATATAAATATATATATATGAGCAAATTGAGGCTTATTGTATATGTAGACTTAATACAACTAATTATAATTCAACATGTTCTTAGAAATAACCTAGCTACAGATCACAAAATCCTTAAAAACATTCCATTAAAGGAAGTGACTGACTAGGAAACTTTTACCTTTCTTAGGTTTCTCTCAAGATCCTCGGGGTTGTTATGCTTAAAGATATGCTTAGGAACTCCACTATTGCGGATACCCTGAAATAAACTAACATTACAACTTTTTCTATGAATAAAAGTTGTCTGATAGTACAACAAGCCCCCCTCCCTGGGCCTCTAGGATCCGGATAGTACAACAAGCCCCACTCTAGGATCCGGATAGTACAACAAGTCCCCCTCCCTGGGCCTCTAGGATCGGGATAGTACAACAAGCCCCCCTCCCTAGGCCTCTAGGATCCGGAGAATTAAATTATGAACAAGTAAAAATTTAGACAATTTCAAAGTTTGTTCATATCGTCAATTAATCAATCAATCAGGTATTGATGTAATTCATGTAATTCAAATATCTAATGTATACAATTCATAAATTTGTATCTATTGATGTGCCTTTAGGTGGTTCATTTTTGGTTAGTTTTTTCCCAGCAAATTCCGCATAGTGTTGAAAGCAAAAATATTCGAATTGTTTATTGTTTTTCTTACACTTCTTAAAATTTTGACCCTGGAAGACGTAACATGCAAAAAAAAACGACCCATAACAATGCAAAACGAACTTTTTATTCGTTTATGTTAAAGATATTGCTAAGTTAAATAAAAGCATACTTTAACATAATACAGTTTTGAACTTTTATTATTAAATTTTTTTCTAAAACAATCTAAAACAATTAACAACACTACCTGTATCATACTAGCATGGTTTCCAGCATCCGAGAATATCTGACAGCCAGGTAGTTGACGTGCCAGGGTAAACAGGGTTGTATCATTAGCAACATAACAGGAGGTGAAAACAAGTCCAGCCTGAAGTACATGTGATGATGTTGATGATGAAATTGATAATAATGATAATAATGATAATAATGATAATAATGATAATAATGATATTAGTGATAATAATGATAATGATGGGTAAACATAGTTGTATCATTAGCAACATAACTGGAGGCGAAAACAAGTCCAGCCTTAAGTAATTATACTCATGATAATGATAATAATGATGATGAAAATGATGAAAATAAACAGATCAACAATGAGGGGAGAGGGGTTGTATACCTCCTTTGAATGAAGATCAGCCAGCTCTCGTTCTAATTCCTCATGAACAGTTGAATTCCCAGAAATATTCCTGGTTCCTCCAGCTCCTGCACCATACTTCTCTATCGCCTGAACATTAAAGGTTATTAAAAACTTTTCACTCCCCAGATCCCCACTAAACCAATACACCAGATGTAATTATTCTTCAGCATTATCCCTCCCCCTGAGGAACTGAAACTAATTCTCAAAGATGTTGCTGAAAAAGTGGGCAACAGCAGTCACCCCCCCCCTGTTCTGATAGCAGACAAATTCATTTTATTTAAAGGGACTGTGTAAACGTAATTCTAAGTGACCGTCCTTGGAAAGATGGCAATGCCTGATTCACAACGGTGTATCACAGAAAAGCTTTGAAAGATCAATTATGAATAAAATATATCAATGCTTATAATATTGAAAAACTATTTCCAATTATGATTTCTCCTAGGGTTTCCATTCGCAAAACTTTTGCACATTTTTTGCGGAACGAAACGCAAAATTTTTCTTTCTTTGCGCATAAGTTTTGCGCGAAAAACAACAATTTGCGCAATCATTTGCAAAAGTCATTTCGCGCAAAATTGCCCTATTCCGCTTTTGCGAAACTCAAGTTTTGCGCAATTCCGCAATTTCAGTCCCTTAATTTAAACTTTTTGTAACTGGAAGTAACCAATTGAGTGTAGTATAATCGTTATTATACTCGTATGTTAATATTTTTTTTATGTATGGAATAAATCTTCAGTTGTTTAATTCTAAGGTTTGAATATCAATTTTTGACAATTTGCCTAAAAAGTTACATTTTGCGCAAAAAAATTGCGCGAAACTAAAATTTCGTTTCATGCGCAACTTTCGCAAAAAATATTTCCAGTTTTGCGCTAATTGCGCAAAAAAAATAGCGCAAAACCGCGCAAAACTCATTGCGCTTCATGCGCAAAAATAGCGCAAAAGTTCGCAAAAAAAAAATTTGCGCGAAAATAGCGCAAATTTTGCGCAAAAGATTTAGCCATTTCGTGGAAACCCTAATTTCTCCACATAAGTGGCTTGCACATTTGAACTGCACGAAAACAGTGTGAGCACAAGTATATTTAGTCTTTTTTTGGTAAATTTTAATTTTATAAAAATATAAATCTTAATTTTTATAGAAATCTAAAGCTTTCGTAAGATCAGTAATCCAATTGATTGCTTCTTTAGACGTTTTTATGCTGTATATTTTCTAGTACTTCATTTTTTTTCTTGTACTGTAATGTATATTTTCTTGTACTGTAATGTATCTTTTCTTGTAATGTATTGCATCTTTTATTGTACTGTATTGTGCCTTTTTTTGTACTGCATTGCATCTTTTCTCGTACTGAATTGTATCTTTTCTTTTACAGTATTGTATCTTTTCTTCGACTGTATTGCATCTTTTATTGTACTGTATTGCATCTTTTCTGCTTGTTTGTTTTCGATATTTCACGCAAATGTTTTTTTATTATGTGCGCGCTTGCTTTATTATGTTTTACATCTTTTATCTGAATAAATGACCTAATTGTAAAAAAAGTTCTTTCCTTTATAAATTGAGTTTATATCTAAATAGGTTATTATTATTATGAAAGTACTTTCTTTTGTTTGGCCTCATTGAGTCATTATGATATGAATAGAAAGGAATTCCCGGAAATATTGACCGTATGATTTATTCATAATATGAATTCGTAATATGCAATGGGTTAAACATTCTTTATGTGAATTTTTATTACAAATATTCCTAAACTCATGTAAGAAGTATGTATATGTATTAAGCACAACGTCATAATTGATAAGACTCTACATATGTAAAGCAATTTTTAAAACAAATTGCTGGCCAACCCTCAATGCTTGAATGACAAACATATTACATTTGTTTCAGTGGGTGACAAAGGATGGGTGGCATAGGCCGAACAGATTAAAGAGACTGTAAGCGTAATTTCAAGTGACCCTCCATGCAAAGATGAAAATGCCAGAACCCCAATGGTATCCTTAACATCGTTGTCTTATCATTCAAGTATAAACAAGATAACAATGTTTTTTTTTATTTCGTAAACGGATTTTTTTCAATTGTGGTTTTTACTGCAAGAAACTATATAGGTAGTAACAGAAATGAAAACCTAATAATTTAGAAAAACGAAAATATCTTTTACATCATTTACCAGATGAAGGGTTCCGTTGTGAATCAGGCATTGCCATCTTTGCAAGGAGGGTCACTTGAAATTACGCTTATAGTCCCTTTAACCATTAGAAATATTGAACGTTTTGAAATTTAAAAAAAGCTAAGGGAAGACAGCACCACGGAGACATGAGTAACCGTACTCTAGTATGCTGAGTCCATTAGCGCCTGATCCGTTCAGCCATGTGTTTGTTGTTTATTCTGAACCAATAGAAACTGTGTGGCGCTAACAACTATCTTTCTATCTATACTCATCATCCAATCAAAGTTATGAATCCTTCAATCGGCGCTATCAGTAAATGGAAATGTTTAGTTCTACTAAAACTATAGTTTTAAGTTTAATGGGCACGAAAATGCCAGGCACGTCTGAAATGCTAAAACCAGGGGTGTAACCTAAAAATCTAAAACCAGGGGTGTCAAATTTTAAAAATTACACCCTCGGGGGCAGCAATGATTATTGATGAATTGGGGGAGTAAATAAAGAATTTGACATCAAAAGGAATGTTTTTTTTTATTTCCCTCCAAAACTTTGGGACCAAAATAAGATTTTCAAAAAGGAGGAGGGTGGTGTGGAAATGATTTTTCAGAAAAATAATAAAGTACCTGATGAACAGCATTCTTGACAGCGGGGTGTGCGGACATACCCAGGTAGTCGTTGGAACACCAAACAGTGATATCCTTCTCTCCTCGGGAATATTCCCTAGAAACAATTTCAAATTTGAAATATTAAAGGAAATGTTGGCGTAGATTTAAATGACACTATATTTAAGGAATGACATGCTCGGTTCGCAACCATAACCTTTAAACCTTAATTAGATCAATAATTTGGAAGATGAAGTACTTTTACTGGCTTTGTAAAGTGTCTTATTTAATTGTTTGTAGGAACCACATTTATAAAAATAATCATTTGAAAACAAAACTCGTGGATATCTAACTTATACACATAAGCACAGCTTTTAAGGGCACACAATTCAAATCAGATTCAGGAGGATGCAATAATCCAATATTTTAAAGTTAAACCGGTTGGCGCTTTTTAATCAGATTAAGAAGTATTGGCTGAGCGCTTTTTAATCAGATATTTACCTGGCATAAGGGAAGGTTGCAGCAGTACGGTTAACCTTTTTAAATATCCTGTAGGAGTGATCTTCCTTCTTCTTCTTAATCTCAGCTTGGAAGAAGGATTCATATCCGAACCCTGAACAATTATTTCTTTATGATCCGCCCTCTCCGAGGGGAGGAAGGCAACCACAACAATTTCTGGCCAAAGCCATCTCAAAATCCTAATCCATCCCAAACTGTTAATTTCAGTGTCCTATCTTTGAAGATAAAATAATTTTCTAATCTAGCCACGTTCTGGCAAACATAAAAATATAATGATGGAAGGACGATGATTTCAAGGTGGCTCGGACGAAAAAATGAGGAGATTTTGGCTCGGACGCAAATTGTGGCTTTTCTTTCCTTCCTCTTTAATCTAAGTTTAGCTAAAATAAGATATATCGTCACGGAAGGTTGCAAGGTCCCTTTTAGATCATTTAATTCAAGTTGTTTACTCATAAAATCTGGGAAAATATGATTTTAGCTTTAACGTCGTTTCACTAGCGTTTGCTTATGAGGGAATGAAAGGGGAGAATGTCCCCCCCCCCCCCTCCTCTGGCACCTTCTAACCCTTTAAATTTGATTTTCAAGAACAAATTTTGCCTGCGCCGCCTTTTTTCACACTACAACAAAATGTTCTAAACAAATCCAAATCTTGCTCACAGATTTTCCTCCTTTCACCTACAACTGGTCATGGTTTTGACATTTAATTGCCCAAATTTAACGTAAAAAAATCCAGTGGGGGGGGGGGAACTTTTTTCCAGGGGGAGATAAGTTCAATTATCCCCCCCCCCCTCCTGAAAAATATAAAAAGGCGACACTTATCAGAAAGTCGGATATTGAAAAACAAATGACTCTAAACTTAGGGGCGAGTTTTCATATAAAATCGTATTTTATGACATTTAAGTTCTTGAGTTTAATTAACAAGACTTTTAGGTCACTTCGCGTATTCTTTTCTATTAATTATTTTAGCTTTTACAATAATTGCTTTTTAAGTCTCAATTTTTTCATCATTCTCCAAAAAAGCAAATTTTCGCCGATTTTCTGAAAAAGTATTATTTTGAACCTGTAGTCTCCTGTATAACATCAGCTTGAAGTACGGGACGAACAGCAGATCTAGCTCCATCTCTAGCCTAATAGAAAAAAATAAAAAATAAAAACAATAATAAATAATAATAATTATTTTAACAATTACGATGATGAAAATAATAATATTGAAGAAATCGATCACAGTAAGAAAGACGATTATAATGGTATTAATGATAATGCCAATAATAAAATTATAAGAGAAATAATGATAATAATAATAATACAAATTATAATGATGATATTAATGACAATTAGGATCCAGATCATGGTGTAAATTTTATCTCCTTTCTCGACTCTTTTTATGTTTTTACGTATTGTTGATGTTAGTATGTTTTTTCTCTTAATCTTACTATAACCAAGAAGTAAAAAAATCCATATAACATAAAGAATAATAGTTATGAAATGTAATAATTATCAAAACAACTACTTAATACCACAGTAAGAAACACCATCAAATCTTGTAAATGAAAATTTTAAATAAGATAAATTTAGAGATAAAACGATGTTAAACAAAAATCTTCGAAAAAGACAGCGCTGGAAAATCTTGAATGATTGATCTCGATCTTCTGTTAATCTGCAGATTAATCTAATAGTTAATTCCACATGGAAATCGTAATCAGTGATTGAAGAGAGCTTTGATCAGGGGAGGATTAACTGATGAAATGAAGATATAAAAAGGTCAAACTTTTATAGATCCTCAGATCATAATTGCCCACAATGGATCTAAAGATAGGGATTATCAGTATCTAGCACCAAAATTCCCAGCTCAGTACAATTATTAAGGCGCAACCTTAGTAAATCACTCTGTAAATTTTAATCTAACGATTGGAATGTTTCCTTTGTGTTTGTATGTCGCTTAGTGTTAGTTTGTGTATTTTAGACCTTACATTGAACCAGGAAGGAAAGAATGTAAACGGTTAAAACCTGATTTATTAGATTCATATCATGCTCAAGAGGGACAATGAACAGTACCGGGTGTCCCATATCATATTTTCGAGCACACCTCACAATTGGGATTTTTGGGACAAAACAGAAATCTTAACCGTTGGATAACTCTAAAAAATATAGCTGCGGCGGCTTATATAAAATTATAGATAATCTGATATGATGTGGGAAACTCTGTAAACGGAGGCTTATAAATGAGGGCTCAGAGTCAGACCCATGGATTAGTGAAATCTGTGGTTTCCAAGAAGATTTCAGACCCCATAGCGAGAAAAACGTTAGCCCCCCCCCCCCTGGAAAAATTCCATTATACGACCCTGTCAGTAAAAAAGAAGATATACTTCAGAATACTTGGTTTTACTGATGATAGGAATTTAAAACTAACAATATGCTTTTTTTCAGATTTATTAGGATGAATTACTAAATTAATGATTAGATAAATATATAAAATTTTTTAAAGATAAGAAGGTTTTCGATGATTTTCCACAGGAAAAAAGGAAAAATTCTTGTTACAATTTTTACACCCGAAAATTGATCTTTTCAGACAATAAAACCTTGATTTAATTTGACGCTTCTTGCAAATAAATAAAAAGGGGTATGGACTCCTGTATACCTTGGTATGAATTGAGGACCCCTCCTGTATACCTGGGTATGAATTGAGGACCCCTCCTGTATACCTGGGTATGAATTGAGGACCCCTACTGTATACCTGGGTATGAATTGAGGACCCCTCCTGGCCCTTGTTAGTACTTCCTCCTACACCTCCTGTAGGAGCACTAGATCCAGTGAACGAGGAACCTACAACCTAAAAACAGGGGGTTTCTACACTCATAAAAAGCATCCCTCTCCCGAAATCTTAAAAACTTATTACCCTCCTCCCTCTCCCTTCAAATGTACCTATTTAACTATTGAGTTAGTGACGGATTCAATTTGTTTTTGACAAAGCACTGCACTGAATTAAATTAGTAAGGGTTATAAATATTAAAAGAAAAATAGGATTTTCAAATACTTTTCTTTTATGGTCGTCCGTTGTATCAAAATGTCAGAAAAATTCTACAATATGTCAGCTTTTATTTTCTAAATTGGAAACCGAATATGTACTTACAGCTTAAGACTGAGTACGGACAGTAAGTACTTCAAACTTAAGGAAAGACATTCATCAATATGTACTTTTAAGATAAGGACTTTGTTAGACATGTACTTACAACTTCAGATGCTATTGATAATCTGTATTCTATATATATATTATATATAAAATATTTTGCTAGGTTGTCTGTCCGTTTGTATTTAATAAACGTCAAAACGGCTGAACCGATCGAGCGCACATTTGTTGGTGCCACTCACGTGACCTCAAGTTTATTGATGGTTAAAAAATATCGACATTCATTTTTAAAAATGCGCAAATTTAAAACAGAAAACTCATGACCGCTAAAATTGTTGCTAAGAAACGGGCGCAAAGCACCCTGGAAGCCTAGTGTTAAATATATACTTACAACTTGAGATGCGTACGGACAATGTTCTGCGTAAGTTTTGAGAAGGTTTCCTGCGTAGTTCCTCACATAGGTGGAGGGTAGACGGGATATGAAGGGACACGGCATCTTTACTCCTCCTACAATACAAAAATACATCAAATAACATTAATAAAAATATGAAGAAAAAATAATAATAAAATAACAAAAGTATAGGAAAATAGGAAAAATATAAGACAAAATGTGTACTTTTCACAAATCCCTCATATATTAAAAATGATTTTTTTAAAACATATTTTTTTGTTCATTTTGAAATAAAACAAGACGAATCTACGAGAACATAAATCACTGAGTAAAATAATAAAAGATAAGAAAATAAGAACGAGAAATTAGATTCCATTGTTTTCAATTTTATAATAAACACATCAGGATTTAGGCTTTCATAAGTCTTACTTACGTAAATAAAAATACTTTCATTTATTTCAATGTAATGTGATCTTTATGTAAATTGTAAGTTGCACACTGTTTAGAGCATTTCACGATGTAATATGACAAGAGCCAGCAACTCTGTGGATATCGAGATTAATGCTTGATATCGATTTTTTGTTAATCTGAAGATTTATTTAATTTTCATTAGATATACCGCATGATAATTGAACCCTGGAGGAATAACTTAAATTGAAAGTGCTCACAGTGGATATTGAGATCTGTGGATTTGGATTATAAGTATCCAACACTTAAGTTTCCAGCTCAGTAAACAGTTCTTATCATATATATTTATAAGAATGTAATATCACGTGCTTAACTAGCGATCTTATTTCAAGTCACGTGACATCTTTCCTTCGTCAAATTTTGCTTCGGAGACAGTTAATTAAAAATCTGATAGAATTTGTATTGCACAAAAAAAGACTTAATACGTAATTTTTAGCGGGTCTTCATTACAAGAATGTAAAATTAGAAGCCTTTTCTCTTCCAGAATATATAAGACACCCACGGTTAACAATTGATTATTTTCATGTGTGGATTTTCTAAAAATAATTGCTAGAATTTAACACAATGCAAGTATAAGAATAGATTTTATATTTCACATTATTGCTCAAATAAAAGTTTAAATGGTACTGTTGTGAATTGGACATATCCCTAAAAAAGGGCCTCTAAGTTCCAGCGACAGTCCTTCGTAAAAACGTATAAAAATATGCAGAAGTGAATGCTTAACCTTGAAATGATTTTGTGTGTGTAGGTATGAAGGTACACTTCTCGACTAACAATATCAATTCTTCAGTTAGTAGAGAGGTGGGTAAAAATAGCAAGTTTAACCACTGACAGGGGGTGTCCAAAATATATATTTACTTTTATAAAAATCATGACTTCGCTAATTAGCCTGATGAGTTTTGCATTTTACTTTTGATTAAATTAATTGTATACATTTTTTTATTAGTTTATTAAAACAAATAAATAAAAATAAAATTTTTTTTTAGTAAAAATAACAAGTAACCATTGACTAGGTTTAGAAACAAGTAAACATGCTTTTTGACAAGCAAGGTTTTAATAAATAAACTAATTGTTGGAAAACATTTTTATTATTAAACGTATTAGTTTTTAATAAATGAAAATTTAGAAAATAATTAGTTAGTATCGAGATGGTTAAAATAGCAAGTTTAAACAATGCATTGGTGTCCAAATGTGCATATTTCTTAAAGGTCAAATTTTTACTTAAATGCATTTTATGAGTTCTGCATTTTCTAAAAACAGATTCATTCCTTAAATAAAAGAAAAGATAAACTGATTGTATATGCAAAAAAATCATTATCAAATCATAAATTATACAAATAAATAAATAAGTTGTATAAAGATATCTTAATTATTATACTTCTTTGGTTCTAAATGAAATAAAAATACTTAGTATAAAGGTGTGTAAACCAACAAGTTTAACCAATGCCATGGTGTCCCAAAAAATGTGCATATTCTTTTTAGTTCAAGGTTTTACTCAAATGCATTTTGTAAAGATTAAATAAACTGGAATATTATTAAAGGGACTGTTCTTGTTCTTTCAATTGATCTTCCATTTAAAAACGGGAACAAGCCTTATTCACAATATTACCCTTGAACCCAACACATGATTACTGATGTGGAAGAAGACGTTTTCAAGCTCGAAAAGTGCTTAATATTGTAAATTTTGTCATTGTTTTTGAAGCCACAAATGCACAAGACACTTAGAAACCACGAATAAAAAAGTTCAGTTAAAAAAACATGGATATTTTTTCAGTCTAAGCTTTTAAGGGCACCGTTGTCAATCGAACATACCAATCTATGAACGGAGGGTTACTTGAAATTAAGTATTCAGTCCCAATAAAAAAATAATAAGAAATTTGGACTAAAAATAATTTTCAACTTTTAAAATAATGTTTTTGTTCTATTTCATAAATAAATAATTTTTTACTTTTACTTTTTTACTAAAGATGAAAATTTGATTGGCATTTATGGAATATAATTTTCTTGTTATATAAAGCGGGAACTAGTTAATACTGGATAGTGCAAATCTTTCTACATTTATAGAACAAATTAAATTTATTTTAATATCAAATAATATTATCTTCTGCTATGTATACAGGTGTACTATGTGTTTCAGAGTACTATTGTATAATCTTACAATGCAGAAGTAAGCTCTATAAAATATTCACTTGTTACAAATTATATACTTTTTTGAATCCATTTAACGTCTATAACGATTAAACCCATCCGGCCCAATTTTTCTGTGGGACCTCGCGAAGTTTTTTGTTTTTGTTTTACAATATACACAAAGAGAAAATCAATGGTATAAAAAATCAAACAGAACTAGGTGCATTGATCTAATAAAAAGGTTTCATATGGCGAATTGGTCATATTTATATCATAATAAAAATAATGTATTCATGAACACGCATTTAATCCGACACAATAATTATGTAGCAAAAATAAGGATGCAATGAAAATAAGGACGTAACAAAACAAGGACGCAAAAAATCAAGGACGCAACAAACACAAGGACGCAATAAAATAAGGACGCAACAAAACAAGGACGCAACAAAATAAGGACGCACCAAAACTAGGACGCGACAAAACACGGACTTTTAAGAAGGTCTATATGATAGAAAAAAAATTCAATTTTTTTTCCTTGGGAAGATTTTCATTTTGTCCCAGGGTTATTTTCAATTGGGAACTAGTTGATACTGGTTGGGAACTAGTTAATACTGGTTGGGAACTAGTTAATACTGGTTGGGAACTAGTTGATACTGGTTGGGAACTAGTTAATACTGGTTGGGAACTAGTTAATACTGGTTGGGAACTAGTTAATACTGGTTGGGAACTAGTTAATACTGGTTGGGAACTAGTTAATACTGGTTGGGAACTAGTTAATACTGGTTGGGAACTAGTTAATACTGGTTGGGAACTAGTTAATACTGGTTGGGAACTAGTTAATACTGGTTGGGAACTAGTTAATACTGGTTGGGAACTAGTTAATACTGGTTGGGAACTAGTTAATACTGGTTGGGAACTAGTNCCCCCCCCATATCAATGTTGTACATTACCTAAATTTCAACTAATTTAAACAAAATTAATCATGATTACTAATTTTTCTGGGTTATGTTAGGTTAGGACAATTTCTGGGCCGAGCACTGCAGCTAGGACAGACTAGGGGGCCGAGCGCTGCGGCCCTCGATTTCAAATTATTTTCATTAAAACTAGAAATTATTGTGTATTATTTCATAGGTAGTTTAGATTTAGATAATTTCTGGATCGAGCGCTGGGGCTAGAACAGACTAGGTGACCGAGCGCTACGGACTCAATTCTGGGCCGAGCGCTGCGGATAGGATAGGCTAGGTGGTCGAGCGTGCGACCACAGAACAGGGCATTGTTCTCATAAACAAGTTTTGCAGAGCGAATTGGTCACTTTTATAATAAGACTAGGACGCAACAAAATCGATGTTTTTTTGTAATGAATTATTCAAAGAAGAAAATTTTTGGCTTACTGAGCTTCCAAACAGACCCCATTGTATAAGTTTGAAGCTACTGCCTTTACTGCATGAGTATGTGCTAGGCACTACTGCATGCCTAGGTGCTATCAGTGTAAAATAACAAGTGTGAAATGCTGAGTTATCAAATATAAGAGTGTAGAAGGAAAAAGAGCTGGTTTTATTGTATTATGCTATCATCAAAACTAATCAAGTTAGAATAAAAATTGCACGTGCAACCTTTTTATTATGCACATTAAAATATAAAATATAGGGTGATGTCATTTTTAAATTTTTAAAATCTCAACCAACCAGAAGAATATTGCCATAGAAAAATTCTTCTAGTTGCGACGATTCAATTTAGTAGAAATTTATTCAAATTTGAAAATATTTTTTTAATTCCAAATTTACTTATGATTTAAGCTCTACGTCACGAGTGTTGAGAGCTGCTATAGCATTTACTAATGTTTTGGGACAGTTTAAGTTTTGCTAAAAATAATAACAATATTTCCGATTTTGGGAGTGAGGGGGGGGGGGGTACATCCATATTTTGCTATTATTACATACTTTTTGCTACACACTAACTGCTTTGGACTCCTGAAAGGCCAATAGAAAAATGGTTTTTAGAAGTCAACGCTTTTTTTGTGAGATAATGATAGTCTACAACACTTTCACATTGGAGGAATAAGTGTTTAGTTTTCAATAGATATCTTTGAAGGCTTTTGACCACATTAAGACCACTAATTACAATTTATTAATGCCGTTAGATTAGTATAGAAACTGATTTAACTTATGATCTCAGTTTATAACAGGTAAAATAAAATTGAAGAATGAGAAATTAACATTGATAATAAATATGTACTTCTATGTCATTATTTTTGTACATAACACGACAACCGTGTGTGTAAACTAAGCACCTTGAATTGTCTACAACTGTTTAATTATAATTTTACCTTTTAAAGACGTATAAGTTTCAAGGATTAACCCAAAGAACCAACTGAACTTTAATCCTAAAACTAGTCATAACCTGATTTAAAGGGGTAAATAAATTTATTCTAAAATTTCTTTTACAAAAATTCTTGTACACTGTTTATTTCTTTTCGAAATACTTTAGATTTTGTAGGAAACGGTTATCCCTGTTCTTATGGTAACCAGAAAAGCGCAACTGTGACCAACATTTTACATTGCGTGTTTTTCCTCTCAAAGCTCCCGCATTTCTTCTTTACAAAAATTATCCTCAATCCTCAATAAGCATTCAAATTTTATGTTTTTTATCTAGACAATGTGTAAATTCAGTAAATTTCAATGCTAGTGTCGACTACATTAATTTTGTGAAAGGAAAGTACGAGAGGTTTTGACAGCAAGTGTATTAAAAGTTCTCGACATTAATCTTGATGCAAGTATTGAATACACATTACACAAAGATCAGCCATTTAAAGCGCTACCCCATTATTTTTCTACATTTACTAGGGATAACGGGAATCACAATGTTTAGTGTCAATATTGTGCGAAAGTGGCCCCCCCCCCCCCATTAACTGTGAGTTTTACATTGTGAGGCGCGGGGTTGGTCCTAGAAAACGTTAACCCAACCCCTCGATCCCCTGATCAATATTTTACTAGATACTAACTCAACATTAGCTAATTAAGTTTTATTTTTTTATTTCAGAGTTAGATTTGGGTAAAATATTTCTGCACCAAGCGCTGCGTCTAGGACTGACTGATTGGCCGAGCGCCACGGCTATGAAAGGCTAAGGGGCTGAGTCAATTTTGATGTACAACTTCAATAACTATATACGACATTTTTAGAATGAGGAGGGGGAGGGGTGCCGAAAAACGTTTAATAAACGAATAAAGGACTGTGTAAGAAATTAGAGGCGTTAAGGGCGATTCCCCCCCCCCTCCCTTAATATATGCACATGCAAAGAAACATGCGTTAAAGTTAAGTTTCTTTTCATTAAAATTAAAATGGAAAACGTCGCATGCTGCAATTATAATAAGAAATAACGACTTAAGCGTGGAGTGCGTAATTGTACAAAATATAGATCTCCATAATTAAAATTAATTGAAAATGTGTTCTTGACTGACCTTGGTTCTGTTGAAGGAATCTGTTTGTCTACGGTCTGGTCTGTCTGTCAAAAAGTGTTCTTTAACGGATTGTACAGTGATCACTGAGGCCGTTCCTTCCATGAACTACATTGGTCGACAACTTGACGTCTCCTATATTGATCAGCTGATTTTTCAGGGATTATTCAATAATTTTAATTATTTTCAGAAAATTCACAATATTCATTTTTTTAAACAAGTCAATATAATAATCAATTTTTAAAATATCAAAAAAGGAAAAGAATAGTTTCCCTGTTTTGGCTTTCTCTAAGCTTTCTTTTACTTATTTCTTACGAAATCTTTATTATTGTCTAATAATCTATAATCGGGTATTATTTCTTTTCTTTTGATTGGCAATGGCTCTCATTTTGAAGATTGTCTTCTCCCCCCCCCCCCCCAAGGATTATAGTACAGGGGGGGAGGGGGCTTAAATTTGTTTGGGGGATCCTCCTTGAAATAATTTGAACCCCCCCCATGCCCTTGATTGCTAACACTCTAAAACAGGCAGGGGCGTACGAGAGTATTTGTGTAGTGGGGAGGGGGGGGGGCTTTTTGCTTGCGTCAGCGCGTTAAAAAAACTGTGCCGCCCTTACCAATTCATCGCGGCCCCCTTTAAAAACCCTTTTTTTGAAAAAATATTGATACCTTAACTGTGAATACTATTCGATCATATACACACTTCCATATAACAACTGAATTAATTTAAATTATTTATGTAACATTGTTGTATATACAAATATAAGTCCACATTTTATCTTTAAATATATTCGTGAAATAATGTTTGTTTAAAAGCCAAATAATTGTGTTTAAATATATTTTATTCGTGAAAATTATGTTTTACATTACAACATTTATGGATATATGTTTGCTAGAAATTAAAAATGCTAGATGTGTGGTTACGATGAGGTAAAAAAATAACAACAGAATAATAAAAATTAATAACAAATTTAAGTTTTCTTTACAAATAATATTTAAATTTTGTCTAACTGCAATGACAATTTTGTATGAGTACTGAGTATCAATAAATAAATCATTATTCTCCGAAAAGTTGAGAATTCAACAATTTTTTTTTGGTTGCCTAAAATTATAATACAGGGTGTCCCACGAAACATGACAGTATGCAGGACGACTTGAATGTCGTCTTGATTTTTGATATAATTTGCTGCGTTTATTTGTCAACCTAATTTTAGAAGTAAATTTCTAGAGATAATAATCACAAAATTTCCCTTGTCCTGCCATTTCCAAAATGTGGTCTGCCTTTTTTGTGCTTTCAATATTGCCCGAGATATGAAGAATTTCGTTCAGATTTCGACAATTTTGCTTTTATTTAACAAAATTGAAATCTGAACCAAACTCTTTATATCTCAGGTAATATTGAAAGCACAAAAAACGCAGACCACTTTTTGGAAATGCCAGGGCTAGGAGAATTATGTGATAATTGTTTCAAGAATCATACATGTTAAAGTAGATAGAAGACTAAATGTCACAAATAAATTCAAATACCAAAGACGACTTTCAAGTCGTCTTCCTATTGTCATGTTTTGTGGGACACCCTGTATATTAAAGGAATAATGAACAAAAAAAGCGAACATTTGCGTGGTCTACTCTATATAGAACACTATGTAGAATGTTTTAGCTAAATGTAAATGACCAAACCGAAATAATTTGCGCAATTTTGGACCTCTCACACCAATCTTGGCGCATTTTCGTTTGATGATAGATCACTGTGATTTAAGGGTCTCAAGCTCTTCAGCAAAAATCGATGAGAATTTTACCAATTATTCTTCTTAAATACCAAAGCTAACATCAATTGTTTTATAATGCTAAAATGAACATGTAAATGGCTACAGAAAAGCATAAGTGAGTTAGAGCGGACAAACCAAAGCCCAAAGCGTTCCGACACTTCAAAGTCGACCCTGTCTTAAAAATTAATGATCATTTTAATAAGCAGACTGAATCTATGTGAGATGTGTTGCTTTAGGTTGAGTGGACGCATAACATATTTAAAATTACATTCATGTGGATATTAAATGACTTAATTTCACACTTTTTTTGAGAATCCATGTTTACATTTGTATCAAATGGAATGTTAATTAATTGCTTTTAAAAAATAGCCAGCTAATGATCGAGTGTCACAATAATGCAGCTGTTTTTTAAATAGTAGTCAGCTGTTTACTCAAGAATACTCAGCTGTTTACTAAATAGCATTCAGGTGTTTTCTAAAGATTAGTTAGGTGTTTTCCAAAAAGTAGTCAGCTTTTTTTTTTAAAGAGTAGTCAGCTGTTTTCTAAAGATTAGTCAGCTGTTTTATAAAGATTAGCCTATGGGGTTGTCAGCTGTTTTCTAAAGGGTTGTCAGCTGTTTTTTGGCAAACGAAAGGAAAACTTGTTCCAGAGTTGTTTCTTTGATAGAATATTCTTCCACAAATTCTTCTTTAGATTTGATTTCCTCCATTTTTCTAAAATTAGAAGAGATTTAAATTACATAAATAAAAATCACAATATTAAAAAATCAGCAGATGCTACAGTTTAATCCAGAACTTTGGAGTCATCGAAAGAATTAAAAAATGTCGCCTAGACAATTTTTCAATTTGTTTTATACTATTATACCTAAATCTCATGGTGATTGTAAAAATAAATAGTCATGAAATATGCGTGAACAGTTTTAAAGAGTTTCACATATTTATTCAATAAAAATATAAAAATCTGCAGCATTCCATTATCACTAGGTTTAGAAAACGACATTTTATAAATTCTTTCGACGTATCCGAAATTCTGTGTTAAACTGTTTTATAAGCTGTTCTTTGAAAATAAATATTTCTTGAGTATTTTTTACTTATTCTGAGGAAAAAACAGATTTAACCGTGTTTTCCTTATCCTCATGTATACCTGAACAGCTGATGAAGGGGTATTGTAGGGTCCTCTATTTGAAACTGCAGGTAGCCCTGGAAAAAAATAAACAATTGAACTGAGTTATTGTCACAAACTTGGATTGCAACCCGATGTCCCAGACCTTTGATATTCCAAACTATGCATTCTATTAGATCAATAGTCCATGTTTGAAATATCAAAGGTTTAAACCATTGGTTTCCAAAGATCAAGGATAAGTAAATTTGAGTTTGTAGCAAAAACTAGATTACTTTTCAAATGTAGAAATGTTTCGCAATTGTAAATAGACATATTACATTAAATGCAACCCCAGGATAAATTTTAGTACCCGGATAGGAGTTGCTAGTTATATCTATTTTTAGACCATAGCTACGCTGATACCCTTATCAAGTTTGGGTTTATTTTGTGGATCCAGATAAAGCAGAGCTGTAGTAGATACTAGATTCTAACAGTTTTTATTTTCAGCAGCAAGAAAAGTTCTTCAAGACCAGGGAAGAGTTCCGAAGGAATCTTTACTACAAATGCGATAAAAACATAAACTAAGAGAGGTTGCTAAAATCCAGAACTAAAAATATGTGAATGTTGCAGCCTCCAATGGAAGAAATATGAGAGAAACCCAGCGGGAATAGGGTTAAAGGCATGTTTAAATGGTCTTTGATTGCATTTCCTGTATTGTGTTACCTTGCTCCAATTTTTCGGTTCATCACCCTCCCTCTCTCCAGGACTGCATGCTCTGATATTTTATCATTGTTTCCTTTCTCGGTTACCCATTCTCTACACACAATAAAAATGTCATGCTTTTAACTAACTTTTAATTTAATATCGTGGGGTGTGGTGGCTAGTTTGTGGGGTGTGGTGGCTAGTGTGTGACACCAGTTCTCGTTAGATCACTGGAGTTAAGCACACTTTTCCACAGCCAGTAACTGGATTGGTGTCCAGACTGGTGTTGACGGGTTCGATTCCCGTACTCCACACAAACCTGTGGTTTCAAAAACATCTGAAGCCGACATCTGGTTAAGCAGTTATGACCACCTGAGGGATGAAGGAGGACAGAGGGGCAGCTGTCAACAACTCTCGCAGTGAAAGGGTGCGTGCTTTCTACTCAACAAGAAAGAAGCTTCAATTGGGATTGATCCAAGTGAATGATGATGAAGAGAGGAATGGTGGACTAGCAGGGAGAGTCTATGGTTGCCAGCTATAGGTACCTGGGGGTATCCAATCCGGGCTTACAGATGATAGGGAGCAATGAGTGTGATGTTTCCTATCAGTATGGCACCCGGGCCTCATTCCAGAATATCAGAAGGATTCCTGCACTCTATATTCTCAGGTCTAAGAAAAATCTTAGGCAGCTGGAATCTTGTCAACCCTCTTCTCAGGATGAATGAAGCGTGAATGGATGAATGTGCTGCCAGATTACAACCCCTGGTAGATCAATATTAAAACCCAAACAACACCAAACTTACGCAATAGAAAAAATTCCGAGATTTGATCGTAACAACCCGATCATGTCCTGGGGACAATAAAATCTCTTAAAAAAAAAATTTAATATCATACACAATTCACATGGTAGCAAGCTCAAATTTCAAATGTTTTAATTATTTTACCTTTAATTTCTACAAATTTTTTATTCTTACTTAAATTCTTGCTCTGTCATCCGTTTATGTTTCCAGTCAATTACTTCTCCAGTTCCTGTGTAGTTAGTATGGTTGTTAATTAGTTTATGAGTTAGACTAGATATTCAATAAATATCTTATCTAATGTTATAACTAGTTTTATACCTATAAATTCAAACACTGCCATCTGGTGATAACGTAGCTCATCAGGAGTCATCTTGATCTGGACAGTGTTTTTGATAAACTATCGAATTATAGATAGAAGTAAAATTATGAGCGATCATTATTTAACTTCATTTGTGATCAGCTTTTAAATCAAGATCAATTGTTGCCCCCCATCTTTGAGGGTTAATGCAAGACTTCACTTTCATTCCCAGTACCAGTTCATAATTCACCCAAACCTCTCTTCTTGTGTATAATATCTGTCTCTCAAGGTCTAGAAAAAGTGGGTGGTTTAACATTACACATTTTATTGGTACAAATATATCTGTTAATATCTATTTATATTAAATCATATTCCATACATCTGTGGAGTCCCTCAGCTGTAAAGCAAGCCTCCACTAACTCCTATATAGGAAGAGTCCCTCAGCAGTGAAGCAAGTCTCCACTAACTCGTATATATGAAGAGTCCCTCAGTGGTTAAGAAAGTCTCCATCCTAGCTCTCTACAAATCTGCCCTTGATCTATAGTCTCCACAGTATCTGTAGTATCCTCCATATCTGCAGTTCAAGCCCTCTCGGAATCTCCAGTGTTTATAACCATAGAAACACCTAGAACATGGGAGTGTGTGGGTAGTTGAACCAGCTGTATAGAGTTGAGACTACATTTCTCTGATTCTCTTGTCTGTTCTGTATCTCTAGTGATCTTCTGAGTCTCCAGTGTTTCTCATAGAAACACCTGGAATATTAGAGGGTGTAGGTAGTTGAACTAGCTGTGTTGAGGTGTAGTAGATACTAGGTTCTAACAGTATTTATTTTTCAGCCGCAAGAAAAGCTCTTCAAGAACAGGGATGAGTTCCGAAGGAATCTTTACTACAAATGAGATAAAAACATAAACTAAGAGAGGTTGCTTAAATCCAGAACTAAAAATATGTGAATATTGCAGCCTCCATTTGAAGAAATATCTGAGAGAAACCAAAAGATGAAAAATCCTAAGTATAGGAAAAAGCATGAAACCTCTTAGGTAAGAGTCGAGTTTAAAACTAGAAGAGAAAATTGTGTGGATCAGTCCTATGAATAATTAATGAGATATAAAGAGAACTTTAAGAGAACAATTGGAAAGAATTGAAAATATATCTAGATGTAGAAAAACTGCCCAACCTCGTATCTATTTTCTCTCTGTTAGGTTTCCAAGACGCCCCCCCCCCCATCATTGGGCCTCAGCCTCAGGCCGAAATCCTCAGGCCTATATAAAGGCACCCATTTTCTCCAAGTTTAGTTCATGAGCAGGCTTCAGTTGGAGCAGAGTGATCCAGTATTAGTTCTGGAACAGATCTCTGGTTTAAGCTCAGGACTCAGTTTGGGTGTTCGACTCAAAGTTTGCTGTTGGTTGAATGAAACATGCTTGGTAAAACTTATACAATTTAAAGTTCTAGAACACTTAAACTTTTATTCCCATGTATTTTGTTAGAAAATTTTCTGAGTATTAACTTGATTGGTGAACTGTAGAATCACTTGGCATTAATTTTCTTTCTAGTAAATATACTTAGCTAAGTCTAAACACTTAGAGTCTTTAACTAGCTTTAACTTTAATTTTTTCTCAAAGTAAATCTCTTAGAAAATTTAGAATATTATGAAGTTCTAATTTTGGATAGTAAACCTTTTAATGACTTGGAATTACTCGAACTTTGATCAACTGAATCGTCTAAGTCTCAATTTATCCATTATCATTGTAACTGTTTACCTTTTATAAACATTGTAATAAATCAGATTAGTATTGGATAACCATAAGTGTTTATTGGTACTTAATCCAGACAATCTCTGGCAACTTGTCTGAATTGATCCTTATCTTAACACATAAATCCAGTGCTAGTAGTATCCGGTTTGATATTGGCTACTTAACTATTTTGTAATATTGTGTAAAATCTCATAGAACAACTGAACCAATTTGGATCATTTCCTTTGCTGTTCTGCAAACCGTATTAGAAGTCAATCATATTTAAATAGATCTTCATTCAAATCTTACATCTTAATCATTACGAATTGTTTGCAGTATAATAAATTAGATTCTTATAATCTACTTAGAGTATTTTGAGAAAATAACTCTCAATTATTTAGATCTCTTCTTTTGAGATAATAGAAGTAACTTTATAATTATCATTAATTGGTTGTCATTGACTAAATCATTGTAACCTGTTTAAATAACATTTGATAGAAAATCTATTGTAAAATAATAATAATATTTTCATTGTCTTGTATACTCAATTTAATAATTTTATTAATATTTGTTGTGATGTTGTTTTGTGAATCATTGGTCATTATTTGAGATATTCATAGCCTTAAGTGAGAGAATTAAGCTGTTAACCGCACATATATTTTGTCTTAACGCGTATCTTTAAAGGCGAATTTATATTTATTTATTTAAAGAAAATTCAAAATCTGAACCAACAGTTGCAATTTTAATAGAAATATAATCAGGTTTCAAGAAGACGATCTTTTAGATTTATTTCCATTATTAAAAGAAAAGGCATTTACAACAGAGGTGGAACCACATATCTCTGATTCTGCTGTAAACCTGAGATATCTATCTTATCAATGGTTTATTCCTCTGTTCTATAGTTCCAGTGTTTCTAACCATAGAGACACCTGGAATATTAGAGTGTGTAGGTAGTTGAACTAGCTGTGTTGAGGTGGAACCACATATCTCTGATTCTACTGTAAACCTGAGATATCTATCTCATCAATGGTTTATTCCTCTGATCTGTTGTATTCCTGGGATCTGTTGTATTCATCTAATCTTATGTAAACCTGAGTATCAGACTCATTAATGGTTTATTGATGTATTCTTCTGTATACTGTATTCCTGAAGATATGATCCTATAGATACAATCATATAAGTCCACATGCTGTACGGATTCTGAGAGCTGTCCATGAAGTGCCTGTCCCCCAGCCTTGGTTGAACAAACGGAGCTTGGCTCATATGTCTGTTCTATTCAAGGATCTGGGGTGCACTGTTGAATCCTAATGAATCCGTTCAGGTTAATTCTTCTGCATTATTAAAAGAACAAAGATATGAAGGTGTGAGGCCAGGGGAGGGTTTTCTTGCCATGAGTCATTCATACTTTAAATATTACAGTATCCAGATGAGTTAAACAATCAAACATAACCTATATTAAATTCATTACATTCATATCAATCCCTGACATTTGTATCCAGATGAGATAAACAATCAAACCCAACCTATATCAAATTCATAACATTTGTATCAATCCTTAACATTTGTATCCAGATGAGATAAACAATCAAACACAAACTATATCAAATTGATAACATTCGTATCAATCCCTAATATTTGTATCCAGATGAGATAAACAATCAAACCCAACCTATATCAAATTCATAACATTCGTATCAATCCCTAACATTTGTATCCAGATGAGATAAACAATCAAACCCAACCTATATCAAATTCATAACATTCGTATCCATCCTTAACATTTGTATCCAGATGAGATAAACAATCAAACCCAACCTTTATCAAATTCATAACATTTGTATCCATCTTTAACATTTNAAAATTCATAACATTCGTATCCATCCTTAACTTTTGTATTTCACACTCGTATCAAAGTTGATATCCTCCGCCTCTCCCCACCGGACAACAGCTGTTAATGTAAAAAAGTTGAAGAAATAATATTTAAAACTAATACTTAAAACTTAAAAAGTGAAAAACCTATCTATTTTGCCCTAAAATTGATAAAAACTAACACTCGTATCAACGCCCTCTCCCCACCGGACACCAGCTGTTATTGTAAAAAAGTTGAAGAAACTAATACTATAAAACTTAAAAAGTGAAAAACGTATCTATTTTGCCATAAAAATGATAAAAACTAACACTCGTATCAACGCCCTCTCACCACCTGTTATTGTAAAAAAGTTGAAGAAAATATAATTAAAACTTAAAAAGTAAAAAACGTATCTATTTTGCCCTAAAATTGATAAAAACTAACACTCGTATCAACGCCCTCTCCCCACCGGACACCAGCTGTTCCTTCTCCTCTCCCCCACCCCACCAGCTGTCAGATTCTACGCAGGCATTCAAGTGGATCTACAAAATTCAACCCCCCTCTGTCTCTCTCTTGGAATTATAATAATGACACGCGGCATTCGGGAAAATTCAAGTCCGCGACGCCCTCCCCAGAAAGTCTCCCTACGGCCCATGCCTATTTTCTTGCTGACACAGCGGTTCAAACAGGGGGACAGCTTTAAATCAATTTCTTGTAGAATGGTCAACTTCATTTAGAAAAGTTGGCAGGACGGTAAAAGTTTAAAGGGAGTGACCGGCAATATATGGTGGTTGAACTGAGATTGCATTATTGTAACGATTTTTTTTAGGATACATATAAAACGTTTTAAAGATCTTTAATTACTGAGTTTGAGCGCAAAGTCGACGTTCACAATCATCATTTTTGGTGGGTACGTTTTGAGAATCGGTTTTTTAATTATTAAATAATGACGACAAAAAAATATAGTAAACTAATTGGATGTTTATGAATATATTTCTGAAAAGAAATTTGTCAATAAATAAATGTTAGAATCATTTATTTCGTTTTCATGATTATATTGAATTTCTTATTTTTTATGAACTTGTTCGAAGATTTCTACAAATTCTTCAAATGTCGACTTTTCAATAAAAACTAGAAAATCTTTCTAAATAATGAGAGATTACAGGAACTAATAACTAAATAAGATTACTTATTTTCAATGATAAGATTTTATTTTTATTTTCTCAACCTAAACATATCTAATTAGTTTACTCCAGAATTTTTATTACATTTTTTGTCGTCGTTATTTGATAATTTAAAAAACGATTCTTATAACGTACCGACCCGAATTGATGATTTTGAACGTCGACATTGCGCTCAAACTAAGTAATTATAGATCTTTAGAACGTTCTATATGTCTCAAATGAATCCTAAAAAATTTCTCTACAATACTGCAATCTCAGTTCAACCACTAGTTAAATTCTTTAATCTATATATAAATTTGGCTTGTCTGTCTGTCTGTTTGTTTAGGTGTCTGTCTGTTTGTTTGTATCCAATAAACGTCAAAACGGCTGAACCGATCAGGCCCAAATTTTTTGTGGGACATCTAGGGACCCCAGGGAAGGTTTATGAATGATTAAAATTTTAAATATTTGTCTCAATCAAAATTCGATCTTCATTAAATTTTTTAAAATTTTGAAAATCCACGAAATTTTTTGTGAAAATCCGCGAATTATATTTGTTTTGTTTTACGATGTACACAAAGAGAACATTGTTCACAATTAATTTATAAGATGGGCGCGAAGCGCCCTCTAAGGCTAGTTGTATAAATTTCAAATGATTAATTAATTGATTAATTGGTTGATTGATTGATTGACTGATTGATTAGAGAAAATGCTGTATTCTACGATCGACAACGCCTTTGTGAAACCATATTCACCATTCTTATTCTGTCGTCTTTTACATGTAAGTTTTCTTTTTAAGGGATTACGAAATTTATCAGTAACATTTTTGTTCAATAGAAATATTTATTGTACCAAATATGTCGTCTTCTTTGTTAAAAATTATCGAAATTATTATCATATTTTTTTAAACTTAGATGATTTCAAATATGATCAAATAAGGAAGCTTATTTTGCTATTTAAGACATATTTAATTTTTCGGGGCAAGGTGACAGTATAATTTCCTTTCTATATTTATAGATTTACTTTGCTTATCTGTCTGTCCGTTTGTATCCAATAAACGTCAAACGGCTGAATCGATAGGGCCCAAATTTTTTTGGTGGGACCTTACATGACCAAAGGGATGGTTTATGGATGCTCAATTTTACAAAAATTTGTGAACAAAAGCAAAAAAAAATATTATTAAATCCGTGAAGAAGATGGGCGCAAACAAACAAAAGTTTCAATTTTCATTCTGTTCATAATTCTTATTTTTAGTATTTTCTGTGTATCTTGTGATGGCCCATGGTTTTGAGTATTTTCATACGGCTAACTTTACTATGGTTTACCAAACTCCTTATACTTGGTCTAAAGAGGGGGTTCAGGTAATCATCTTTATCATTACCATACAGCTAACTTTACTATGGTTTACCAAACTCCTTATACTTGGTCTAAGGAGGGGGTTCAGGTAATCATCTTTATTATTACCATACAGCTAACTAAACCTGAGCCCGCGATTTAGAAAATTCTGGAAAATATGGCTCGGGTCTAAGCTGTCGTTGGGCCTTATTTACGACTTGAGCTTTCGGATTCATGCAGCATCTTTGATTTCCAAAGAGTTGAGTTTAAAAACCTGTTTAATATTCTATTTGGCGGATTTTCATGGTAGGAACTGGCGCATTGCGGGTTTTTATGTGAACAAGACTCAACATTGAGCCTTATTCTCTAATAATACCAACCATGGTCGGTTTTATTTTCATTAGGCCTAACTCCTTAAGTCGAGCCGAGGATCTTGCAACAGTCAATCACGTGACACAAGCTGTCGTCAGAGTTGGGTCTTAAAGTCGGGTTTAAGGAATTACAGTTCGAGCCGAAGTTTTTAAATCGCGGGCTCTGGTAAAGTTAGCAATTATTTTGAATTGACTATCCCAACTATTCTAACTGGGGTCTCAAAAAATTTATCATTTCAATTTTTTTCTATTTTTATCGTATCCAAACCTCATCATTATAGAATAAATAAAGTAGGTGTTAGTTCCATATTTTTGAAAATATATTTCGGTCAGGGTTGACCCTCTTCAGTTCTAATGACAATCACAATCACAATCCATATTAAAAATCACAAGAAAATAAACAAACAAAATCCTTTATTTTGAACTGGTAATCAGAAAAAGATGCTCAGATCATGATATGGAGAAAAGATAATTTGCAAATATTCACTTTTTAATGTTTAAAGACTATTATTATTTCTTGAGATTTGTCTATTAATGCAGTAGATGTGTTCCCCCTTTAATTTTCCTGTAAACTCTGTTTACAGTGTTTGGTTTTATATCATGTATTAAACTTGAGGGTTAAAGGTTAAAAGCATTTTATATAAACTTCTCTAGATCATCATAAATATCTTATAAAAGAGAGCAGATTACCTATAAATAAGATACAAAAAGTTATTCAACATTTTTAATTTTATGAAAGTTTTTTTTCTATGATTTGTAAATTAAATTTTATTAAGAAAATGAATTGAGTTTTCACTAAGAAAATAAATTGAATTTTCATCCAGAAACTGAATTGAGTTTTTATCAAGAAAATTAATTGAGTTTTCATCAAGAAAATGAATTGAGTTTTCATCAAGAAAATTAATTTAGTTTTCATCAAGAAAATTAATTGAGTTTTCATCAAGAAAAAGAATTGAGTTTTCATCATGAAAAATGAATTGAGTTTTCATCAAGAAAATGAATTGAGTTTTCATTAAGAAAATTAATTGAGTTTTGCCACAAATTCCGATTTTACAATACCTTTTTTATCTTTAAAACCCAACAGTTGATATTTAAAACTATGAATTCTGTAAGATCATGTAGTTTTAGCTTGAAACATTCTATTTTTATTTTATTTTTACAAGTTTACACCATCAGATTGCAAAGATTATAGGGATTAAAAGATTATTAGTTTATCAAAGATTTTACGACTTTAAGATTAAAGTTCTAAATATTTCAGCGTACAAAAAATCAATATTTTATGAAAAGGCTCCATACTTAAAAGAAATCAAATTCTATATTTTGCAGTGATAGTGACATTTCTAGAACGAGAGGATATTTCCGAAATATATTTGATGCAATTTTCTTTTGACATTTTCTTAATGGGGTTTAACACTTTACTTAGTTTAGCTGTACACAGTCAGGGGCGGATACAGGATTTAAGTGAATAATGATAATGATAATAATAATAATAATAATGATAATAATAATTATAATAATAATGATTATATATCTGGACTTGGCGATTACAAAAAATACTGTTTTCATAAAAAGGGTATTGTTGCAAAGTGTGAATTTGTAGGTTGATTTGATGTGCCAAACTGACATGCCTTGGGAATGGTGCAGGTAAAAATGAAATTTTTAAAAATATTTTGAAAAATTAGTCGAGTACATAAATAGCAAAGAGATATTTACAGGATAAAGTTTGATGTATTATGAAATACGACCAAATATCTTCATGTTGAGATCGAACTATATATTTTCATACACTCTTCTGATTTTTTAATCTTCCTGCATGCATACTATGGTCTAAGTTTTTCCAACCTGTAAGAATATATAAACATAGTCATTACTTGTGTATAGATCTACATTCAACAAATTACAAAACTGATGAGATACCAAATTTATATAGTATAACTTATCAGAGAAATTTGACAACTGTGCATGGAAAACAAATAGGAATATGCGTAATATTAGGGAGAAAGAAAATTAGAAATATGTGTTTTAAATGCATTTTTCCCTTGTCTACAAGGGATTATAATGCATAGATCTAAAAGAGAGGAACAGAATACAGATGTATGATCAGCTAAAAAGAACATACAACATTCAGAGAAAAAAATTCACTGCTTTTTTTCAAATTTTGTGAAAAAAAAATTCAATTTCAAAAATAAATTGTAAAAAAATACTTATAAATAATTTATTATAAATACTAGGTTCGAAACCCAGCTTTACCTGGGAACTAAAATTTCTCTATAAAAGTCAGCTAATTCAACTTAGAATTTGTAAACAAGCTAGAAATATTTCCGTGTTTCTACCAAGTTCCCTAGTAAAATTTGAGGCAAATCAGTCAAGGGGTTCTTGAGTTATGATCGGAAATACAAAGAGATAACTAATTAAATAAATAGTAGATAGATATATTGTTTAAAGAATTTTGACTGCTGAAGATCGATGTTTAATACAATTGTTTTTTTAAATAAAATTGAAGCGTGGTTATATCATCATTATACATATATATTATATATGTTCAAGGTGGATTCATATGGACGAGTACTGTGAATGGGAATGGATATCTGAGTCGGTAAGTTTAGTGGATTTTAACTTAAAAGGAATTGTTTATGAATTTTGTAGAGGGGGTCGCAGGATAAATAATATTAACAATTATAATTGCAATGGTTCTAATAGTGATCCACAAAAAAGCCGATCCATAAACGTGACACAATGTTTTTTAAATGAGTTTAACTCGCTTGTCCTATCTCACTGTAAACTACGGTTTATTTCAATTACCGGGCCGACTTTCAAGCAGCTAAAACAATCTGTACAGCACACAACATGAAGCAGACCTTTCTAGTAAGATTATAGTGATCTATGTCACCTGTAATGAGAAAAATTATATTTGAAAACGTAGAGTATGGTTTGGATATATATATATCAAACTTCTTCTATAAATGTAGACCAATGTCAAGTATAACATTATCTATATATATATGTATACATATATGTATATATCTATCAAACTTCTTCTATAAATGTAGACCAATGTCAAGTATAACATTATCTATATATAAATACATATATGTATATATCTATCAAACTTCTTCTATAAATGGTAACCAATGTCAAGTATAACATTATCTATATACATATATCAAACTTCTTCTATAAATGGTGATCAATGTCAAGTATAACATTATCTATATTTACTTTATTTACTTCTGACCAGCTATTGAGCAGATCTACCACGTCACGGAAAAATCCTATTCCTCCACATTGTATAAACCTAGGAGGGGGTGAAGCTGACTGGTTGTAATATGGTAGATGTTGATCTGATTGGAGAATATAATCTTCATCAATGTGGAGTTAGGTAAGACGCATCTTTTATGTTTATATAAACATTTATCCAATTATCTAATGCTGCACAGAACATTGGGATAAAAAGAGGTCACGATAAACTAGATGTCTTGGTTTGTTCACGATAAACTGAGGTCCTGGTTTGTTCATGATAAACTAGGGGTCCTGGTTTGTTCACGATAAACTAGAGGTCCTGGTTTGTTCACGATAAACTGAGGTCCTGGTTTGTTCATGATAAACTAGGGGTCCTGGTTTGTTCACGATAAACTAGAGGTCCTGGTTTGTTCACGATAAACTGAGGTCCTGGTTTGTTCACGATAAACTAGAAGTATTGGTTTGTTCACAATAAACTAGAGGTCCTGGTTTGTTCACGATAAACTAGAGGTCCTGTTTTTTTCACGATAAACTGAAGTCCTGGTTTGTTCACGATAAACTAGAGGTCCTCGGTTTGTTCACGATAAACTGAGGTCCTGGTTTGTTCACGATAAACTAGATGTCCTGGTTTGTGTCTGGTGAGTCTTTACTTTAGAACCCATTTTCACCCGTTAACCCTATTCCGGCTGAGGGGGGGGGTCATCGTACCCCCCCTCTATTATTTTTTGCGGTAACTCAAGAAGTATTGGTCTCTGAGGCTGTTCAAATTTGTTGAACTAGTCTAGTTGGAGAAAACGCCCAATAAAAAACGGCCAAAAGCAAAACGCCAAATGCAGGAAAACGCCCAATTACAAAACGACCAATATTACAAAACGCCCAATGCAACAAAAGGCCCAAAATAAGAAAACCCAAATTTCGAAAAATGCTCAAAAATCAAAAAAATTCGGAACAAAAAAATCACAATTTTGGGAGTTGAAATGTGTGTATTATTTCAAGACAGAGCGCTGCGGCTTAGACATATTAGGGGGCCGAGCGCTGTGGCTAGGAGTTCAAATGTGTGTATTATTACAGGTTTAGGTTAGGTTAATTCAGTTTCATAGTTATAATATTTTTCTTAAAAGTTTGCCATGTCAACAGTCCAGCAGTTCTGCAACCTGTAGACAAGAAAAAACATTTTTAAAATTCGTAAATCCAAGTTAAGATATTCATTTTCAGAACTCTTAGATGTAACTTGATATCAAGGCGTTATAGCGGCTCAAAGTATTCTCTTGGAAATAAAAGTTTTAACCTAACCTAACCCTAACATTTTTAAAATTCGCAAATCCAAGTTAAGATATTCATTATCAGAACTCTTAGATGTAACTTGATATCGAGGCGTTATAGCGGCTCAAAGTATTCTCTTGGAAATAAAAGTCTTAACCTAACCTAACCGTGAAATAATACACACATTTTAACTCCAGAAAACTTATTTTAAATTGAATTATCTTGAAAAACTATTCTAACATTACTTTCTTTTCATTTATGATGTTGGATATTTTTTAATTGTGCGTTTTGTGACATTGGGCATTTCGAAATTAGGCGTTTTGTAACATTGGGCGTTTTGCAATTGGGCGTTTTGTAATTTGGCGTTTTGTAACATTAGACGTTTTGTAAAATTGGGCGTTTTGTTGCATTTAGTGTTTTGTTGCATGGCGTTTTTTTACCTACTCCTTCTATTTTGGGTAAAGCAGACGTCAGTTGGAATAGGGTCAAATGTAGATTTTTCACATTTGCTATTTTGTACTTTTTTTCTATGCTATGTATTTTGAATATTGAAATACGCTTTACGCTATTTTTGACGAATTTTGAATGAGATAAAAAAAATATAACTGAAATTATATTTAGATACAGACAGGATGCTCTTATAGTTAGTTTTACGTGGGATTGGTTACACAAAAATGGCAGCACTGTTAAAAGAAAAATAGAAGACCAAAATTATTAGTTGAAGTATTTGACCATTTGTAATGTATTTGTATTAATATATTTAAAATACTTTTTTGAACACTTTAACGAAGCATATTTTCTTCTGAACACGACAAAAATCTATTTTTTACCAAATATAAAAGTGAAAATAATGCCACAAAACGGGAAAAAGTCGAAAAACTAAATATTAAAAAAGCAAAACAAATATTTTTATGTATTTCCATTCAATTTCAAAAAGAAAATATCATTGAAGAAAAGAAAGAAACCAGAAAAAGTTTTTGTGTGACACATTTATAAAAAAAAACTGATTATATGAATTACAGCCCAAATTAACACAAGTTAAACCACAACTCCCATCAATACCATGTAACGTTTAATTTTTGTGTCATCTGTGTGAGGTCAAAAATTTGTGTCCAACCGGTTCAGCCTTTCAGACGTTGGATACAAATAGACACACGCCCAAAGTATAAAATTTTAGTGCGCTTCGTGCCCATCTCCTTTTTCAACTTTGAATTGTGGCTCTAACCGGTGAGCATTTTCTCTTCGTAAAATATAAAAAAATAAGAAAAAGTTCACGGATTTTATCATTTTTTTTCGTGGATTTCAAAATTTTACGAAAATCAGTTTTTTGGAGTCAAATTTTTGAAATTCTGAGAATAAATGGGGTCATGTGAGTTGCCATAATATTTTAGGCCCAATCGATTCAGCCAAAGCAAAGTATATAGATAGATATTAATTTTTTTTTATCTTTATCACAATCCTCATTATTTGTTTATTTGTTCCGAAACAATGGAAATAATGAGAACATAGGAATAAGTTTCCCTTTTTTGGCATCATTTATTATATATTAGGCTCAATGTATTTATACTTCTTTTCCCTCCAATCAAAAAACATGGAACTCTAGGCCTTCAGGCCGATTTGCAACCCTTTTTTAGTAAACATTTTGTCCATGCTAACCGTCGACCTTCAAGCTCACATGTTTCTTTGTAGAATTATCTAGAAACTTATGACGGTCTATATATTCATATATCTGGGATTCACAGTAGTAACAGTAATACTTTCGCGGAATTTTTTGTTGTATTGGCACATTTTCGAAAATAACAGATATCGACATTTTTCCACTCCGACCAGAGCCAGAATCCTTCCCTAGAGGGATTATGTGAGTTGCCGATATGTTTATTGGATTCAAACAAACAGACAGACAAAGGCCGATTTTAAAAACTCCTTCTTTGTGAGTCCCTCTGTATGTCCTCACAAAACTTGTGTGCAGCTTTCGGAGGAAAGGGATAAATTGAATTTAGATAACTGTCCCCTGGGAGACCTGGCTGCAGAACTAAATTTGTTCACAAACTATATTGAAAAGACAAATTTAGAAAAAAAGATGAATGAAAAAAATTCAAATTTGATAATTAACAAACAGTAAAATTTTACGACGTGAGGGAAATTTTCAAACACAAAAAAATACACATAAATCATTTATTCAAAACTAGACCTTTCATTTAATTGAGTTTTTGATGCTGATCTTCGTGAAAGGCTTCAAAACCTATTAAATCTTCCTGTTTTCTTTTTCAGGGTCCTAAGTTAAAAAGATCGATATTATTTTGGGGCATTTTTTTCAAATTCTAACAAATCCGTCAAATTCTTTGAGGTTTATCAGATACATATCTACAAAATCAACCATCAAACTTACGAGGATTTACATATATAGGGTAATGGTGGATGCCGAGCATGAAGGAGAATGGTTGTGTGAAATAGAAAAGTATCATCCTGGTTTCAGTAGAAGGTAACAGTAGAAGGTAACAGTAGAAGGTAACAGTAAAAGGTAACAGTTCTTGCCACAAACTAACCCCTTTCAAATCCCCGTATCTTTGCACCCTGTTGGTGTTAACATTTGTATAGATTATTTGATCCAACAGATCAAATTTTGGAAGCCAATTAAAGAACAAAAATAATCAACTTTTTACTAGTTGTATATATTTTCTTAAAAAAGAACTATGAAAGGGTAAAGACAGTTTCAAATTAGGTTTTGTAAAGATTTGTCGATCAGAAAATATGGAAATAATAAAAATTTAAATTTTTTCTTTTAACTTTTTTTTCTTTTCAGAAACTAACGTGGTTTGTTTTTCTTCATACATATATGTCTATATTTTGTTTTTATCCAATATTTTTTCCCTTTCTTGTTCTAAGTAATGCCCCTCTCATATTGATACCCATATGTTAGTCTGAATATCTATAATAAGTTAATCTTTGGTCGAGTTAAAGATTATGCCCTGAAGATGGTTAAATAAACCGAAAATTTGGCAAAAAGAGTTTTTGTTTCACGGATCTGAGAGTGTTAGATTTAGAAGAATTATATATATATATACATATATGTATCAAAATTGGGGCCCAATGCAATATATGTCTTTATTCGTTTACATAATAACTACGCAAATCCTGTAATGAGATTAACCCATTCCATTGAAGTGTCGCAACGCCCTGGGTTTTTATTTTACCGCTCTAACTACTTATATTATTCTGTAGCCCTTTACATGTACATTTTAGCACTGTATAGCACTTCGTGTTAGCATTGCTTTTTAACAAGTAATTGGAAAAATTTAAATTGATTTTTGCTTGAGAGTTTGAGACATTAAATTACTGTGTGTGCAAAGATGGAATTGTCCGATTTACAATAGTACTCTTAATGATTTGTCATATCAAGTATAAAATATATATGAATGTTTATAATTTTTAAAACTGTTTATTGTCAACCGTGGTTTCTCTACAAAAGTAACTTCCTCATTTCTACTGTATTTCCAGAGACCGAATTTAATGAATTTAAGCCGCGTCTCAAATTTGAAACGTGACTCAAACATGGTAGGTTCCACTTGAAATTGCATTCAGTGTTTCGAGATTTGAGCCGGCGCTCATTTATTGCGGTTCAGCGGATCGGTTTAAATTCTGTAAATTCGGGGATCCTTTAATTAGTAAACTTATAGTATATAGGATTTGGGAATTTGTAAAATAATAACTCAGTTAAAAGAATATCTTTAAAAAGCTTGAGAACGAACCAAAAAAGCACTGTCAATTTCTACAAGCGACAGTTTTTACCAAAAATTACATGTAGAACATCGCTAAACCCTTATTTAGAAATTGTTGATTACTCCCTTTAACATTTTGTATTTCTAATTCAGATATGGAGAAGTTCTCTACGGGCATATAACTTTATCTGTGATAGAAGATTTAATATATACAGAGGTACAAATATATAACTATAATATTTAAAAGGTAGAAATATTGTTATTGCTATATCAAAATATTGTTATTTACAATCAATATCAATTTGATTTTCAACAGTTTTTTTAAATCAAATCAAAATGTTTCATATAAATTTAAAATTTGTTATAAATATTAGATGATAAAGTAATTAAAAACAAACTACACAATACGGATATAAAATATCTAAATTTCTTTTGAAATACTGGATCTTTAGTCAGAGGCGTTTCAAGGAATTTTCCAAAGGGGGGAAGCTGGGGGCACAATATTTTTCAATTAATCTAGGGGAATTGGGGCTAAATAATCTAGCCCCCATTAATTACCCGGCGTTGCCCATGTAACTCATACATAGTTTCTCCCACTGTTATTCGCGCTAGGTATTAAATCAAGATTTAGCGGTGCCCGGGGTTGTTCGTGAGATTTTTAAAAAATTCATAATTTTTCTAGTCTATATCTAAAAAGTTCAACCAATTCGGTCCAGCCGTTTGGCCAGTCATAGCTAACATATAAATGAGCTCACATATATTTGTGTGTATCTCTCATATATATTTGTATGTATCTCTCATATATAATTGTATGTATCTCTCATATATATTTGTATGTATCTCTCATATATATTTGTATGTATCTCTCATATATAGTCGTATGTATCTCTCATATATATTTGTATGTATCTCTCATATATATTTGTATGTATGTATGTTTAATTATATGTCAGCCATAGCTGACCAAACGGCTGGACCAAATCGGCTGAAATTTTAAGTTGACCCTTGAGTACCCCAGGGGTAACTTAGGCAAAAAAAAATTGAAATACTTTTTTTAATCGAAATTTTTTTTTTCTCAAAAAGCGAATTTTTTATTTCAAAATTAGATTTTTAAAAATTCCACGGGCAACGCCATCCACTTGAGTGAACTATAAAACTATAAAAGTATTGTTGTGGTTTTGCTTAGACGACCCCTACACTTAGTACAACACTAGAACCTGCCACTAATACAACATCCCATACAACAACCTCTCCTGCAATGGATAAGTAAGTAATATTTAATCAATAGTACAATGTTCAGTGGTAAGCGAATATATCAATAGACGACTTTCGATTTCAATTTTACTTTAAATCAAGCTGTTTAATAACAGGGATACACATAAACATAGAAGTCAAGAGAAGTGGTCAGTTAAAAAACCTTCTCTTTGATTACTTCTGAACTTGTAATTCCAAAATTACTTCTAAACTTGTAATTCCGAAAAAGCTTGTTAACAATAGAAACTTAAAGTCGTTTTCATTGTATTAATACAATCGCCAACCACTGTATTTAAACCTTTAATTAAGCCCTGAAAACTGGACCCAGAGTAGATTAGCCCTTAAAGAAGGAAGAAAGTACACAAAATTACATTTTTAGAGCGCAACGAGAACTAGAAGAATATGAACGCCAATTCTTTATTTTGAAGGTAATAAGACGACATTTACCAGTTCTAAGATTTTAATCTAATAACGAAACAATTAAAGACTGAGGCCTTTATTGGATGTTTTGTATCTTTTATTTTCACAATCTTTGATGTTTATCTAATTAGAGGGTTTTTGAGTGGAACATTTCTTTTATAATTTATTTTTTTTATTTCATGAAGTTATCTTTTAGATTGTTGTGCGTTGTGGAGTTATTCTAACACTGGGAGGGTAATGATTAATAATTAATTTTTATAGAAAATGTTTTTGTAAACATATTTCTTACGAATAATTGGTCATCTATACATATACTTTGCTTGTCTGTTTGTTTGTTTGTATCCAGTAAACGTCATAACGACTGAACCGATCTGGCCCAAATTTTGTTGTGGGACCTCACAAGACCCCAGGGAAATCGACAAAATTTGTTGATGAAATCCTCGAATTTTTTTGTTTTCTTTTACAATTTAAAAAAAGAACTTTTACAAATGACAGAATATTTGGTCACAGTTCATAACCGAGGAAAAGCAAATGTTTTAGCTGAACACAGAGTAAATATCAATTATTTTTAAATTGTTTTTAGTTTGGCAATCATCTTTGGTTTGATGTTCCTAGCTAGCTGGCGCGCTTTTGATCATAATACTGGCAAATCTGCACACCCTCCAACCGACGATTCGTCCGACGACATTAATCAGGTGAAAATGTAGACCTCTTAAAATTCCTATTAAGGAAAAATATGAATATTACAAAAAATTAATTGGCTGAGATTGCAAAAATATGTTTTAAAGAATATAAGTTGAACTAGTTACGATGTGTTCAAGCTCCACCTGTAGTTTTTGATCTATCACTTATAGTTTAACTAGTTATTTCTTTTATAATCACATAGTCACTGCATATTTATAGTCTTAGAGTCACATTAATAAAATAATAAATGGCTTTTAGGAATCAAATTTTTTTCCATTTCCATTTTTGTTTTTCAATAAGTTATCGTCATTCTTTATTTTGAAACTATATCAATTTTATTCTTTGCAATGTCTCTGCTGCAGTTGAGAGTTAACAATTTTCAATATTATTTCATTATTTTAGAGAACTTTGTTTAAGAGGGTACCGTTGTGAACTGACCATGTACAGTGAAACCATTAATAACGAATACATCGTGAGAAATTATCAAATGTCGTCTTGACAATTTTTCAATGAGTTTTATACTATATTACGTATTTGCGAAAATAAATAAATAGCCATGAGTATGCAGGAACAGTTTTAAAGAGTTCCATATAATCATTCAATTAAAAAACTAAATATCTGCAACATTCCATTATCAGAAAGTTAAGAATACGACATTTGATAAATTCTTTCGATGTATTCGTTATTAAGGGTTTCACTGTAGTAGGGCTATTAGAAATTACTTCAACAGTCTCTTTAAAATAATAATTATTGTTTATTTAGGGATTTGGTGAGGAGGACCCAATGCTCACTAAACGACTTCTTCAAACCAGACGGAAATCAGTCGCATTTTCTGTCTGCGTTCTTGACAGGTGTAGTCTCATTTTCTAATCAGATTATGAGTAAAATAATAGGCGTCAAACATTATACAAATCCAACGTATAGAAATCGCTATGGCGTATTTTCCGGGAGAAAATTTTTTATATTTTTGATAAATTTAATATTCATTGTAAAGTATAGATATAAGTTTCGTAAAACCTTTTATTTAAATGGTAACACGGAATTTTAAAATCTTTTTAGCATTACTGGAGAACTTTTTTTGTAAAAATAAAACTGTACATATCATTTTTATAAAATAGTTTTTTTTTAATAGTAACGCGGAGTTTTTTGTAACCATATAATCATTCATTTATGTTGTCAGTACATAATAAAATCTGGAGGGACCTTAAACTGCACAATAGAGAGAAGTACAAATGTACATATTAAAATTATTAAAATAAAAATTAAGATAGAAAAATGAAAAGCTACAATGTTTTACATAAACATTTAATTTTTCAAAAATATAAAAAATATTCTCCCGGAAAATACTCCTTGTTGTTATACCTAGCGATTCCTATACGTTGGATTTCTAAAATGTTTGATGCCGAAATAATGAGTTGTTTGTAAAATGACAATATTGTAAAGGGACAGTATGACATTTGAGATGGATCGGAAAAAGGTTCTGATTAATTCCACGGATCGGATACCAAACGCATCCTTTTGTCCTCTTCCTACCCTTTCAGAGGACTGCGAGACTGAAAAGGTAACAGTTTATTTGTTTTAAAAATATTATTGTTTTTTAAAAACATTATCTTTCCAAGAAACATTATACTTTTTCCAAAACATTCTCTTTTTTCTAAAGACTTTTCGATATTAATGGGAAAAAATAAATATCGATGTTAGCTGGGCCAAATTAGTTTGTTCACAAAAGGTTAAAGGATTATAGGAATTTCAAATTGGAATTAATTTTAGAATTTTAAACTTGGTTTGGTTTGGTTTTTACAAATTTACAAATCTTCTTGTTTCATAATTCCCCTCAAAGGATGAGACTGTGTCAAAAACGACATGAAACTCTTCTGCCTGGAATAATCATGTAATGGCTAATTTAATGAGTTAGCAAAAAAAGAAACTAGAAGACCATTAATATAAGGAAAGTGACAAAATATATTCTGCAAAATCGTCTCTGAAGACTCATCCTTTGTGATAGATTTCTTGTTTCATTTTATATCAGATGTGTTGACTTATAACTGAATATCCGGTTGGTAAGGTTAGTTTTTTATTGTTTAAGTATAACACACATTTTTCTTGCCCCCCCCCCCTAAAAATGTTTAGGGGGGGCAAAAAAAATTTTCGCGCTTTGCGCGAACTATTTCCCCCTAGCCCCCTCTTACCAAATGTCTAGTTGCGCACCTGTTTGTGGCTGCTTTTTTACGAAACTATAGTATTTTCACTTTATAACATTTACGAAAAAAAATTCTACAATTAAAACTTCTTTCATCAATTTTCACTATTATTTTTTAAAAACAAACATTATCATCCATCTCCCTTAGGAGATAATATTAATAGTAAACAATCTGGGAGTAAGGAATAGAAGGGAGTGGGAGATATAACTGACGTGGTCCGCCCTACCATATGATTATACATGCTTTGCAGACGGTACGTTACTCCATTTGTATAAGAAATATTCAAAATAGGTCATTGTATACGCGGTAGTTGTACATCAGACAAATATTTCTTATATAAATGGAGTACCCGTCTGCAAAGCATGCATAATCATATGGTAAGGCGGGCCGTGTCTGTTATATCTCCCTTCTATTCCTTACTCCCTGTAAACAACCCCTTTAATATTTATCTAACTTTAGATCCCTATTCCGCTGTCCTTGATAACAAGACATAAAATCAGACATCCCTCGGTCAACAGAGCCAGGAGGATGTCTCTTCCTCACGGACCTCTTACTGAGGTTAGATGGAAAACATATTTTTTTCTTTATTCTGGGATTTAAAAAATGTGGTATGCTCACCTCTAAACTTTTAAAGAGGCAATTTCCCGGGAACGCCTTAGTTCAAATATATTTATAAAAATCAATATTTTCGAATATGTTTGTCATCATTCAGAATATTTAGACGATAGACCACATTTTAAAATCCCAAAAGTTGTATAGAAGTCACAATTTATTCAATATTTTAGGGACTGCATTTTCAAGTGACCTTAATTTTCCTTTTTTTTTAACTGTTACTTAGATAAAGTATTCTAGGATACCACTGTGATAGCTTCTGTAGATTTTTTAATTGTTACTTAGATAAAGTATTCTAGGATACCACTGTGATAGCTTCTGTAGATTTTTTAAATTGTTACTTAGATAAAGTATTCTAGGATACCACTCATGAGTTTTTTTGTATCCAACATTTTTAAAATTTAAAACAACTTTGTTTCTCTCCTGCTTCATGCTTTTTGTTGAACAAGTTTTAAGAAACTTTAAACTTGTTTTTTTCCAGGGTTTGTTGGACTGTGTTGATGGAACTAAAATTGGACTTCATTGTTCTAATCCTCTTGCTTTTTCTAGAAACTCTATAGAAACTATTATGTAATCCCCCCTCGCTACTTCGAGAAACTCTATAGAAACTATTATGTAATCCCCCTTGCTACTTCAAGAAACTCTATAGAAACTATTATGTAATCCCCCCTCGCTTTTTCTAGAAACTCTATAGAAACTATTATGTAATCCCCCCTCGCTTTTTCTAGAAACTCTATAGAAACTATTATGTAATCCCCCTCGCTTTTTCTAGAAACTCTATAGAAACTATTATGTAAACATCTACTCGTAGAATAAATGTAGTATTATATATATTTAAGTAATATAAACTATGTTATATAATAAGATATTACTTTTACCGCCATTTTACCAACATGAACGACCAATGATTCCCCAATCAGAGGGACGTTAAGTTACTTTACGTCCCTTGGGACCATTAAGAAAAATAACCACCCGCTCTGCGAAGTTTTCGTGAAAAAAATGGCGCATTTTCATCTCAAAAGACGATAAAATTGTGTACAACTACTTTTTCGGGATATTAAAAATTTTACTTAACCACGAGTTCCCTCGACCAATTTTTCCTAAAAAACATCCCTCGCTGGGCTCTGGATGTTTATTAGGCAAAGTTGGTCTTGGGAACCCATTTCCTGTAGAGAAGTCGTAAATAATTATTACTTAATTAATCAGATTGTAAATTCCCTCTTTTTTTCCAGTTTTACCTTTCTAGAAGTTCCAGCCATGTATAGTGATCCCCGGACATATATGGTTGATATGAATAATTGTCAGGTTTACCCACAAAATATAAGACTGTAGAGACGACCTGAAACTCTTAAAATATAACAATCTCAAGGTCGAATTAAATCTCAAGGATATTCTATGGTGGTTCACATGTGGCCATGATCCCATTAATATCGTGTTCGAACCCAGGTAGAGTTTTAAAGCTCTTTTACAGTGTAAAATTTTGTCTTTGTATATTAAACAAATACTTTAGATAGAATCTTCGCAGTGATGAACGGGCTGTAGCACGGTAAACTAAAGTAAATTACACTTAAAGGGACTGTAGCACGATAAACTAAAGTAAAATTACACGTAAAGGGACTGTACCACGGACCACGGTAAACTAAAGTAAATTACATTTAAAGGGACTGTAGCACGGTAAACTAAAGTAAATTGCACTTAAAGGGACTGTCACGGTAAACTAAAGTAAATTTGCGTTTAAGATTAAAATATTTTATGTTTTTAATCATAACTTCTCTTATTCAAGAACTAGGAAGAAGACCAAAAATATTTTGATTTTCTAATTACAGTAAGTTGTCGTCTTATATATCAGTACAATAAAGACGACTTTCACATTCAATTATGATTTATATCAAGCTTTAAAATGCTTAGATAGATAAGCAAATATAGGAGATAAAGGGATCATGTCAATGTTGAAAGCTTCTCTATAATTACTTGTAAATTTTTAATTCAAAATAAGCTTGTGAACAATCAAAACTGAAATAAAAAATCGTCTTCATTATATTGCTATATTCGCCTACCACTGTATATCCAGCGAAATTTGCTTTTCTCTACCCTGTGCATAAAATCTAAACTATTTGAGCTACGAGGTCACAAATTCGGACCAGAAATATCACATAAAATGGACTTTTTCCTTTGTCTTTATTACAGTGTTAGACGTAGTTCCAATAGTAACCCTTAATTTAATTGAACCATGCACGTGTTTAGTTACAGGGTGTCCCACGACACATAACAGTTGGTTAATAGTTTTAAATGTCTTCTTCCACATACTCTTTTTGCAGTTTATTTCTTTTAAAAAATGTTTCACTCACATATTTTACCGTAAAATCAATTTTACTATTTTGTAACTGCCATGTAAAAAATGTTATTAGTCTCTTTTGTAACAAACAACTCATAAAATTGTGGAAGACGACATTTTAAACTATTCACCAATTGTTATGTTTCGTAGGACACCCTGTCACAAATCAACAATATCTTCTTTATTAATTATTATCGTGAGAGTTATGGTTTATGACGAAGTGTAACTGACGCAAAAGTGAGAAAAGTTGTTTATTATGGCAAATGAAACTGATATAATCTTTTCAAATAATTCTGTGATTTAGTATAGTGATACCTACTGAGAAAGCTGTTATCCGTAAGATTTTCGTCTACTATGTTCACATTTTTTTAGTTCGTTTATGTTTTGACTGCATAAGGGTGTACTTGGTAAAATTAATAAGTAATTAGGAAATTACAGTATACAAACAGAGGAAACTTGTCCGTCTTCACTGTTCATCTTGCGGAGACATTATAGACACATCTTTACAGCCATTTACCGTTTATTAATAATTAATTAAGAAACTCTAGCAGACATAATAATATTATGTCTTTTGAAATTAGGTGTTACAATGCAAATTCATAACAAAGACGATAACGAATTCGTCAATGAATTCCTATGTTTGTTGGGACACGTGGAATTTTTTCTCCATATTTGATTTTTTAAAAAAAAGTGTAAAAGAAAGAGTGACGGAAAGTGTCCTAAAACCAAGATTGTTAGATTAGATACTCCTTAGATGTGCTAGATATTTCATCTTCATTGATTAAAGCGGAGAAAATCCTTCCTCCTCTCGTTGTCACTATATCTTCCGCCAAATAAGGAGTCACGTCATATGAGGATTTTGAATGTCCATTGCTATGAAGACGACATTTAAAGTACATTGGAGCTCATCCAGAGTTTACTAACCTTATGATCTATAAACCTTGCTTTAAACCAAGTTGTGCTTAGCAAATAAATCTTTCTCAATCTCATGAAATACAATGATAGAGATAAATGATAAAAAGGTCAATACTTAATGTTGGTTAAAATTAGTGGATAGAATCTATTATATAAGGTTAGAATAAAGGTTAAAGAATTAAAGAACACTGAACAAGGGAAAAAGAAACTTCCTAAGAATCAAGCGTCACCCGAAGTACAAATATGTGAACTAGAGTTTATATTTTACGTACAAGTTTGAGAAAGGCGTATTCAGTTACATTAAGAAACATTTTTGTAACTTTTTATAACTTCATCACCGAATAATAAAAATAGCTCTGCAGTAAGAGTAGTTATGATTTGAAACATATCAGCGTTTTATCTTCTGTGCAATTAACTTTAAAATGCCATGCACGGGTAAACGGCGGGAGTAACTATGAGAAGCATTGGCAACGCCGGGCACTTCAACTTGTCGATATTCATATAGATAATAATAGCTGAATCTGAATGGCAACTACCCTCACTACCCCAACTACCGTGTGTTTTTAGAGAGACCCCACCCCCACCCTTGAAGGTGAATCTGTATGGGAACTACCCTCACTACCACAAATACCGTCAGTTTTTAGAGAGACCCCACCCCCACCCAGGAAGCTGAATCTAAATGGCAACTACCCTTACTACCCCAACTACCTTCAGTTTTTAAAGAGACACCATCCCCACTCTGTGTTTATTCTATGCGCATGGTATACAATATGGGTATCGATTCTCATTAAATCAATTGTTTTAAGCTTGTTCCTGGCATTCATAACACTCTCCGACCGTTACCATCCTCACCACACACCTACTGAAGGATTCACATTTCGTAGTCGAGAAACGGGGATGTTATACGTTCACGCCCCCTAGCCCGTCATAAAGAGTTGAAGAGAAGAAACAATAGAAATGATTGAAATAAGAATGTTGTAAGTTAAATTAATGCCCTAGAAACTTAATATTTTTGACATAACTTTTTGTTAATAAATTGAAAACCTCGAAAATTGTCCAATGTTAGCAGTCAACATCATCGAATTCTCTTTAAATAAAGAAAGAAAATCTAAAAATTGGTCAATTCCATAAAATCCCCCTTTGAAATACGATCACTCTATATACAAGTGTACATTGTTAGATATACGTAAACATATCGTGATGTATACAACCGACCACTCTATCAACTAATTAATAGGGAGGTCGGTTGTGTGAGGGAGGGAGTCCAGAGTTCCTCAAATAGTAATCACCGCCACCCAAATCTGTTTTGCGGCAAGCGCGCTCCTCAATTGGTAATCTCCACCACCTCAAATAGTAATCAGCCCAAAAAAGTATAAAATTAAATCGTTTATTTCTTAGAAATAAGACCATATTGACCTCTTTTAATGGCCCTATGGTGTACAATATTGTTAAAGCTTTCTTTATTGCTCCTTAGTTTCGAAAATAAATCAATAAATATGCCACACTAAGTGCTNGGGGGGGGGGGGGGGAGGGGCGTCCGCGGGAATAAGCTGCCTCTGGTAGTAAAGATAGATTATAAGATATATATATTATATATCCGTGTATGGTATCTTGTGATTAAGAAATTTGGTTTAAAGAAAGTATTCAACATTTGTCTAAAGTTGTGCTTTTTTCAGGCATTTTTTGCATAGATATCTAAGATTAAAGACTAATGACTATGCAACGTCTCATAATCTGCTGCAAGCTTTTGTCTCTCAATGCACTCACTGAATATTGATTAATTTGCAGGAACGGATTAAAAATAATCATCGTCAAATTATGCCGGAGCCTGAAATTGAATAAAAACTCTCAAATAGTAGATTAGCTATTTTTGAATGTCGTCTTAATCTAAATCATTCTCTTCACAATTCAAGTTGTCTCTGAGGACTCTGAGCAAATTATTTTCTTTAAATTACGCTGGTCGATCAGATGACGTCGAAAAGATAGGTACAAAAATTCTTTACTTGATAAACTTTTTAAACACCGAAGCGGTTGCAGTTTCAACTTTGGAATATTATCGTAAAGAGAAAACTGTTCTTAAGGGAAATAAAAGGTGTCCTACGAAACACACAGGTTGGAGGGATCCCCCGCACGCCGGGCAGACCGAGCCTCCGCCATACAGTAAACGAACCTCCGCTATGCTGAATAGTTTTCTTAAAACTCTTGGTTTTAACATTTGCAATAATAACCAGAAAACTGTGGAATAGGAAGACGAAATTATAGTAAATCTGGGAGGCTCGTGTCTAAATGGCGGAGGCTCATGGTGTCCGTGGGTTCCCTCACTCATCAATCCTCTTAGATCTAAAATTTTTGCAGCATTCATTTTTTTAAACATGTTTGAAATAAAGATCTTGAATTATAATGTTGAAAATATTACTGACATGTCCAAAAAAGTGATCAGTTTTTGTTGTGCTTTTGATGTTGAATACAGAATTTCATTCAGATTTAGACAAGTTAAGTTTTATTTGATAAATTAACATCGAACGAAATTCAAATATCCCCGGTGTCGTACATCCGTTCATCTCCCCTAGTGTAATTCAATTATTTCAACGCAACATCAAAACTTAAAAGTAATGTAACACGTACCGATGATTATTAGTAGTGTATTTCGATTAAAAAAACACTAGAAATCATCTCTATATTGAAAAATTAATACTGGTTTGATTTAAGCAGGGAAACTACATTTGAGAAAAATAAGTGTTATTTTGTTCGCCCCCCTTGTAAACTTAAACTTAAGCAACATTTTCTGGATAGATTATCGAACTTTGAATGCAATCGGCTATTTTGCTATACTTGTTCAACTCTAGTTTCTTAGATTAGATTGGGGTTTCCATGGTCTTTAATATGATCAGAGCTGAAAACTTTAGAATGGTGGATATCGGGATTAATGCTTGATCCTCTCTTTTTGATAATCTCAAGATTAACATAATCTTGCAAGATTATCTTAAAAGTGTATGAAAAACGATAAAATTCAAATTAATATTTAATCATCTGAGAAACTGTAGCAGCCATTCAGAGAAAAGCGGGCAACCATTGAGAGAACAGAAATATTCTCATTGGAGAAAACAATTAACGGATATCCAAGGAGAGAGAAAAAGAGTGGATTAGGACGAAAATGAAAAGTTTCCATTCGGATCAAGAAGTCAGGATTAAAGTTTATCCATTCTAAAGTTCCCAGCTCTGTTCATATTTTTTAATACTTGTTACATATAATGAATATCATATATATGTATCCAATTGTCTGAAGAAATATTCAGCTTATTCTTGATCTCTTATCTTGATCAGAATAACATGTAGTCTACATTATTGAGCCTTAAACTTTTTGTATTTATGACTGTAAAGATTGACGCCATGTTTCCGCCTCCTGTTCTCCAACCGCCACCGCCACTACTCTTCGCCATTTTTGTGCTCCATAAAGGCACATTGCACAACGTTTGAATCTAATCATTATTTTTCTGAACCAGGGGAGCTCGTGTGAAAACAGCCTGAGCTATCTTGTAGCTCCCCGGCCACAAAATATATATATGTAATTGTATAGTCATTTTTATTAATATGAATATAGTTAACTTGTGGCCCAATAAATGATTTGATTTGTACAATAAATTTTATAACTAATTTAACTTGATTACTTTAAAATATTTAAACAATTTCTTTTGATGTCTAACTTAGGTGCTGAAATGGAAACTAGAATTAATGTCGCGCGAGAGATATGAGATGGACGAGAGACACGTGTTTTCTTGTTAATACAAATAGCATCTCTCAAGTTCTCAACTGCCAGGTTTCGATCAATATCCTATGCATTATGCTAATTAAATTTTTTGAAGTGAAAACCCACGATCACTTTATATACAGCGTGACAAAACCTAAGCTACTGCAGAAAGTAAAGTGTGTATTTCGAGTATGAAAATAAGTATGTACAGTACAATAAGTCAAACAGGTACAATCGGAGCGTTTTCGCCGATAAGAGGTCCACTGCTGAGACGGAAACTTTAGACAGGGTAACGTTACAAAACTTAGTTTCGGAAACTCACGTCCTTCATTTGTAAACACCAAAATTTGGATAACGAGATATTTTTTAAACACAATGGTTGCTTTTCTTTTCTCTCTTTTTATTTTCATCAAATCAACACAAAATTTGTGTTCTTAAAAATAATTCGGGAGTTTCGTTCATCGATACTCTAAAGTTTCTGGCTCAGAGCCCGAAATTTAAAAGAGTATCGTTGAACGAAACTCCCGAGTTTCCTTTTTGGGATCCTAACATTTGTGTAGATTTTGATTTAAGAGATTCGAAAAAAATAAAGATTATAAACAAACTGAAAAAAAAAATATTTCATTACAAAAATATTGATATTCACAAAACTGCCTACCCCCATTCGTGATACCCGGGTTTTAAAACTGGTTTTCATAACGATACCCTGTCTTAAGTTTTGGGCTCTGGTAGTAAGTGTACAGTACATTTAAACACGGCAGTGTACAGCTTATCGGCTAAAATTTAGGAACATCTGTGTGTACAATAAACCAAACAGTGGTGAGTAAAAAGTACATGTACAATATTATGTACAAGGAGTTCAGCACATAACACATTTTTAAACAAATAACTATTTTTATGATATTTTTTAGAAGAATTACAAAATAAAAATTTATGGAAATCTTATGTTCCTTTGAACTCCCTGAAAGAAGAAACGATCAGAAGTCTGATCAAATATGATCAAAGTATAAAAGTGTAAAAAAAAACATTAATTACATTGTGTACAATTCATAAGCGTCAAAAAATATGTATAAAATTTAAAAATAACATCATGTCTGCCTAATATTATAAATAGGTAGAAAATTACAATGTAAAAAATTTTAGAGCAAAGCTCAGATTTTGTATTACAATTACTAACTACAGGGTGTCCCACGGAATGACAGTTGGTGAATATGTGAATAGTTTGAAATGTCTTCTTCCATATTTTGTAAAATTGTTTGATATCAAAGATAACACTAAAAATAGTATATGGTAGTCAAATTATAGTAAAATTTTTTTCAAAGTAAAAAAAGTTAGTTAAATTTTTGTACGAAATAAACTGCAGAAGTCACCAATATCTATGACAGCTTATGGAAAGACATTTAAAACTATTTACTTTTTGTCACCGTGTGACTCACTGTAAGTTGAAAAGATTAGAAAGTACTTGCGAACCATGTTAAAATTGAATATACAGAGTCTCTCGATACACATGACAGTTGAGAGACGACTTTAAGATCGTCTTCAAGAATCAAAAAGGAGCTTTCTATGGTGTGGTCAACAATTTATTCTTTTTATACATTTCGTCTTCAGATAGGTTAATAAGAATAAAAACGACCCTAATGTTATCTTATCTCTCAGCGGTCCTTCAAGAGACGACTAAACTTAAAATATTATCATTCAATTCACATTAAGACTGTTTTCAGTTCTATTAAATTAAAGATTTAAATAAAAATGATTCGACAAAACGTAGTTTCGTAGATTCATCTTAGATTTCAGTCTTAATAATCTCAATAAAAAAATCTACGAGAAGTTTAAAATCCGCCAAAAACGTATATATGACAAATGTATAAAAAAACGTGTACAATGTACAAACATTGTTAACTGTAGTATAGTTCAAATCATCTCATTTTTAAAATGGCAACAATTAACTTCTTGAAAAAGTGTACTGAAAACATTATATATATGAAGAAAAGTGCAAAATTTAATATTTTAAAAAATGTAAAAACACACGGGGGATTGGTAAAAATGATCCAGCATTTTTCTTTCTTTCGCAAATTGGAATGTTAAAAGTTAAAAATAAAAAGTAAGCTTTTTCATTGTTTTTTTTAGCGTTTCAGAATTACTGTTTATGTTTCTGATGTTTCATAATGTATCCATGTTTTTGTTTTGTTTAAGGCCACCTTTGAAAAATGACTAGACTAAAACAAAAATATTCATTACAATTTTAAGAAAAAATAAAAAAAAACGTAAAAATAACCCACCCCTTCACGAAACAATGAAGGATTTTTCTTTAAATCTAAATTTAACACCTTCATATAGAAGTTCTATTTTTTTCAAACTTTTTAACCGTTTTAGTTTTATCTAAAAATCTACTAGATGCACCAGGATCTCTTTAGTAACTTTAAATCACTAAAATTGTGATATTGATAGCTAGCACTGAAACAATAATATCTAACACGCGATAGAAATAACTAACTCGTTGATAGCTGACCATGATAGTAATTGCTAATACAATGATATTACTTCCTAACACGGTGATAGGAATAACTAACGTTGCGATAGAAATAGCTAACAATGTGACACATAGCTATCTAATTAGCTCCGCATGAACCCAGAATACACTTCACCGTGAGTTCAACACCACAACTGAAAATAGAAAAATTATAATTGGTTGGATTTTAATTAGTAGTTTTGTAAAAATGTCGGCCAATTTCTTTCTCGACTTTGCTTTGCAAATCCCAGTAAAAGTCTTTTAAAAGATTCAGTTATAAGTTGAACATTTATTAACATGGAGCTTTAATATATTTAGTCTTAGGAAGTCAATTAAATAATCAATTTTAGCAATTTAAAATTAGGGATATCTTTTTTGTCTTGATTAAACAAAGAGTTTATATCATTGAGAATTGTAGATAAAGGGTTGCTTGAAATTTCGTCAACATTCTCTTTAAACATTCTTTAAATATGATGTCATTAGCCGGGTGGTACGGTGCTACACCAAGTTTCAAAATCTTGTTTTGTTTAGAATTTAGGATTTAAGAAAAGTTTGTTTAGTCAATATAAGGAATTTAATCACACTTCAAAATAACGAACACTTCAAAAAAATTTATTTCGAATATCTGATGATGGCAAGGATATACTAATAATCTAGATTTTTTTTTATGTATTTCCATCATTTTTTTTAACCTCTTTAATTTAAATAACAATGATGGTAATGGTAATGGTAATAATATTAATAATAACACTAAAATAATAACAATAATAATACTAATATAATAATGATAAATAATACTTACATCTGACAGATGACCTCCTCAGGTCTATTACATGTTTCCATAATACACTTTGCTGTCAAAGTCCTCCCGCATTTCTCGCATTGAGCAGCGCTCGGTCCTTCCTTGCTCTGAAAGTAAGAGGTTACTTATAACATTTAAAATTACTTGCATCTATGGCAACAACATGCTTTCAGGTAAAAGTGATCATTACAAAATCTAGTTATATTTAGATTAAAGAGAGAGATAGAAATATAGATAAAAAACCGTACATTTTCAGACCTTCTTTTTACTTTTGTACTTAAAATTTTTTATTTGTTTATTATTCAGTCTTTCTTTCTTTCTTTTGCTTTTTCGTTCTTTGTACTTTTGTATTGCATTATTTATCTATTTATCTATTTATCTGTTTATCCAGTCTTTCTTTCTTTCTTTTTCTTTTTAACTATTTAACTATTTAACTATTTAACTATTTGACTATTTGACTATTTGACTATTTGACTATTTGACTATTTGACTATTT